GAATTACTAGTTTCATATCACAAATTTCTAGTCCATGTTTGTGTTTTAACAAAGGATCTAAACCAAGGAATTCGTTGTTTATGTCCGGAAGTGTAACTTTACTGGTCGACAACCTATATGCCGAAGCAACAGATGCTGTAAAGTCCCGTGCCGCTTTATCGGCTACTACCCCCGAGTTAATTTCGATTCTGGCTGATATTAATTCAAAGGCGAGGCCTTAAAACCGATACAAATCTGTGAATTCTTCAACAGGTTTCGAAGGATTGCTAATCTCGATATGATCCACTATGTGAAATACTATTGGTAGGTGATCAGAGTCCAAAATATCAAAAACAATTATATCTGACACCCGGATATTCTGATGGACCAAAATATCTAGCACACTACAATTCTACACAGGAGAATAAGGAGTGGGGCATTGTGGCGCTGAAGTTTTGAATTCGTTCAAATCAAATAAGGCCGCGAATTTCTCCCCTGAAGAGTCTGAAACTGCACTATTCCAAAATGGATGTTTATTTTTCAGATTACTTGCCAAAATAGATTTGCGTCTAAAGCGTAAGAGCTCAGTGATGTCAATATCACTCCAAACGCGATCTGGAGATTTATAAACAGCTGCATAGTGTACTTCACTGTTACTAATGGGTATGCAGATCCCTGTCGCTTCTACAGAAACAAAGTATGGTAGGTCTGCATGGTTGTGGAGGGTGCCTTTTCTACCTGCAACGGCAGTTTCGCCTTTTCTTCCCTGGTAGCAGTCGATTCGGCAAAACTGATAATTTGGAATAAAGAACCTCGTATGAGGTTTCAGACATATCTCTGAAAACAGAGCCACATCCATGTGTAGGTCTTGCAACTGTTTACTGACTTCATAGCGCTGCCTTCTAGAGACATTAGCATTAAATGCTATGTCTCTGAGGGGCCTGTGAAGTCTAGTGGCCAATTTGCGTCATTAGTTTTAAGACAATTTTTGTAATGACCACTATTTCCGACTCCTCTGACACAGCATCATTGAATTCTGTCATGATCTGCTACCCTACAGTCGCCACTCTGAACGTATTGTCTAGAGACACACCACTTGCATTGGAGCACTGGACTGACTGATCTGCCGTTTGATGGTAATACTTGTGGGAGGCGGGATTTCTGTCGTGAACACAGGGGGTTGTTGCTGCTGAACATTGCTGAGAAACATCGCGGAAAATTATTTGTCTGGAACAAGGTAGTCGTCGGAGAAGTTCCTGGTTGTTGATCCCTCGTTTAAAAGTCTCTGCACTCTCCTGCTTTGCAGTTCCACTTTGGCATGGCTACAGCCACAGTAAGTGGAGGGGTTTGGTCGCTTTTCATCTTTCAGTTTGCAGTTGCAACAGCGTGGTATGGAGTTCTTCCGGTTATTGGTTTCAGGGCGCTCCTTATGTATGTGACGGTCCCCTCACCACAATACATAATCGAAGGGTTGTCTGCAATTTTCAAAGCTGTGACAAAATTGTTGGCAGTTGAAACACTGAATTAGAGCATTTGGGACCTTGTAGGCTTTCACCCTTATGACTGCGTGGCACAAGTTTGGGAGTTCGAAAACTCCGCTGATTTGGCTGTCTTCTATAGTGTTACTAGGATGAGTGAAGGTTTTTGAGTGTCCCCATCAAGAGATAGGCGATTTGCCGGACGCTCATAACCTAGTTCCGTTAGGCCGCTGCGGATGTCTTCTGCGGGTGTGTCGCTTGGCAGAGGTCTGATTATAGCTTTGATAGGTTTGTCAGATTTTGAGTGGAGAGTGTAGTAGCTCATGTTTCTGCCATCTAAATATACTCGAATGGCAGAATAATCGGCGACCTCTTGAGTGACAACAGGAGTGCCAATATATGCGCTTCGGAACTCGAATATACCCTGCTCCAGCCCTCGATGTCTTTCTGAAGTTGCAGCAAGTTTGTAGGTAGAGTTCATAATATCGGAGGTGGGCTCCCAGGAGAAGCTGAAGTCTGCCGCTCGTCTTTTTCATCACCCCATTCCGCTTCTGTACAATCCATTTCTGCTGCTGATCTCAGCGGACCCAAATAGTTCCTAGTCTCCGATTTGAGTTGCGTTTTATCATGTGTAGCTAAATGAATTCCCTCTCTCTTCTTTGCTTCCTGTTTGCCCGAAGGGATTTTCTTCTTGCTCGCGGAAGCCGTTCACTTCTGCTGGCCCGTTGGTATCGAGGTAGTTGGTGATGGTCCGTTGATCACAATACGTTCTCTTTGGCTTGACTTAGGAAGCACTTGAAGGACTTGCATCTTTACCGTGTGTGTCGTGAACAGAGCGATATAAAGGCTGTTGCCCTTGAGTGCCTTGCACAAATTTAATCGAACCTCCTTCCACTATTAACAATCCTTTGTCAACTTCAACTCTTAACTACACGACTTGTCGTTTAATTTTGTCAGACTAGCGACAGTCCCTAACAGATCGTACACCTCATTTAACAATACTAGTATTTCTGCATCTGGATATTTTAATAGTACTTTTTAACACGATTCAAGAGCGTGGCGCTCATTTAGCCAGTATCTGATAAAATCTATTTGTCCATCCATTCCGTGGTCTGTCAATTCACAGGACACACTAATTGACCCCTTATCGCAGTGTCCCACCGGGCCCAGTGACACTTTTCTTAGCACTTTACTACGACTATAAATTTCAAATGTTACGGTATCGCACTAAGCATGTAAATGTTCAATCACTGATACTTCCCTTATTAACTCCGACAGAGAGTCACAACTCAACCAAACACACTGATCTAATCAGCAATCCTACCAACAAGAGAGAGACTCCATCAGAATTCTCAGATACTTATATCGAACACTTCAGTCTGTGAAGCACCTGCAGAAAATCTTTTAAACAACATAGGTCACGGATTGGTTCCGCTCGTTTTCAGATGGTCGAGTGCTCTTAAAGGCATTTATTTTATGTTTGTCAATGCCAGCGGTAAGATCCGTATTTTAGCCCTTTAGAACACTAACGTCCTAAGCTAATCACTAGACAAGGACTATACACATGAAGATTACAGCCTTAATTAACTGATAAATTTTTATGGTCTTCGCCAGTAGAGTATTTCTTAGTTCCGTGTCCCACGGGACTCATTGCAATACTTTTACTTTCTGAGGGCTATGGGAAAATTCGGACTGCTCAATCAGAACCTTCGGTCGATCGGTCGGTCGGTTAAATTGCTGCTCGTCCTAGCCAGAACAGTAATTCTTGGTTTCGAGTCCCGTCGTGATCCATGATCAAGATTATTTTCTCTCATAGACGAGAGGAGAAGTCTGAACACTACTGATCACTCACCTTACTTTAGTGGTGACTCGATCGGGCACTCAACTGCGAAATTGCTGTTGGCCCTCGCCAGCACAGTGATTCGTGGTTACGTGTCCCATGGGACTCATGAACCTGACGGCTCTCGGAGCCTTCATAACGTGCCGCTCTCAATTAGAGCTTTGTCTGCGCTTAGTCATATGTATTGTGACATGATGCCTGAAGGCCGGAAAAGAGGAAGGAGAGGAGACATTCATTGCTAGGCAACGGCTGTATAAAGACGTTCCAAAGGCAACGAATATACACGCAACAACAGAACTACTGGAAGCGGTGTTTTCTGGCACTCGTAGTTGGTGAGCACTGAAAGTATAAGAGGCTTAAACTTGGCAGTGGTCACGCCTACAAACGTTCAAGATACTATCTGCCGTTTTGGAGTGGTAAAATAGATGAAGGCATGGTCTGCTGCAGAAGTCTGCTTTGACCGATGTCGTGTGGATATCTACAATAAATGCTTTTTATTGTAAAATAGTTACAAATTGTGTATAGGTCCATAAAATACAATTGGCCTTACCCGGACTCTGTGTGAGGGCTGGCACACTCGTGCTAAATTACAATGCAACAAAAGTGGCACCTGTTCAGCAAGATCAACTCCTCCTTTCGTCAAAGAGGCTGGCGAAGATCGGTAGGAATCTACTGGACCTCGAGCTGGGCTTGGACTTGGTAAGCACCGAAGCAGAGGGATCTCCATTCATAGAGGCCCCTTTCAGGCAAAAACTCGTTCAAACATAGCAGAAGGACATCAATTAGTGCGTGCTGTAGTCATCTGTAGGGTGTGTAGATGAGTGAAAGTTTTATAATTATTAGTCGTAAGCCTTCAATAAATTCAATAATCAGTCTAAACCCAGTGGCTAGTCACTAACACGTGACAACATTCTATATTTAAAATTGAAAGACTGATTTCTCAGTGATCTCTTAATTACAAAGTACTTCTTCAGTAAGTAAAAAGCAAGTAAAGTAAAGCTATGCCTGTAACAGGCCGTGAAGGCCCATAGGGTTGTGAGACGTTAAGGGTCCCTCATTACCTTGACAATCGGCTCAGAGATGGCGGTAAAGTTGTCAACGTTACGCGCCGGACGCGCTTCACTCCCGAGGAAAATTAATTAATTCCTGGTACTCATTTCTGTTGGAGGCTGAGTAAACCCCAGGGCCTAGTGCGGCCGGAAGGGTTAGGTAAATTGAAAAAATCCAATGACCTCATTGGGACTTGAACTCGCGACCTTCCAGCTTGTAGTACCTTAACCACTACGCTACCGCGTACCCCTTGTACTTCTTCATTTCCATCGATAATGAAGGTTTGCTCTTAAAATTAACAGAATAAGTAAACAAAGGAAAAAATAAACTATCCTTTCATCCTCTTTCTTTATTTTTGTCATCGAAAGCCACGGCTGAGTAATTAAGAGCCTTCATAGTCTGCAAGTCCCGACTCCGATTCTTGGATCGAATGATATATATATGTAGGCTTGATGACTGAAATACGTGTATTTAGAATTTCTCTCAATATCTTCAGGCATCCTGAAATGGGCCAAGATCGGTTCCTGATATATTCCCCAATTTGCCCTTCACATTGATCTATAAATTACGTAGCTGAGAAAGCATCGTTAAATAAACTAATAATAAGAGATGCAGCTTTTTCAGAAAATATACATGTATATCTCTCTTTTCAGAACTTCAGCATGACAAGATGATTACAGACGTCACGTTTTAGAATAATTGACGAAGATCAACGGATCTCTGAAATTATACCTGAAGGTATACCAGGGAAAATTGTGCTCATACACGACTTAGTCAGAGAAGTGATACTTTTTACAGAATATCGAATAATTATACAAATAAAATACAACTGAATTCCAAAATGAAGAATTCATTTCAAAGCAGGGACGGAATGGTGAGTACCCATCGAATGATTCTTCCATTTAAAAGTAAAGTAAAATAGGTCTATACAAAGCAGATTATGTGACAGTAGTTTCTGAGAAAGAAAATTCACGAATAAACCAAACCACAAAGACTTCTGTGACACTTATGTGAAAATCGAGAGGGTAACTATAGACCGAAATAGAATATAATGAAAAAAAAATTCTAGAATAAGATTTTAATGCAAGAAGTACACATCACTGACACTTTTGCAAATTTTCATCCAAATGCAAATATGCAAGAATACACATTATTCTTTAGAATTCCGATGATTATCCTTGGAAACCTCTTACCTNTGAATGATTCTCTTACCTACTGACTCAAAATGAGTGTGTTTATAATAGACTTGATTCTCCCACTACTTCTGAATTTACTATACTACATTCTTTCTGTTATGTTTGGAGTCACAGCAGTCATAATGTAATAATATTGATCACAATATTGATTTAATGACGACAACGCTTTTCGGATATTCTTGTTAATATCACATCACAGCGTACTATTTGACGTCGTGTACTTTTTGCTGCAGGATTTATGGTAATGCTCTCGTATCTTAATATTCTAACGCGAGACGTTTGGACAAGATCATTTTCGTAACACTTCATCCGGAATCGTGTACTTGGCATCGGCCTTCCTCTGTTCCTTCTTATTATTTTTGTTTCTATTTACGCTTCGTTTAATGGCTCAATTTGTATAACGTCAAATGATAGGTCTCTTAGTCGCTGAAGAGGATGAGGAAAGAGCGATAGGGGCCTAATCTGAGAGTCCATTCCGACAACTGCACGGAGGGACTCAATAAAACCACAAAACTTCTCAGTCAGAAAAGCCAGAATATTAAGCCGGGTTCTCCCAGATACGTAGCTAAATTGTTGAAGACTCGACAGCGATGTTCAGTCTAATTATTACTGGACAGAGTTATTATTATTATTTGTTGTGGTAGTAGTAGTAATAGTAGTAGTAGTAGTATTGTTTGTAATGGTGACTCAAGAATTCGGACTTCATATATGTTGCCTTTATTTGGACTGTCACTTTGATGAATTAGATAAATTCTGTATGTAAGATTCTAGCCTTTAAGAGGACACGATTTCTTGGTGTCTCAGCTGAGTGTGACTAAGGAACCTTCATGACTATATGCAATATATTTCTTTTGCGTGATATTATAGTATTTTGTTCATTGATCTGGGTCGATCCTAGTGCTTACAGTGAGCGATATTCGTCAGTATTTTATCGCTCTGGGTGAATTTTTATTATGCTGAATTCCTTAAGCTACTACAGGTTTTCAAGTTTATTGCCGTGACTCATAAAAACGGGACGAAGAGACATGCATAGTCTCGGAAGAGACTTTTTTAACGCCGACGTGTCCTCAGTAGTTCCCAGCAACTTTCTCTTTTCATGTCACAGTCCGTACTCCCTATTTTCTTACGCTTCATTTGCTCATTGTTTTTGCCGTTCATCTTGGGGTTGTACGCAAAGCCTTGGACGAATTTTATTTAAATCTGATCTGACGTGTTTAAGCGTACAAGGTACTCTAACATAGCTCTGTCGATTTCTTTAAAAAATGGCCTATAGTAAAAAAATCTACAGATAACATAAAATACGCATAGAATTAATATCTACAATTTGTCTTTGAAATTTTTGAGACAGCGAATATTTAATGAAACATATAGAGAAATATTTTACAAATCTAGGCAGTGTGGTTTGAATTTGCAACAAAGACTTGTTTGTAATAAATAACCCAAAGATAATGGGGCACAAAAAGAAAATCATTTAGGAAATATGTATATTTACTGGTAATACAACGTCCTGCTTATGTTATAATGGATTCTCTTTACTTAAAGAATATAATTGAAATAATTTTCTATCTTCACAGGAACTTGGTAATGTGAATCAAGCGTATGAAAATGATTTGGGTCAACGCGAGGCACAACATAAATTTTCTTTATCAACAGCAGTGCCTACAATATCTGCACAAACCGAAAAAGGGAATCTGGTATGTATTTTAATTGTGAAAGTACAGAAAAGTAGTGATAAGTCTGCTATTATGAAAAATATGAGGTGAAAGTGGTACTTTATGTTTTCATATATAATCTTGAATCCCTTTAATAATAAATACTAACCATCAGGGATCTGAAGTGGAGTTCCAATATTTTGAGATAGTTATAAGGAGTTAGCACTTCACATTAGACAAGACAGATGTATGCTATGGCTCACAGACTAAAATTGGGCACATGGATACTTTGCTTGTAATACAAAACAAACAACAAACTCCGTGACCTGTATTTCGCAAGCGAACTATACCGCCTAAGTGATCGCCGCTTTTCGGCGAAGTTAATGCCAACTTTTGCGGATAGAAGGTATCATGTGGTCAGAGCAATGGATCTCCATGGGCGTTAATCTCGGTTTTCTAGATCGGAGCCGATATTTCATTGAAATAGCTCCTCAGTTATTCTCACAAGGCTGAGTGGACACCATTCCAGACCCACTACTTGTCAGAAAATCTGGTAGCACCGGGAATAGAACCCGGACATCTGGTCGTGTAGCCACAAACTCTGACCAATAGAGCACAGGGTTTGTTAAAAATTCTTTCATGTCACTTTTTTTACATTTAAAAAACTAGTAGCTTTTTCTTTCATTCTCTCTCTTACTAATGTAGACTTACACATACGTTCTTTGTTTCCCACTGTCAAACACCTTACTTTTAATTTATTTAATGATAGCTGCACTGTCTGAATCAATTAGTGTCACATGGTAAGGTTACTGATGAATGAGGAAGAATTTGATGTGGCAGTCACCTAATTCAGATACTAATCCAGCATTTCCTGGAGAGTCTGAGAAAAAAACAAAGTAAAACTTAGGCAGCATAATTGGCATCCCAGCCAGGATATGAATCTATGCTCTCCCTAATAGAAGACTAAAGCGTTACCTCTAGTTCAGTTTATTTGTTGTTCAAATTTTGATTCCATTACTTCAGGAAACAAGCCACAATCTGTCGTTTATTTACATGTCTCTTAAAGCAGATGTTCAGTCAGTACTTGAGAGAGATTCCAGATGGATTTCAAAGATTTACAAATGAATGGAATAAATTTCCTGAAAGCATTTTTTTGAAACTGTAAAAACTCTGCTTCTATGGAAATGATTTCCATTGGCTTTGATGTGTTATTGTGCTTATATCACAGTGTAAACTGCCTGCATTTCTGATCAACATTTGCAAATAAAATCAAGAGTTGCCTCCTATAACGTACAAATGACCATCTGATACATAAAGGAAGACTAACACTGTCAGATATTGTATAAATTGAGAGTAACTTATAAATACCTTATGTACCAAACAGTAATTTAATTGTTGTAAGTAACTAAATTAAGCAAGAAATTAATTACAAATATTGCTTGCGTCAAGGTGCTTAATTATTTCAGTACAAAGACAACTTTTACATCATAATCTGTAATTAGTCAATTTTCATCTGCACCAGATATTTTTGGTGCTTTCATTGTGTAAAGGTGCTCTGGGAGTCCTGCTGTTTGGTTCTATCCAGAGCTGAGTTAAAAGTACTTAAAACTGGCTTCCATGATCCTACAGATAAATACAGTGCTATAAAACATATGCCAATATTCTAACATCAGACAATAACTTATACAGTAAATATAGTTATATATTATAGTTTATATTATATTATAGTTTTATACACTATAGTGTATAGTTTTCTGTGAGAAATTGACAGTTATTCACTTGTTGAAGATTTCTGCACTAGTACGAAATATTGTTACTACAAATACAAAAACTTACAATTGGATCCTGCATACATACAAACATTTAATTTATACTTATAATTATATTTTTTCTTGTTACTAGTTATAAATGCTATCAGTATTACACTATCTTACACACCTGACAAACTTCTCATAATGTGAATAAGAATATAACTTCAAGAGTAGTTATAAAGCTTAATAAACATTCATTCCAACATTTATCAGTTGTGGAAAAATATAAAAGGTAAAGGTAAATTTGTCCCTATGCTTAATTAATTAAGCACCTATAGTACCACCATTCATGACCTCAGAACTACATGGAGGTATGTGGTCAGCTTCATATTCTGGTCACTTTACCTCCCTACCCAGGAAACAGCTCATGGTAACCATTGGATGTGGGGCTAGGTGGATTCCAGAGTTATTCTGGATTCTATGGAATAGAGACAAATATCTTGCCCCTGCCAGGAACTGAACTGCAGTTGTACAGTCCTGTAGCCTTTCACTATATTGACTCACTTATCCCAGCTCCAATTTAATTTCATAAAACAGTTTGTTCATGGTTATTCTGTCACGGATTGAAAGGACAGCAGTCTAAATTCGTTTATATTGTACAGGGTGAGGTAGAAAATGTCACGGATAATCAAGACAGTCCAGCACGTCAACAATGGACAAATGGAGTTGAATTCCTCATGTCATGCATTGCCATGTCAGTTGGATTGGGCAATGTTTGGAGATTCCCCTTCACAGCTTTTAAAAATGGAGGGGGAGCATTTCTCATACCCTACATTGTCGTGCTCTTCCTCATCGGCAAGCCGATATACTACATGGAAATGGCCGTGGGTCAATTTGTGTCTGGGGGACCTGTCAAGGCTTGGGCAGTTTCACCAGCACTGAAAGGTAAGTTGAGAGGCAGAAGTCATCACAATGCGCACCAGTATTTTTGAGAGAATTATTTACCAGAGACAAATATAACAGGATAGTTCTATTGCTGATAAGGCCCTATGCAATGATGTACCTAAGATGTTTAGTTTTGTGGGGTGTGGAATCAGGTGGCATGGAGAGACAAGGAGTCAAACTGAAAGAAATATTTATTGCTGTTAACAAAATATACAGACAAGCTAGGAAGCCATGCATGCATGGTAAATGAATACTGATGAAATTCTTTTCACAGTGGGTGAGCATGTGTGAGTAATGACAGTGGTATTTTTGGCCCTGAAACGGGCCGGTTATCTGAAGCTGGGCATGCTTGATGAATACCAGTTGAAGTTCCTGCCGCAGAGAACTAGTCTGTGCCGCAACTTGGTGCTGGCAATATGGCGTAATGCCAGGTGAAGCTCTTGCAGTGGCAGGGTAGCTGGTGCTAGTGGCGGCGAAGCTCCTGCCCCACCTGGCTGGCCGGATGAGCACTGCCAATTGCTGGTGGAGTAAACTGTGGTGTTGCTACTAGTAGACTCGCTGTCATGGTGTTGTCTTGATGCAAGTTGTGACTGATGCTAGCATGCCAGGGGTCTACATTTTGTTATTTTTGTCACTGGGCGATGCCTGGACCAGTGGGTATTGGAGTTGCCATGGTGAGCGTTCATTTGGTAGCACTCACTTCACTGTGAGGGGCTGACACAGTTTTTATTTTTAACATATTTTCCTTGAGTAGAACTTTACTGGTAGTTATGTTCTCCCCTAATAAATCACTTCCAGCCACTACCAGTTAGTACCAATAAGTCTAATATTTCTTGATTCCTTTAGAATTTCCTAATGCCACTGTTTAAAGTGAAATTAACATGAACTGAGGATGAAACATTCCTTTTTTTTTTTAGAATTTTATAAAATGTAAAATGGCTCAAATTATATTTTGACAAATATTCTAGAAATTAAGATGATTTTTGTTGTTTTTTTTTTCTACAGGTCTTGGCTTTGGACAGATGTTTTGCACAGTTCTGGTCCTCACATACTACTGCTCATTAATGGCTTTGACAGTCTTTTACTTCTTCCAATCATTTGCTGCTGATCTCCCATGGTCGACTTGTGATAGAGACTGGGATATGTGCAGTGACTCCAAAAAGACAGAAGGCAATAATAGTATAGTAGCAGATGTCACAAACTACAAGAGTTCTTCTGAATTATATTTTTAGTGAGTGACCTTCTCCTTATAACAAAAATATGCATGCAATATTGGGAACAATATGAGGTCAGAAATTATATTCCTTAGTTGAAAAAATATGTAAAATAAATTTTATAAAACTTGATGAGATCTGGATTATACTGTGTATATCATGTAACAGAGGCTTTTACAGCGAGATTTGGATAAGATTAAACTTCACGATCCAAAATGATACCCACCTGACAACTTTTGATGTAGATTCTCAATATCATGTTCAGTAATTTCAGACATAATATATGCTGGGAGACAAAAACATGTATAACTCATATGTTTTCATTTTATGCACTTCATGCAAAGAATGCATAATAAAGCAATAAAATTTATTTTTATTACATAAACAAAAAATTAGTGTGGCATGGAAAACCCAACAGTATAATAATATATTTTTTACATTGTTCTTAATTTACAGCAAGTTCGTGTTAAATGAGACAGACTCCATAGAGGATGGTGTTGGTACACCAGACTGGCGTCTCACTCTTTGTCTGCTCTTTTCCTGGGTAACCATCTTTTTGGTTATTGTACGAGGTGTGAAAAGCTCAGGAAAGGCAGCCTATTTCTTAGCTTTGTTTCCTTATGTGGTGATGATTACTCTACTTATCCGTGGTGCTACACTACCTGGCGCTGTCGATGGTATTCTATTCTTCATTACTCCCCAGTGGGACAAGTTGTTGGATCCCATAGTAAGTTAGAATAGTAATAAATTTTGCAAACTTTAGTATGTTTTGGATAAGTTATGAGTACTCTGGAGAAAAGTCACATTTTTAAAAATGAAGAAAATTTGTAAACACATAGAATTGTAAGTAATGCAACAAAAGAACATAAAGCTTTGAAAATATCTGGAAGATCACATGTACATAAATGTTGTGATGTAGGGCTTACTGCTTTTAACCTGAATAAGTGTGTTGGGAAAAAAAATACGCTATGAGTAATTAAATGTTTCTCACTTCTGTGTTTCTGGAAATGTATGTATGAGGTTTGGATAACTATCAATTATTTAATTATTTAAAAAGGCATATGTATAAATGGAAAATTCTGTCTAGAATGCAGTTAGTTACATAGTTAAAATGAATAAAGTGCAATTTCCATGTATGTGGCAGCTAATTTCGTGGAAAATACCATGGCTCTAAAATTCTATAAATAGATGTCCCATGCTTACATGGGATACATATGTTGGTCTTAACACAGAACACAACACTGAATTGAGACTCCTAAGTGCTAAAATCTTATAGGGTGACCAAATGTCATTCTAGAGTCAGTGTCTAATGTTTTCACTCCAAATCAAAGCAGCAGTTTGCATGAGAGAATTTTGCTCAGCATGAAAGCTTCAAGTCTTGTGTCTAGAAATCATTAGTGATCAGTCAATATCAAATGAAAAGTAAAAAGTCTGATGATAATTGCTAGTGCAATACTTACTTATCATATATTAAAATCTTTCCATAAAATCAGCCTATTACAATTTACAAGTATTAAGCATCGATCAACTGATTTCATCACCACAGTATTTTACATAAACACAAAAGAAAGAACATAGACTGAGGGTGTTCGAGAAAATTTTATCACTGACTTGTACAAACAGGGAATAGAAAAACTAATCTTATAGACATCCTGAACTTTATCGTATCATGGACAAAAATAGTTTGTCCTAAACAATGAGAGTTTATTGTGCATATCAAAGATCTAGTGAATGACTTCATGGTGTACACTTTGTAATATCATGTAGCTCAGTAGAAGTAGACTGACATTGTAAATTTACTGACTGACTACCCCTCTATATAAGGGATCCATTAAATTTAAGAACGATAGTCACTGATTTCAGCTCCTTGTAGTATAATGTTTTAATTAAGACTTACAAGTGAATAAAGTTTTTTTATGATCAATAAAATATAAAAAAAAAGTTTTTAACTTTTTAAGGGAACATAGTTAAAGCTACTAAACAGTATTTTATTTCATGTCCAGGTATGGTACAGTGCTGTGACCCAGGCTTTCTTCTCTCTTGGAATCTGCTTTGGAGCTATTGTAATGTATTCATCTTATAATGACTTCCACCATAATGTCTACAGGTGAGCATTTATTAAATGGAACACAGTACTCCAACGTTTCAATCAACCAGGAATTTAAATTTCTAATGTTGTTAAAGTAAGGTAAATTTGGCCCTGTGCTTAACTTAATTAACCACCATGCCATGAAGGCGTATGGGCGAGTGGTAGTATAGATCCACATTTTGTTGACTTCGGAATTAGTTGGAGGTGAGTGGTCAGCTTCACAACCCTCGTGCTTTACCTCCCGGGAAAGAGCCCCTGGTACCCATTAGATAGGAGGTTGGACGGATACCAGCATCCCTATAGACGACATGGAGAAGTGAAAATTTTGACCCCACTGGGACTCAAACTCCGGCCTCTCAGTCATCCAGCCCATATTCAGTCGCTATACTGACTACACTATCCCAGCTCCTAATGTTGTTAAGGTACATACATATATTTTAATTGATTATCAGAAAATCTTAAGTGTATCAGACCCATTGCTGATTGTGTTTATCAGGTACTATTTTTTATTTATTTTCAAGGTAATTTATTACATAAAAGTTATGTTTTATACATTGTTAAAATAAGTTATCAATATCACTTTTATCAGATATCATATTTCAGGTATGCATTGTATTCTTATTTTATACTTTTCCCTGTTATAACACATAAAATGCTTCCTTTCTAATGAACACCTTATAAGAATGAGGAAAATAAGAATAGGATTTTTCACTTAATGTAAAAGGTCAATTATACAAACTCAAGACTTAGTTTCAATTCACAGAAATGAACACATAATTAGTAACTTTACAGTGATTTCCTTATGAAATTAAGTCAGTCACAAAAACTTCCATACCGCAATTAGTTAAGATCAAAATTAAAATGGTATCATGATGATATCCTAGATGATCATACAGTATTTTAGCTGATGATGATAGTATGACAAAATAATAATGTATTTAGGTTGTCAGCAATAATGTATTCTGTTTATGGTATTAATCTGTTTATATTACAGGGATGCCATGATTGTAACAACATTAGATACATTCACTAGTCTGCTTGCTGGTTGCACAATATTTTCCATCTTGGGAAACCTGATGCATGAACTCAAAATTACAAATATAGAGAAAGTTGTGCAAGGTGGGACTGGACTAGCGTTTGTTTCATACCCTGATGCTATTGCCAAATTTGACATTGTGCCTCAGGTTTGTGACATTTGCTTTAGATTTATATATAGCTTACTAATAGAATAGAATAGAATAATTAAATTTATTAAATAACAGTAACATATGTATATAATAAATTCTGGGACAAAAGTAACAAATCGAAACTGCATTTTCAGAAATAATCAAGAGCAGATTGTCTTGTGGAATGGTTGCTACTGTCTAGAATAGATTAAATTTGCCATAATTCTATTTAGATCCTTTCAACTTCTCATCTTCTAACTAAAAATATAAAATAATATATAAAATATGCAGAACTCTAGTACATATTATCAGGAGCATGAATACAATTGTGCAGGATGGCTAAACCATGCCCATGTTAAAGCATGAGATGAGTCCCTTTTATTTTCAGGAAGCCCGATTTTGAGTGTAAATGTTATTAATATTGCAGCTTATTTTTCTATTTGTATTACATACCTCTCAATTTTTTAATACCAAGTAATTATATCATGCACCTAATAGTATTAACCGTTTGCATAACCCATTGTGTCTAGACTGGCTTGGGGAGTACCTGCATTACAACTACTGCAGCCAAAGAGATTGTCTCAGTATTAATTAATTACTGCAGCATTTCTGTCAATATATTACTCTTGCTGTTTGAAAATTATTTGAAGGCATTATCATCAACTTTCCTGCATAACTCCACCCCCCCAGCTTTAGCAGGCAGATATGTAGTAAGTCTTGGCAAATCAAGTGATTGAACACATTCCTTTGCCGAGTAGTTCTGGCTTTCATAAATAATGTATTTAAAAGCAAAGAATTTTGTGATTTAAATTATTAATAAGTTGGCTGATGAGCCCTACTTTTGTATTGAATTTTGGTGTTGTGGGATGAGGAAACGGGAGAATTTGATGATGTGAATTATAATCTTGTAGCAGAGAATACCTCTTGGGCTTCTCAGAAACGTTACTATGCTAGCAGATTATAACTTTTGTTTTATATGCTACTGAAACTGTCTCTCAAATTATGAATGATACAGATTGAGAATGCTTGAGAACACAACAGGAAGGAGAATATTTCGTCTTAAGTTGGAGGGAAAACACAAAGTTTCATAAAAATGCATACAGAAGTGTTTCATGAAGTGTACTCTTCGTAGAATATTACTAAGTTAATCTAATAAATAAGGATGAAGTAGCATGCATAGGAGAAATATCAAATCGTGAAAGAAATTTACTCAGATGATCTGACGGAAAGAGACAAAGAAGATCCAAATTTTGAGGGGAGCATATTATTAAAACAGATCTTAAAGAAACAGATAGGAGTGTATGGACTGGATTCTTCTGGCTCAAGAAGGGGACTAGTAACAGACTGTTAACATAGTAATGAATCTTCAGGTTGCATAAAAGTTTGTAATATGTTAACTTCTCAAGAAAGCCTCTGTTCCATGGAATTAATTAGATATGTTAATGGAGTTACTGTTCACTTTAATTATAAATGTGGACTATCTAGCTCTTTGGAGGGGTGAAAACTACTTAACTTTGACAATAGAACCAGTAGAATTAGCAAAATTAATATGAACTACTTACAGTGGATATTATTCTGAGTATCTTAAACATATTCACATCATAATATTAATTTTGTTAAAGTATAGTTTAATGTTCTTTTACCCTCCCTTCTTGGACCTACAAATTACTTCTTTCTATGTGGTTACAGTATAAGATTTTTGAATGGTAGAATAAAGAAATAATACAAATGGTTTTTATTTGGTTAATTAATATAATTTTATTCTCTTTTAATCCAACTTATCAGGGTCATTTAAATACTGAATAGTTGTGAATCCCAACAGGCCTTCCTGAGCAATGTAAGTAGGCACTAAAATAAAGATCACAGAACACCCGAGAGGCTGATCTGTTATTAAATTTCAGCATTTTAGACTCCAAACAGATATTTACTTTTAATATCAAGTATGTACATTTGCAGCTAATGTAAACGAATTTTGGATTCTGATAGTGTGTTTTCTTTTTCAGTTTTTCTCAGTGGTGTTCTTCCTAATGCTGTATACACTAGGGATTGGTAGTGCTGTGGCCCTTGCAGCAGCAGTCATCACCATTATCTGTGACCAGTTCCCTCAGTTCAGATACTGGATGGTGACATTAGTAATCTGTACTGCTGGTTTTCTTGTTGGGCTTGTCTACATCACACCAGTAAGAGAAAACAAATATTTAAAAAAAAAAAACTCCATTCTTTTGTATGCTTCCTGAGAGCTTGCAAGCAGTGCTTCCATTGGATATCATAAGAGATTTGATAAATCTTCTTGAATGACATGTTTAACCCAGCGTTAGTAAGGTGGGTTGTCACAGACCCCAAAGACTTTAATTTGATTATAACTTTTTAAGAACGCGTAGCAGTGTGTTGTGCCTCAGTGTAGCTTCCCTTCCCGTAACCCACTACCCGATGCCATAGATGACAGGCTGTTGTGGGTAGGCATGTTTAGTGTGAAGACTTGTAAATTGTGCTGGGGTCCACCAGACCCCATCTTACCAAAAGTGTGACTACGAGGGTAATTCCAAAAGTAAGGTCTCCTATGTTTGAAAATATAAAATAAACATTTATTTTCAATTTTGGATACATCAGTTGAATCTTGAACATGTACTCATTTCTCTACATAATCGCCATTTCGGTCGATGCATTTTTGTAGGCGCAGTGGCAGTTTTTGTATGCCCATGTCATACCAGTTCACCTCCATGCTGTTCAGGAAACTTCGAACCTCAGCTTTCACCTCATCGTCGTTGTTGAAGCGCTTTCCAGACAAATGTTCTTTCAACTTTGGAAAGAGATGGTAGTCACTGGGCGCCAAGTCCGGACTATAGGGTGGATGGGTGATGATGTTCCATCCAAACTGTTGCAGTTGAGCGACGGTTTGTCGGGCAGCATGGGGGCGAGCGTTATCGTGGAGAATGCTTACGCCCTTGCTCAACATCCCTCTTCTCCGGTTCTGAATCGCCCGCCTGAGTTTTCTCAGTGTCTCACAATATCTCTCAGCGTTTATTGTGGTCCCAGTTTCCATAAAGTCAACCAACAATACCCCGTTTCGATCCCAAAACACAGTTGCCATGACTTTACCGGCAGACTGTGTTTGCTTGAATTTTCGAGGCTTAGGCGAAGAGGAATGCCGCCACTGACGTGATTGTTGTTTTGTCTCAGGTGTGAAGTGGTACGCCCAGGTTTCGTCGCCTGTGACAATTGAATTCAAGAAGTTGTCCTTTTCGTCAGCATAGCGGCGAAGAAATTCACGGGAAGAGTCAACTCTCTGCCGTTTGTGGTCTTCCGTGAGCATTCGCGGGACCCATCTTGCGCACACCTTCCGATAATTCAACTTCTCTGTCAAAACCCGATAAATGGTGGTTTGGGAAACCTCGGGAACCGAAATGCAGAGATCATCGAGTGTGATGCGCCTATCCTGATGCATGACTCGCTCAATCTTCGCGACTGTCTCATCAGAAATTGACGGTCTCCCAGTTCTTTTTTTGTCGTGTATTGCAGTACGACCAGATTCAAACTCCCTACACCACTTGCGGACGTTCCTTATGTCCATGCACGACTCGCCATACACTTCCACCAATTGACGATGAATTTCAATTGGTTTAGTCCCTTTTGCGTTCAAAAACCGAATAACTGCGTGAATCTCACACTTCGCGGTTTTAGTAATCGGGAGCTCCATTTCTAATGGCAACCGTGCCAAGACTGAGCGTCCTAGCTATGTGCGCGCATGCTTGGTGGTATTGGGGGGAGTGGGGGAAGCAACAAATGCAACAGGGTTGCCAACAGCCGCACGAAAAATTACCCAGCGCTTTGGAGACCTTACTTTTGGAATCAAAAGTTGCTTTCATACATAGCATACTAAAATATTATCGTTACTTCTGTGTCTTCCATATTTTTACATACCAACTGTAAGCAAATACTTTTTCATAAATATTTAGAGGATATTTTGAGAATAATATTTTTTTTTACCAGAGGTTACGTCAACTTCTTGATGACGCTTTGACAGACGAGGAGCCGTTTAGCGGAGATGATGATAGTGAAATTGATTTAGAATTAGTCAGTAATCATGAGTCTGATGCAGTACAAGACTGTGAGGAAGAATCTTCAGAGGAAGAATCCACGGGGGGGGGGTTAATACTTGGCAAAGGATAAGCAAACAAGATGGAGCAAAACATGTTAGGACTTCGAATAAGAACTTGAACACATAACATAGTTAGCCAAGCCCCTGGTGTTCTGGGCAATGCAAAAAATGCAAAATCAGTTTCAGATTGCTGGGAGACATTTTTCCTGATGACATGATAGACTAGGATTTTAAATAGAGCCCAGTATTTGAGTAACAGCTCATTTTAAAAATTTAACAACAAATATATACAAGACAATTAACATAAATGTTTTACATCTTTCTGCATATTATTTCTGAAAATATTTCAAGTATATGTAGTGCAAGCCTTTGCAATTGTTCATTCAATAAGGTATATTGAATTTAATTTATTTGCATTCCATAGATCCTAAGTAGGTTAATACCTCTGGATATGGAACAAGTCAAAATAATACCTACTGGTACAAGTAATTTTATCTTGAACTAATATAGCTTAATTCTACATTACTCTCTATTTACATTGAGGTATTCGTCTACAGAGTAGAAGGAATGAGCATGCAGATATTTTTAGCTCTGATTTAAAATGTTTAGTATCATTACTCAAGTTTTTGATACTTTGTGGTAGACTATTGTACACTTTTATGCCAGAAAAGTAGACTCCTTTTTGATATAGTGATAAGTTTGATGAAGGTAGATAGAAGTTATTTTTTTGTCTAGTATTCATGTTATTGATATTGGAATTTAATTCAAATTTATTTTTGTTGTACACAACAAATAAGAGAAGCGATAGTATATATTGTGATTGAAGAGGTAGAATTTTTAATTTCTTAAATAAATTTCATCATTAGAATGCTGAAAGAGATATACATAAATTCTATGCTTCTTTATTCAATTTAAACTCACTAACAATTCTTGTTGTCATACCAAACATTTGTTTCATGATTTTGCAGGGTGGTCAGTACATTTTGACACTGGTAGATTTCTATGGTGTCAATTTTACGGTTTTCATCCTGGGAACAATTGAAGTGATTGGAATTGCATGGATTTATGGTGAGTTTATTTTATATATGGCAAAAGTACTTTAAATCAGAGCCAGTGATATGTCAACTAATATCAGCTATTCCAGTAATTTGAGGAAAACTGCTATATGATGAGTGAAAGATTTTGATAGGAATATCCCAGTCTCCAGGCAAAAGTACACTAATATTTTTATAAATAATATTTAGAAATATTATTCTGTACATTAAGAACTCAAAGTTACCAGTTCTAATGATACAAAACAGTAATATAGCACAAGTATAAAACAATGAGCCAAAAAGGATTTACTCTGAATTAGTTTTCTTGCACATCTCATTACTGATATTATGATCTGAACTTCCACTTTCTATAAAGAGTAATTCATACTCTTTCCCATTGATACCATACACCATGTTTCTTAAATATTTGATAAATATATCATATATATATAATATAAAATAAATGTGATAGAAACATAAGTTATCACAATACTGATAACAATATTTGATTTCCTGCAGGTGTGGATAATTTCTGTAATGATATAGAGTTCATGGTAGGTAAGAAACTTAGCGCCTACTGGAGACTCTGTTGGGGGATAATTACACCTGTTCTGATGATTGTCATCCTTTTGTATTCAATAGTTACCATGAAACCAGAAACTTATCAAGATAAACCTTTCCCATCATCTGCCTATGGTAAGTGGTTTTAAGATCTCATTTTAAAAAGTTTTTTTACTAAAGAAAGAACTCATGAATCCACATACAGATGTGTCTGAAAAGACTTAACGATTTCTAATTAAGTTAAATTAACCCAATAACTTCTGTGGTGAAATTTTAATACTAACTTTGGATACTATAATTACTGTTTACACTTCCCTATGTTTTCCGCATATTTGATTGCACTCACTTTTATTTCATTCTAAGCAGTGATTATTATTATTATTATTCACTTATGTTGCTGAGCACTTCTTGAGAAGCTGCAATTGTGCAGCTACTCAAGAACTCACCAGCATTTTATGGAGCCAGAAGCTTCATTATTATGTTTACAAGAGCCCTCCATTGATCCTTATCCTTATCCATACCATCCCATCCTATCTCTCTAAGATCCATCCTATTATTGTACACCAACCTATGTCTTGGTCTTCCTAGTGGTTTCATTTCTTCTGGCTTTCCCCACCAGTATCCTATATGCATTCCTCTTCTTCCCAATTCATGCTACATGCCCTGCCAAGCTCATCCTCCTCCACTTGATCAATATAATTATACTCGGAGAAGACTACAAGTTTTGAAGCTCCTCATTATGTAGTTTTTTCCGATCTCCCATAACTTTTTCTCTCTTTGATCCAAATGTTCTCCTCAACAAATTCTTCTAAGACACCCCCAGCCTGTGTTCCTCCCTTAATATCAGAGACCAAGTTTCTTACCTATACAGAACCACAGGCAAAATTATAGTTATATTCTAATTTTTATGTTTTTAGACAACAGATGAGAACATTTAAGATTCTGAAGTGAATGGTAGTAAGCAGTACACCAGTTCAACCTTCTCTTAATTTCCTCCTGGATCACATTTTGATTTGTTATAGTCATTCCCAAATATCTGAACTGTGCCACATTTTCAAAACATCTGTTTCCTATTTTTATGTCTTGATTTTGCCCTGCATTCTGGATATGAGACCGCAACATATACTTAGTTTTCTCTATGTTTTCTTCTAGACCAACCTTCTTACTGGAGTCAATTAAAGTTTATATGTTTTTCTTTATGGTATCTACATTATCACTCATTTCATTCACATCATCATCAAAGACCAACAGCTGATGAGTCCAATTTAATTTCAGCCCCTTCTGGTTTTCCTGGACCTTCCTAATGGCATATTCTAAACTAAAGCTGAAAAGCAGTGGTGATAAAGCATCAGACCATTCTGGATAGGAAAATTATCAGACAAATATTGAACCATACAGATTTTACTTTTGTTTAAAAACATTTTAATCAGCCTAAATAATTTCATGGATACCCAAAAATCTATGACAATATTGTTCAGTACTTCCCTCCTAACTGAATCAAAGGCTTTCTTGAAGTCCATCAGTAGATGATGTACTGTCTCATTGTACTCCCATTTTTTCTAGAGTATCTGATGAATACAAATGATCTGAACAGTGGTTGATCCATGACATTGAAAACCACACTAATAATTCCCAATAATTTCATCTATGTATGGACTTAACCTTGAGAGAAGAATATTGGATAACATTTTGAATGAAGCTGATAACAGTGATATTCCACCATAATTACTACAGTCAGTTTTATCACCCTTCTTGTGAACTACATACATACATACATAGTACATATTTATACTGGTACAATAATAGACTCCTTTCACATATCAGACACTTTTTCCTTATTCCAAATAGAATTAATTAGCTTATGGATCTTAAAGCCTAATATTTCACCTCCTGCTTGAATCTGTTCTGCTGGAATTTTGATCACTACCTGGAGATTTATAAGTTTTCAATTTTGCAATAGCAATCTCAATATAAAAAAGAGCTAGGATCAGGTACTAACGACTCAGCTGTATCTATTTTTATCTGCCTAACATCACTGACCCTATGTGCATTCAATAACTGAGAGAAGTAGTTCTTCTACCTGTTCAAAACTGCAAACCGATCACCATTCTCATCCTTCACTAAGTTACTTCTAGGTTGGTAACCCCTCTTAAAGTAATTTATTCCTCTATGCAGGTCTCCAGTGTTCTTGTTCTTACTCTTCATTGTAAGATCATAGTTTTATCTTTCAGATATTCCTTATTTTTTTCCTGAAATGCCTCCTGGTTTCATGTCTTATATTGTTCAGATTATATATATGTAAAATATCCCTTATTTCTTTTGGGCTAATAATTTTGAGCATTCTTCACCAAACAATGGCTTCTTCAATTCAAAATAACTTAAACTCTCTTTGGCAGAAATTTTTATATTCTCTCAAATATTTTTCCAAGCTTTATTAACATCCAACTCAGTGTCTAAGTTTTCAAAAGTTGCAAGCCTGTTGGGGATTTCAACACAATACTGCTCTTTACCCTCTACCTCATTTAATTTCTTGAGATTGAACCTTTCCATATAAACTGTGTGTTGTTTGTTTGCTCACTGCCACTCTTTCCCTAAACTTTGTCACCACCAGGTAGTGGTCAGTATCACAATCTGCTGCCCTGAATGATCGGAAATCAAGTATACTTGAATGTTGTCTCCTATCTATCAAAATATGGTTGATCTAATTGTGTATCTTCCCACCAGGAGATGTCCAAGTACATTTATGAATGTTACAATGCAGGAACATTGTACTCTTGACAGTAAGATTTTCTGATGTGGCAAAGTTTACTACTCTAACTCCATTATCGTTACTAATTTCATGCAAATTCTCATGCCCAATCATTGGTTTGAAAATGTCTTCCCTCCCTACTTTGTCATTGAAACCTCCTAGCAAAATTTTCATAGGATACTTCGGGAATTTAGAAAATACCTGTTCTAGTTCTTCATAGAACCTGTCCATTATGTCCTCAATTATATCTTCTGTTGGGGCTTGAACATTCGTAATGATATCACACCAGCGACCTTTTAGTATTATATATGATATCCTATCACTAATGAACTCTACTCTCTTAACTGCTGGTATGATTCTCTTATGTACGAAAAAACTTGTACCTAATTCATAATTTTCATTCCCCTTTCCATAGAAAATGTATATTTGCCTGCTGGTGCGAAGCCCCCTCCATCCCATCTGACCTCCTGTACTCCCACTAAATCTAACATATATTTTGAGATTTCTACCGCCAGTGCCCTGAGCGAACCTGCCCTCTACATACTTCAAACCAAATCTCATATCCATTTTCTTTTGCTTAGTCGCTTATCCAAGGAATCCCTCCATGTCTGAGGCTTCTTGTGATTTTTACAGTGAGGACTTGTTAGCTTCACGCTCAACCTCCAAGCTGGAGAACCACCCCTTGTCAGATTCTGTGACTGCTTATTCAGTATATTTGCGTCTACCCCCCACTTTATTATTATTATTGTTGTGGTTGTTGTTACTTGTGGTAGCAGCAGCAGCAGCAGCAGCAGTAGTAGTAGTAGTAGTAGTAGTAGTAGTAGTAGTAGTAGTAGTGGTAGTAGTAGTAGCAGCAGCAGCAGTAGCAGTAGCAGTAGCAGCAGCACCAGTAGCAGTAGTAGTATCATTATGGCAATGATAATGATGACAAATACAACCTCTATTTCCACATATCCTTGATACTTTAATTAAGGCATAAAATTCATTCAAAATATGAGGTAATAAAGTTTATTCATATTCACTTCTAAGTTCTGAAACTAAGATAGGTGACATGATTATGATACCTAAAATGTTAAGTCATATTAGTGTCTGATGTAATATGTGATTAGAAACAGGTCATATAACACAGTCAAAAATAGTTAAAGATCACAGACTAAAGGATATATTTACATTCCGGAATTAACATATTATTCCTTTACAGCTGCTGGTTGGATTCTTTTTGGATTTGGAGTGATCCAGTTCCCAATATGGGCACTGTTTGCTGTAATTAAGAGAAGAGAGGTTGGTAATGGTTACACAGTTACAAATATTCATTCAATTTATGGAGTAATATCTTAATATAATTACGAGTGAGTCAGTAAATAGACCACAAATGGAAACACAACAGCTGTAACAGAAATAGTAGGTTTTATATGTATATTACTAGGTAACGGCACAGTTCAGCTTTGTTACAGTATAGGTAGCAGATGTGGATGCACGTGTTCAGAGTTCGGTTTCAGTAGCCAAAATGCTTGAACATTATATTACCGAAAAGCAGCGTTCTCTTGTGCATTCTTGTGAGCAAAAGGGCTCAGTGCAAAGGATATCTATAAATAGATGCTTCCTATTTATGGTGGGAAGGCATAAAATGATTTCAGAACTGTGGATGGAAATCTGAATGGAAGAGACCATTTGGACGACTTAGATAGGAGGAAAATATTGAAAAGCATCTACTGGCTTCACAAGAAACCTCTTCGCCATATAGTTAGTAACTGTAGTGGAATGATGTAATAAAGTTCAAAACATGTACTTCATTATGACATGACTTAAGTTAAAGATGTGAGATATTCATGGCATTGATAGATCAGGTTGTGGCCTCCTGGGTTGTAACATCTTCTTCTATCATAGGTGAATATGCTACCTTGACTCTAAAATGGAATGAAGCATGTTGCTTCAATTTATAGTTGTCTAACGCCTAGTTGACACAGTAACACAATCCAGAAGCATTTTGATCTTGAGGATCAAAGTAGTATCTGAAATGTTAGTATCCACCTCCAAGAGAGCATGGTGTTACAAGCCAGAAGACAACAATCTTAGAACTTCAGTTATATTTTCCTTAACTTTGTCCTCATAATGTAACAAAAATATGAAACAATCCTCTTTTCAGGCAATAAAGTCTGCATTTCAGCCTTCGGAAATGTGGCGTCCACAGAATTCTAAGACCTACGAAGAGTGGAAGGATTTTAAAGAGAAGAAGAGGAGAGAACTGGAAATTATTTCAGTAGATGAATCACTATGGCAGAAGTTTGTTCGGGTTTACTTTGATTATTCACCAGCAAGAAACAGACTAGAAACATATTAGCCACATGAAATCTAGTTCTCAGAGTGCCATACACTCAACAGTGGTTGTAAAATGTACATAATATTTGCATAAATTATTTTTCTATTGCCACGTGTCACAGTGACTAAAGACGGGGCTCGGATTGGTAATTGGATCTAGTAACAACATACAGGTCATAACTACAATTACTACAAGCCAGAAGGTCGTGGGCTCAAGTCCCGATGAAGTTGGTGGATTTCTTTCAATTAACCTAATCCTTCCAGCCTCACTATGGCGCCAGGGTTGACTCAGCCTCTAACAGAAATGAGTAAAAAGTGAAGCTATCCCTGTACCAGGCCATGAAGGCCCATAGGGTTGTGAGATGTTGAGGATCCCATATTATCTAGACAATCGGCTCAAAGATGGCGGTAAGGTTGTCAGCCCTACATGCCGGCCGGCCAGGAATTAATGAAATAATTTTCTTGAGGAGTAAAGCGCGGCCGACGCATAAGGCTGACAACCTTACCGCCATCTTTGACCCGATTGTCTAGATAATGTGGGACCCTCAACGTCTCACAATCCTATGGGCCTTCACGGCCTGTTACAGGGATAGCTTTACTTTACTTTACTAATGCTTCTTTACACAATTTACAATCACTCCACACAATTCTTCTCATTCTATTTGCACTAGTCTTCATGGATTTGTAACATAGGATCTATAACGGTGTCGCTAAATCACACACTCCCAAGATCACTGTGCTACAGCACACATAAAGTCTTCAAATCACACGTTAAATCTTCACAGTCTGACTTCTTGTACTCTTCTTCAACTACATACTTCCTGTGGCTATCTCCTACCAAGAACTGACTTGTCCCTGAACCGAACGAATTCTGTCACTTATGTAGCCAAGGAATGGACAAACATCACAGGTTGCATGTCATGTGACCACCATCTGCCACTGTGTGACTTCACCACGGGCACAGAAAACACAGCCTCTTCTATTGTTGTGTGTTGGACCATGTTTACAGAGCTGTTGCCTAGCAACACGATGATCAAATCTGTTACAGTATTTTAAGATGTACTGTTTTACCACCTATTGTATATATATTTTTTCTATTGTTCAGTATTGTTTGCAGATGTCTGTATTATTGACTCACCAGTATTATGCATTATTTGTTCCTGTATGGAGATTATACTCAACATTTCATTGTGTGCAAATGCTAATTACTGTAAGTTAAATTTTACTTTGTCATGTGATGATAGATGCACCTTGGATTGATAACTTGATTTACTGGACACTTAAATCATTCCGGCCTTCAGCGGGCATGCCATAAAATGCAAATTACATGACCTGTATGTTAATAGTGTCTAAAGCCCATTAGAAAAGGTGACGTTATTGTGAATTTTCTTTTATGGAAATAGCTGGTATAATTTTGTGGTCTTAAATTTTATGTATCATAATTATATATAATGTGTGTATATAGTTATATAAGTTTGGCTACAGGCATTTTAATAATATATTTTAACTTATTTTGTACTACAATATACTACTACAATTTTGGTAGTATGTATAATACTACAATAAACCTTTCAGATATAAATATTTTGTTGGACATTTTAATCAATTTCTATAACTGAAGAGCTGATTATCAAATATAAACATAGTTTTATGTCTATGTGACATGAGTTTATGATATGAGCTGTTTGCCATATCAGACATCCTGAATCTGTGTTCTTCCTTTAGAGTTAAAGTACAAAGTTTCCTATTTATACTGTGCAACAGGTAAAATTATTGTAATGTTGTATATTTTAATCTCCAGGACTTTTGTATAAAAGATGAGGAAGTAAGAAATTCTGAACGGAATGGTAGCCAGTATTTTGTGAATTCACTGTAATTTTAATTTCTACACAAATTTAACTGTGATTCAATTTTTCTCACTTTTGAAGACCTCTGAAACGAAAGAATAATTCTCTTTAGTAATGTGGGATGTCATATGAAGAGACAGCCACTAGTTGAACTGTCCTATAGGATTTATTGCAGCTGCATACATAGACGGATAATAACAATAGTGAACTGCAGAATCTAGAACTGTAACTGTCACTCTAACTCAGTGTATCTTGTTATGTAGCCTAGAGTCGGACATATAGAAAACATGTCACTGTCAGTATTGTTGTAGGCTTTGCCTAGCAACCGCTGTTTACTCGTCGTTGCTAAGCAATGAAGCTTGCGTTGTCACGCTTGTTTGAATGTGGACAGCTCCCACAGTAATATTCTAAAGTGAACTTAATAGACTTAATACTGGAAAAGACTGTGGTGGTGACTATCATTCCAGAATACTGTGATTACACACCACACTGAATTACAAGACATAAATGTATGCTTAGTTTGCTCTCTATATACTTCTAAGCAAATTGCCGCCCTTATTGCTGTGTGTGTGTTTCTCTTTATGGCATTTATGTTCTGCCAACAAATTAATATTACAACCATAAACCAGAACTTGATTTTCTAATTTAACTGTGACATAATAGTAAGTCATATTGCTATAAGAACTCTAAGAGTAACTGTAATAGATTGATAGGAAAAATAACAAAAGGTGAGAAAAATTTTCACAAAAAACCAGCCATTTTAACTTTACTGTGAATGACAGAACTTCCAGAATTATAAAACTGTCATTATTTACACCATTCAGTGCAATGTTAGTGATTCTAATTTTTACCAACCTTTATATATTGTACATTAAGCACTTTAATAAACAAACTAAAGAATTTTCTATAATTAATCTAAATATTCATATTTATGTATGCTGGCAACTTCACAGCCATCTGTGTTGATTGTCTAGGAAATATAGGAGCCTCAGCGTCTCACTGAAATATGGGCCTCCATGGCCTCTTATAGGGATAGCTTTACCTTTTATCATACTTATGTGCAACCTCAGTTGGCATAGCAACTAACTATGCAGTGTGGTGCAGTATGATTTTTGGTAAGGGAAGCAGTGGTATCTATTAAACAAACTGATAGCAATCAACTCACCAAAATTTACATCACTTATTGAGTCAATAAGGTCGTTTTGTATTCTGTTTGATAAACCTGTAAATACTGTACTGTTCTTAAGGTGAACATTGAGTTTATGATCATATTTCCTCAACAAGTGAACTAATTCCACATAATTACCTCAGTCGATAGAATCCACGCTTTCATCATGACCACGGAGGCCAAGTTGCCACTTTCCTAAGTGGCAGATGATATCAATCAAGCATTTCATTATTTCTCTATTTTCTTTCACATTTTCATTCTGCTGTAGTATTGCAGGCACTTTTGATTGTCAAGGTGACAGTCAATTCGAGATTTCCCAAACATAACAAGTTGCATTGTTGAAATAATGTGAGTCTGAGAGTTCTAATGTCATTTCAATGCTTTATGAAAGTTGTTGATATCACCAAACCCAGTCTTGTTCCATATATTTTTTTCATTGAGAAACAATAGACATGGCCAACAAAACAATTTTCCTATATTATGGCAACTGGATAGCCACTCTGTTTTAGAATACAGTTCCAAATTAAATTTCCTCACACATAATTTGGTTTGTGCTTTAAATTCTGTCAACTCTCATGTCAGTCGTCCTCTTTCTATAATTATTTTCTTTTCAGAAAAGTCCCTGTTATTAAACCCCCATTTTAAAAAGCTTTCAATTGCAGTCACAGTCACGTCTGCCAGCATTCATTTTAGCTGTGCCTGTGCATGTAGTCTAATCATGCCCCTGCCCCTTGTACCACAATATCACACTTGCTTCCCTTAAACATGGATAGCTTCTTTCTGATGCATCAAAATACAATCACAAATGCAATCTTACGCCATATAAATATGCACTTACAATATTTTAATAAAACTTAATGTTACCTATAACAACCAATAAGACTGAAATCACATATAAACAGTTAATTTTCACATAACCATTGAAACAACACATTCCTTCACTGGTCTAGCCACCAAACTGAAATTCGCTTCTGCTGGTCACTTCAGATGGGACGAATTCGTACAGAGATTAACGAAGGAAACTTGGTCCGTCCCTCCAAGCAAGGAAAGGGAGGAGGAGGAGGAGGTGGCATGTGGCCTTGAGCAGGAACACGCGCTAAATGAAAATATTCAAATCCTTATTATTCAAATTGAATTATTTGTATATGACTTCTTTTCTTTTCATTTCTTAACTACAGAAGCAAATCTTCCCTTTCTTCCATGCATGGCATGCCACTGTAACTACGGACTGGATGCCTAGCATTGAGGTTTGATTTGCAACATCGAGACTGATTGTACTGCCTACCCATCCTCCAACATAATGGGAACCAGAGACATTTCTCCAGGAGTGAAACAAAAAAATCACCTCAATCTTGTTCTGCAGTTGAGGATGGTGGAGCTGTACTCAATTCCTCATGCATGTACAAGGTGTGGTACTTAATTAATTTATCACATAGCTAACTTTGCCTTTACCACGAACTTGAGAAAGGTTAGAAATTATTTATAAGTAAGTCAGTTTCAAAGTACAGTATTTTTTTTTATTCAGGCAATTCCATGTGAAAGTAACATAGATGTTGGATTTCAATGATATTTTATAAGCCTACAGATTCAGACATGGAAGTGAGAAATATGAAACATTTCCTTCCTATGCCAGTTTGTTTGAAAGTAATTTTCAAGCTTGAAGTTTTTTTAAATTTTCCATAGTCTGATTCACTAAAGTGCTCATAACTCTGATCCTAATCAATATACAGAACTCATTCTGCTATCAATTAAAAATTCTGAAGAGGGATTTTCATTTGGTATGCCACTCATAATATTTTAGGGCCAATCAACATCTTGAATTTTACATTTGTTCTTAACTTATGAAAGAGTTTGCAGATATAGTTGACACTGTGGTAAATGAAGAGGCCTATTTTAGTTTAAAACAACATAATCCTGAGAAGTTGCTAGGATTTTCAAATTTGCAGTGTTATGGCCAAAACATTGTATACTGAGTGCAGCAAGTATTAGCCATGAAATTTGTATTTGTACCATTCGCCAAGATATGAAACTTGTGATATCAGGTGAAAAAATTTGTGATTTGACTGATAAGAAAAATGAAGATTATGTTAACTCTTTGTCCAAATTCTTTGCAATGTTACCACTAAGGACTGTGTGAGATGTATTCAGGAACTGAGAACCTGGTCAGAAATATTGGACAGAGATTTTAAATACCCGACTGCACAAATTGGCATACTTCAACCACTTCAGCCATACTCATTCCGCTCATCACTGTATCAATCGGTGCACTTCGGTCATTAGAAGTTAAGTCTACTGGCATCAGGTATGAACCGAAAGGCTGGCCGAGACATAATGCCCTGCAGCCAGTCTGTATGAGTCACAACATGACGCATCATGTCAGATCATGCCACTAACAGATAAAAAAAGCACATCTTCTCACAACTTCCTTGCTAAGTGTTTTGGGAAATCTTGCATCAATCTAGTTATATGTTTCTTCATAAAGTAATGTCAGTGTCAAAAGGTTAATATGACCTGAAGTAATGTAGTTGCATCTCATATTAAAGCCTCATTTAAGAGCTCTAAATCAGTGCAAGAGTTTGGACCCTAGACTAACTAGGACCATATGTATAAGCACTTAAGTGAATCATAACAAAGGAAAATTTAAGGAGAATTTAAAATTTATGAATGTTGGTACTTGATGAAGCAATAATTCTTCTGATTTTTATTTAGGAGTTACCCACTCTGTACCTTGGCTCTAACACTGACTATCCTGACTGAGGATTATTACGGTTTTTCTCAGTTCCTCCAGGATTTAAAATTAGGCTATAACTACTGACTTCCACACCCTCCTTTATTCAATATTCACTAATCATCCTACAATTCAGAGCTATATAGCTGAGCTCCTGACAGCATCATTAAATATAGCATGCAATAAAAAATAAACATATATATAAAGAAATTGTATAAATATATGGAAGTAACTTATTTTATATCGATTATCAGAGAGTTGTTTGCTTGGAACTGATTCTAAATTGTAGAAAAACATAAAGCTGTTCATTTTCTTAATTGATTAAACACTATGCAATGAAAACACATGGGAGAATGAAGGTATAGCTTCACCATTCTTCATATCAGCACTAAATGGGAGTGGTCAGCTTCAACTGCTGTTGCTTTATTTCAGGGGAAATCATCCCTAGTATACACTGGATGGGAGGCTGGCTGGATCCCAGAGCTGATGTGATGTTGTAGGGAACAGAAGAAAAATTTTTCCTTGCTGGGAATCAAACCCTGGCCGTCCAGACTGTATCTCGCTTGGTACTTCCGATGACAAGTTGACATAAATGAAATCTGCAAATATGCCTGCAGATGGAACCTATGGCTTAGTGACTAAGCATGGAAGCTGTGTGACTGTAATTGAATGGATTTCTTGCTCCTGTTTACAGAGGAGAAACAAATTAATTCCATGATTTATTTTATCCGTCTTCTATTGCATACATTTATTTATCCCCTCTTTTCACTCTCACTACATGTTTCGGCACCAATGTGCCATCTTCAGGTGCTGATCCAATCCACGACAAACTAATTCATTGCATGCCTTGTCTTTACATACTAAAATAACTAAAATATATATTTATCATATATACTGACAAATGTCAAGTGTTAAAATACTCAGCACACATACCCAGCAGGTCCAGCAGTATAACACACGCAGTCACAGGAGCGAGACGCAACACAGAGCACAATACACGATAGTGAAAGAGAGAGTGCTCCAACAGAGGATGATAGACGTGACTCGCGTAATGAAACACGACGTAGGAAAGAAATATGCTGTACAGTTTTAGTATTTTAACACTTGACATTTGTCAGTATATATGATAAATATATATTTTAGTTATTTTAGTATGTAAAGACAAGGCATGCAATGAATTAGTTTGTCGTGGATTGGATCAGCACCTGAAGATGGCACATTGGTGCCGAAACATGTAGTGAGAGTGAAAAGAGGGGATAAATAAATGTATGCACTAGAAGACGGATAAAATAAATCATGGACTTAAATCAGTGCAACAGGACGCTAAAATATAACAAATTAATTCTTTTATCCAATCATCATTTTTTCAGCAGTTAGCACATGTGTTTTAATTCAGGAGGTCATAGGTTCAATTCTACACCTGGAAGACAGATATAACAACTGAGATGTTTGTGTTTTTTCTCAGTCCCTTGAGGCTGATGCTTAAAAGAGACCATGGCTGATTTCATCACCCTCTTCAATTCATCAATCACAATCACTCCCCCACTTAAGAAGAAGCTGAGACCACATTCTCAAGTAAAGTAAAAGAACCAGATTTACACCTGTCAGTCCATCCCATCACCCTTATTTCTCTTTGTCAGTCTTCTCCAGAATGTAGATGAAACCTCAGAAGAAATTTCAAACACAGACCATGTTCTTCCAAATAACGTCATAGAAGCTAAATGAGGAGTGGGGGGATTTCCTGATATGTGTGTGTCTCTCTCAAAATGTTTATAGTGTCCCTGCCATGATTGTTAGAGACTGCCAAAGGCCACAGTCGTTTAAGCAGGCATGAGAGAATTCTCAAAATATGGCACTTATATGACAGTAGATGAAAAGTGTCATGAGAAGACAGTTTTAGTTGAGTTAGGTAGAAGCATAGTGTAGATGTGTGTACAGGTAAAGAAATGAAACAGTGAGTACTGTGAATTGTGAGTTAACAGTGCAGTCTGGTAACAAGTCAGTTATCAATTTAGAGTATAAACTGAACGGGTAGTTCAGTGGGTTCAAAAAGATGAGAAGATAATTGAGTGCAAGGAGAGAGAAGACAAAAGAAGAAAACGGTTCACTGACTGAGCACTGGTATTAAGTTGAAATAACAAGTAGACAAAAAGTGATATCAATAGGTGACAGTGAGACAATAGCTGCTTTAATTAATGATAAATATTCCAGTACATACAAATCTCTGTATGGATATTTTTCAATTGTATGATCATGTAATCTTGAATGAATAGCAAGAGATCAGTCAAACACAGGAGAAACATCGTCATCATCATCATCATCATCAAATTTTCTATTCAAATCATGTAGTAGATCAAAGATGTGTTTCTAAACTGGACTAATTAATTGATTTATTAACGTTTTTTTAAGTTTTTTAAATACTTGCCCTTATTTTACTAACTGAATTTTAATTTTTCTTTATTTTGTGTTTTATGAATAAAGGTGCTGGGATGTAGTATAGTGGAAACACAGATAAATACTCAACTAGGTATACCAGTACAATTTTTCTTAATTACAATGAAAATACTTACCAATTATGTGACCTACAATTAACACCTGGCTTAAATCTGGTCTATGAATTTTTGGACATAATTTGGTCTTCAGGACCAATATAAAAGATTGCTGATTCCAGATTCTACTACCTGTAGACTACTACTTTCTTGTTGCAAATAAGGCAACAATTGGAAATCTTTTGTTAATATCTATGAATTGATGAAGCGACTGGAGGTTTGTATCATAGTAGTGATTGTGGTAGTGTCCAAGATGATGGATGATAATGGTGATTCCAGCATGTGAACAGCATGTGTTTTATTTAATTAGTAATATGTTTAGGGAAGTTGTATTTAAAATGTTTTACATTGCAAATTTAATTAAATAAGGATAAAATTATGAGTCAGAAATAGTCAGTGAAGAAATATGAAATCAGTTACTAAATCTCAGACACAAATAACTTCACTTTCACTAAAATATATTATGAGTATTACAACTACAAATCTGGCAGAGTTCAGAATTAATCCATGGGGGGAAAAAATGTACACATCTCAAATTTATTTCAAGTTTCTTTAGAGATATTAAGTATTGATTATTGAACCTGTTTCACTGCAAGTGGATATTAGTAACTTTTCAGTGGCCTTTGTTTCTATGGTGACAGTTGTAAACAGTATGAAGATCCCTTAGGATGGAGCCCATGTTATAGTATTTGCTATACTTCTTGTAGATTTGTGGAAAGCAATAGTTTATATATGTATATATATAACATAGCATGGGGCCTACAGTTTGAATGTGATATATTTTTGGAAACTATTTTATCTCTAAGAAAAACTTGCTTCCTGGAGAAAATATTACTGCTTCTCTCCAACAGGAGCTGAGAAGTAATATGGTATAGTGTTACTGCTTTCATAATTTAGTTTAATTTATATCAATATAGTAACATGGAAGTTATTCACACACTGCATATATTGTGCAGCTTATTTCTAAAATTCAATTTTGCCTAATAATATACTTGAATCTAGAATTTAAAACTATGGAAGTTTGAAAACAGTATCTACCATTAAATTTACATTTTTAAACCTTAAACAGCGAACAATCATGATGTAATGGAGGATAATAACTATGGCCTTATTTGATTAGAATACTCCTCTGTTTTAGGTTAGGTTTGGTGAGGTTAGGATCAACTTGAACTTGCATAATTTCATTATGCTAGGGGTAAACCATAAGAATTAAAAACAGAGAAATCGTTTAGCAAGAAGGAATCCTCTAGGTTTGTTTCAACCTACTCAAGGATACATTATAGTATCTGGGACAATTCAGTTGGTTTATTGAGAGGCTATGGCCTGGATAGCCAGAGTTCAGTTCCTGACAAGGGCAAGAGATTATCATCTTCACTACAGCTTCCAGACTGAACTTGTGGTCCACCCAGACTCATATACAATCTGTAATTAAGCAGAGGGAAAACTTTACCTCTTTATTTATTCAGGAATATTTTGTAACATTTTAAAGGATATACTGTTCATGCTTTGCTCAGTTCAGAAGACTCATTTCATGAAAAATAAACATATAGAACAGCAGTGGCAAAAAATTGCTGAATGTCAGAGCAGCATATGAAAATTTTCAGAAGTTAGCGAGCTGCTAATGGAGATGCTCTACTGCCACTCCATTTCACCTTTGCTTTAGAATATGCCATTAGGAAGGTCCAGGAAAACCAGGTGGGAGTGAAATTAAATGGGACACATCAGCTGTTGGTTTATGGTGATTACATGAATCTATTGGGTGATAATATAGATATCATAAAGAAAAAGACACAAAATTTAATCGACGTAAGTAAGGAGGTTGGTCTAGAAGTAAAAACCAAAATACAGGGCAAAATCATGACATAATGAAAAGAAACAGATGTTTTGAAAATGTGGCACAGTTCAGATATTTGGAAACGATGACAGCAAATCAAAATCTGATTGAGGAGGAAATTAAGAGTAGATTGAACTTGGGTAATGCTTGCTACCATTCAGTTCAGAAACTTTTGTCTTCTTGTCTGCTGTCCAAAAATATAAAAATTAGAATATACAAAACTATAAAATTACCTGTGGTTCTGTATGGGTGTGAAACTTTGTCTCTGCCATTAAGGGAGGAACATAAACTGAGAGCGTTTGAGAAAAGGATGTTGAGAAGAATATTTGGACTGAAGAGGGATGAAGTAACAGGAGGTTGAAGAAAACTGCATAATGAGGAGCTTCATAACTTGTACTCTTCTCCAAGTATAATTAGAATGATCGAAGTCAAAGAGGATGAGGTAGGCAGGGCATGTAGCACGAAGATGGAGACCAGGAATGCATATAGGATACTGGTGGGAAAGACAGAAGGAAGGAGACCACTGGGAAGACCAAGGCATAGGTGGGCAGTATTAAAATGGATTTTAGAGAGATAGGATGTGATGGTATGTATTGGATTGATTTGGCTGAGGATAGGGACAAGTGGAGGGCTCCTGTGAACACGTTAATGAATTTTCAGGTTACATAAAGTGCTGGGAAATTCTTGAGTAGCTGCAGATTTTGCTTCTCCTCAAGAAGGGTTCAGCTCCATAAGTTAGTAAGTAAGTAAGCCAGCTGCTAACAGGCTATGATTTAGTAATGATAGTTTGTTCAAAAAAAAAATCCATGGTTTTAGTCTGCAAGCGAACTATAACGATTGAGCGACCGCCGCTTGTCAGCGAAATTAGTGCCAACTTTAGCAGATAGATGGTGTTGTATGGTCAGTGCAACAAATCCCCACCGACGTTAATTTCGGTTTTCGCTAGTTCATTGAAATAGCTCCTCAATTATCCTCACGAGGCTGAGTCCACCCCATTCCAGACCCACTACTTCTCAGAAAATCTGGTAGCTCCGGGAATCGAACCCAGACCCCTGGATCTGTAGGCAGGAACTCTGACCACTAAATCACAGAGTCCAAAGCACATTTTTATGGGTAATATTTATTTTGAATGCTACATGTACATGTAGTAATTGACTTCTTCTATATCTGTAGGTTTATCTCCAAATATGGATTCTTGGAACAAATAAACTGATTGATTGATGTTAAGATAAGTGTAAGTGAAGCAGTATGTATCCCTATGAAGCTGTGAATGGATGTAGCTTATTTCATTTATTCTTAATCTCAGTACTAAATGTAAACTAACAGAAAATCAAATTCATAAAATATAAACAATTTTATGAATATCATAGATGCTGAAACATAAAATATGATGAGATTACATACTGCGGTATGGATTAACTGAAATGTGATATATTATTAAATATTATATAGTAAGTCACAATACATGTCTATATTTATAACAGCAAACTGACGTCATTCAAGATAAGGATTCTTTTTTATGGTGAGTATCCCACTTATTTTTAAGCTCTTCCACTCTGTAAGTGTGATAGTGTCAATGTTATTTATTCTGGTTTGTAGGCAACAGTCAATTAAAATGCAGGGTGCAAGACCAAAGAGGGTGTCAGACTCTGCATTAAAAGTCCAGCAACAGAAGTTGCAGATACAACCAGTGCTGGCTGTGAATGATAAAAGGAAGCCATCAGAATCTGTGGACACTTTCATCAAGCAACAGGAATACCCACCCCTCATGCAGGCGAAATCATGGACAAAATCTGTGCCTGTGAGGATCTGTAAAATCGAAAGATGTACCTGTTTCATAACTGAAGGGCAGGAATGCATCCATTAAAAATAATAATGATCTAATTAACAGCACATCTTGCTCTTGATGCTGCCATTATTATATTCTTTTTTCATTCAGCCATTTTCTCTTCAGTATTTATTACCTGTTAAAGTTCATTCCAGTAAACACATACAAGTCAATCATTTAATTTTAATTTTATATGTAATTAACTTTAATGCTTGAAATGTATTCTCAGTTACATTTTGTTGAAAACTGTCAGGTTATGCATTTGCTTCATGTTTCTTTATGTCAATTAACTCTCAGAATCTAGCTCTCTAGAATTGGTCTTCAGCTATTTAACACGGTAATGTATAGAATATTACACAGAATTGTGGGATGAATTCCAAAGTGGATAAAATATCAATATATTTTCCTTGAAATTCAATATATCACCTCCTCTTTGACAGCATCATATAATTATATAAAAATATACTACGCTCCCTCTGCTTCAAATTAGCAAAGTCAATGCTATGATTACTACATACTGTCTGGGATATAAATGTTCTATTACTAATGATACTTGACTACACACACTTACCATGAAGTACCCATAAATTAGAGGAAGCCAAATATATTTACCTGCAACACATGAAAACAGCAGAATGAAGCATTGTTTCAGAATGTCTGTGAGTACCAGAAACTTGTCGAGGTGGTAGATATCTTCTACCTTGATAACTGTAATAGCTGAGCCCAAAATCTTATGATTTGACCAGTTCCAAGTACAAAAGAAAACAACTTACACATTATACAGACAACACCTATGTATCGGTTTCTGGAAGGTCTTTTCCTTCTTTATTTCTTTCTTTCCAGGAGCCCTTTGAGTCCTGCAGACTAGGTGAATGTGTAAGCAGCAGTTACACTCCAACTGCAAAGTCTCTTCATACACGAGACTTACCTCCACTAAAGGGGCAACGTCCACAAAAATCACTTATGTTGGATGAAGATGGAAAGCTTAAATATCCACCCAAATTGAGAAGAGTTGAAGTGAAGAAAACAGATATAACACAGACAAAAGAATTACCAACACCAGGAATTGTCAAACTACGTGTGAGTTACACATTTGCTCTAAAAAATATTTGGATGGTAGCTCACATTTCTGTTTACTGTTCTTTGTGCTGTAACAGGATATGAACCTGGATTGCTCATACTATATAAGCTATGATGTTTGGTCATGAAATTGTGCTATGTTGGAGAATAATACATTTTTAGTGGACATTATTAAAAACAGAACATTAGAAATAGTTAAATAGAAATTTGTATAATAAATTATACTTGGAAGACCATGAGCTAGGTGGATGAAAATACTGAACCAAACTTAGGAATATGAATTCTGAGTATATGAATTTATTCTACAGTCAGGAAAAGACCGTAATAAGGCTTCAGTGACAACAATGAGACTCCATCATTTCTAATATCTAATATCACCAATATCACTTGTATTTTGTTCAACTGCTGAAATTGAGTCAATACCATGGAATTAGTAAATTAGTTAATGCCAAATAATTTCCATGTCAAGTAAAATTTTATAAATTATGAGAATTGAATAAGTACCACAGCAGGTGCATGTTTAATGTGTTGCTCCTTGGCTATCTTGAAAATAATTTAAAGAGCAGATTAGAAAACTGGTCACCACACAGATTGAAGAAATGTTTCAGGCATATCAGTTCAATGACATTGCACACTGCCACTGTGCATCTGGATGAGTTGGGCATGCAGAGTTGCCAAACTAATATGCCTGAATCATTTTCTTATTACTAGTCATGATAATCTGTCTCATCAATTTATATTTGCCATTGTGAATTGCCATTGTTATTGCCTGTATATACCTGGTTGAATTTGTTGTGCAGTGTTGCCTAACTATTACACCAGGCTTGGCACAGCAGATCATGCCGTAACTCATGTTACAACGGTTGCGTAGTTACTTGAACAATCACAGGCTTTGCCGCCGTGAAGTTTAAGCCCCTTATATTTTCTGTGTTTTGTTCCGCCTTGTTCTGTGCTGCAGACATGGTCATTCTCATGATTTTGTATGACTTCTGCTTGTTGCCAATCAGAACTTCGTACTGAGTAAGTTTAATATTTGTATCTAAACTCTCGCTTTTGATTAAAGTATAGGTCTTTACATATGTGCCCAAGGCCTTGGTTACAGTGGTTACAGTCCTTTCGATATGGTGTCACTAGGTCATCCTCCTGTTGAAAGTGATACCAACGTATGTTATATTATTTACAAAGGAAATGTCTCATCTCTTTCATTGTTGTACTTCGTCGGGGACTCTGGAGAAATAGATTGACTCAGTATTCCCCTCATTGACCTTTTTGTTCCAGTGCTCAGACGAATTCACTGCATTGAGTCCTCGTTTCAGTTTGCAGGGAACATGATATTCGTGTCCGTGTCATGTAAATACAGGTATTATCCGCGAACCAATCAACATGAGTTCCATTTGCCAAGGGATACCTTTTATGTATAGACTGTACAATATTGGGCTAAGGATGGAACCTTGAGGAACCCCTGCCACAATTTTTTTGGAGTAGAAGATTCACTTTCTGTCAGTTAGAAAAAAAGTGATTAGCTTAATGAGGCTTGTTGAAAATTCAAATTCTGACAATTTGCGTACAGTAGGCGAGAGTGTCATGTTGTGTCGAAGTCTTTCTGGTTATTCAAGAAGACAGCAGCCACAAACATGTTATTGTTGAAATTTAGATTGAATTGATCCACCAGCCTCATATATTGAAGTACCGTACTGTGATCTGCTCAAAAGAAAAACTGACTTGCCATTAATACGTTTCTAGCCTCAGTGTGCTTTTGGAATGTTCTTACAATCAGCTTCTCAAATAGTTTGCCTTTAATGAACAAGATGTTGATCAGACCTAAATTTGAGAGAAAATTTGGGTCCTTGCCCCGTTTCTGCAGAATTATGGTTTTTGCCTACTTCCAAGGTGATGGGAAGTGACCACGCTGAAGGCAGTGATTTGACAAATTTGATAAATGCACAAGAGGTCTTCTTGGAAGACGACAGACTTATTTATTTTTAATGCCATCCAAACCACAGGTCTTTCCTAATTTGCAGGATTATATTTATTTCGAGACGTCACAGGTCGAAAATTAACAGGGATGTCTTCATTGGCAGTAGCCAGGAGGGCTTCGACTTTAGTATCCACATGTCGGCTGTGGTCACAGTTGCACAAGCCTTTTGTACTGGTTTTATAAGAAGTATGTGATTATGTTCGCTTTATTTATTGGATAAAATAAGGGGCCTAAGGGACCATGTATTGAAAATGATGGGATTTTGCAGTAGACCATATTGCCTGAGGTGTTACTTCGCAGTTTGCCAATTTTTTTTCCCATCTTCGAGTGCTGTTTTCTGGACCATTCTCCTGAAATTTCCATTGACCGAGTTTACTGCTGTTGTTTTTCATGTTGGATCCCTCGCTTATTATAGTAATTTTCTGCGCTTTCTTTTGTGTTTTGATAAAACATCTAGGACAGGTATTTTGTGTTTCCAGTCTAAAATTTTACTTTTTATAGTCGATAGACTATATGCCAAAGCTATAGAAGCTGCAAAGTCACGTGCTGCTTCATCAGATTTATTAGAAGAGTGAATTTGGATACTTAGAAGTAAGAGTTCAGAGGCGAGGCTTTGGAACAGTTTCCAGTCTGTCACTTTTACAACAGGATATAAAGTTTCCTTTCTTCTGATAGGGTCAAGAATGCTAGACATTACTGGTAAGTGATCCAAGTCTAGGATGTCAGTGACAATGACCTCTGACAATCAGACGTTCTGATATATCACAATGTCGAGAACATCGCTTCTACCATCAGGTGTTTAATGCACTATGGAGCTGAAATTTCGAAGTTAGAGCTAACAAATAATTTAAAGAATTTCAAACCTCAGGGGTTTGAAAATTTACTATTCCAAACAGGGTGTTTTGAATTCAGGTCACCTGCCAGGATAGATTTATTTCTGAAGCCTGAGCTATGTGATGTCTGTTATCATTCCACAGTCTTTGCAGAGATAACTATACAGCCGCAAGGAACATTTCAGTGTTTGTAATCGGTATGCAGACATCTGTTGCTTCTACTGATAGGACAGGAGGTCAGTCGATGCAGTTGTGAGGGATTCTTTACTTAACTGCAACGGCAGTTCCGCCTTTGTACTTGTCTTCATGGTCAGCCCAATAAATATCATAGTTTGGAATGTAGATCATATGAGGTTTCAGGTGTGTGTCTAAGAAGAGGGCCACGTCCATTTTCAAGTTTTGCAATTGTTTTCCCACCACGTAGGCCTGCTTCTCAGTGCTATTAGCATTGAATGCTATGAATTTCAGAGGTTTATGAACTGTTGTATCTAATCTAATCTAAATTTCTAAATTAAAAACGATTACTCCCATCAAAACTTTTCAAAGATCTTCAATAGTCTGATTTTTGAAAGAGCATGGATTTCAACTTAAAATCCCCTGTTGCATTTCCACCAGTGAACGAAGTCAGCAGTCCTTCAAAGCTTTATGGTCAATTAGAACTCCTTCTCTCTTAAGGGTGTTCTTTCCCAGAGTAATCCAGTTCCACTGATGTTAAATATTTTATGCAGATTCTACACTCCTTCCTCAACAATTTTTTCAAGTTTTCCTAAAAATTTTCTGCTACCTCTGAATTAGCACTGGGACTTTTGTGGGACTCTGGTGAATACATCCCTGAAGGCTGTACCAAATTCTTACCTCCTAAACCAGGCCCAACTTTTTGGAAGTTCGTTTCAATTTCCTCTAGGTACTTAGGTATAAGTTCTTAAAGTAAGATCACAGCTTGTTTAAATTTTCTACTCACAAGCTTATTGTCCTTACATGCATTTTGTACCAGTAAAACCTAAACAGTTCTACTTTGTCAGGTATGAGTGGCTAAATTCTATCAGTCTGTTTGGATGTCAATGATGCTGTCTTGCTAGACTCTTTATATTTTCCTTATTCTTCAAAATGGCCATAATGTCAGACCCAGTCATATCCATGCATTTGATTGCATTTGGTTTTCTTCTCCATATTCAATAGGTCTTACAATTTCAAGTTTATATTCTTTTGTGGCTAATTTGTGTTATTTCTTCCTTGATGCTGAATTATATTGATTCATTTTATTTTTATTTTTATAAAAAAGAAAAGAGGAAGACACTCATTCAACATGACAGATAAGAATAGCGGCATGATACATAATAACTATTACCATTTTGGAGCTACTCTGTCTAACTGAACCAAGCCCCGTGGCTGGCTGAATGTGGGGGTCATGTGTCACTGAATTTTGCTTCTTCTCATAGAATATGAAGATTTATGAAGTAGAGTCCATGACATTGGATATGGTTGCAAATGATTTATATTGCCAGTGTGAATGGTGGGAGAAATAAATAATAATGCATTATGTAGATGAGCATTACTTGTAAAGCTTTATTATGGAAGTTATGAGTAAAATTTTTAGTAGAAATTAACACTGAAAAATTGCTAAAATTATTTACATGTTTGTAGAGTAGGATGTGTTTCATATTCCTGTATTTATGATATAACAAGAACCAATTAATGTCGTGAATCTGTAGAGCTGTTCTTTATAACTTACACACTAAGTAAGGTTACCAATGATGTGCCAAATTTTCTTTCTAAATTTACAGGATCTGCTTACTGGAAAGTATCATGAACAGAAGATCCTGAATGAAGAGAAAAGACTAAAAGAGAAAACAAAGTCATCTCAGAAGAAGGAACTGAAAAAGAAACAAATCTATGAAGTACAGACACAGTATGTATTCCTCTCTTTGTTTATTACTAAGCAATCTACAGACCCTTATACTGATTAACCTAGTAGATTTATTCATGGTTTTGTAACTAGGAAAATGCTTCAGAAATAGGTCATAAGCACCACTTTTTTTTTTAGTTCTCATGGTTAATTGTGTGATATATGAAACTTTCAATCTGGATATGCCTGGTTTGAGTGACATTATGGGTGGATAATTTGGCAGAGAATTGCCTTATCCTTTTTTAGTTACTGCTGAAGAAGACCATGATCCAAAAAATAAACTCCATGGTCCGTAGTCTGCAAGCCAACTATACTGACAGAACAACTGCTGCTTGTCAGCGAAGTCAGTGCCAACTTTTGCCGGTAGAGGGTGTCATGTGGTCAGTGCAATGGATTCCCACGGCCATTAATCTCGGTTTTCTAGATCGGAGCCGCTATATCTTAGAAATAGCCCTGAAATTATCCTCAAGAGGCTGAGTGGACCCCGTTCCAGACCCACTAATTCTCAGAAAATGTGGCAGCGCCGGAAATCGAACCCGGGACCTCTGGATCTGTAGGCAGGAACTCTGAACACTAGACCACAGACAAGGTCTGAAGAAGACCATAATAATATTAAAAATATACTTCACTTGCTTCTTTCCAAGTCCCTTACAATTCATCATTTATCATTAACCTAACATTTAACATTTCAAGCACCATAACTCAAATGGCTCTTTCATTATTGTTAAATATCTTAAAAAGATGTTAGAAGATCAGTAAATTGTCAAAACTGAGAATTGCTGAAGTGAAGGAAATTTTTTAAGAAGGAACCAAGTAAAAATATAATTGAATAGCTAAAAAATAGGCAGGGCAAGAAACTTTAGACACTGGAAAAATACTTAATATTTAATAATTTTTATACACTGAAATCCTGATGAGGACTTGATGTAGGCTCCATCAGGCATAAACCAGCTGATTGTGGTCTTCTACAAAAATAACTTTCTTGCTAATTCTATTGTCAGTTACCTTCGCAAGAATTAAATTGAGGGCACATAAGTAACTGTGGAAAAAATATTTCTTACAAGGCATTATCAGAACAATCACATTATTAACTAAAACATTCTGTCTCAAGAATGGTCTTAGAAGCTTAGTCTAATTTTTATAAGACTACTAAGGGCATGGCCCAAGCATGGTTTGCTGAGGTGAGTATCTTGTATCTGCTGACTTGCATGGTGACTTCCTCTGAGCAAACTGATATATGTAGTGAAATGAGACTGGCCCCATTACTGGTGCTTAAAGAATTTGTCACATGGTGGGTCACATAGTTTCACTTTAAGTGAACTGAAACATTGGATTTGACTGGTGACATTTATAGTGACAACTCAGTATTAATATATCCAGAGCAAGTTATCTTGAGTGATTACCAAAAAAGAGCTCTATGGGATACTTATCATCCTATTCACAAGAACGTCGCCATTCTAGAATAAGAAACTCTGGGAAGAAGTAGTGTATGAATTAAACATAGAAAGTAAGCTCTTAGAGAGACTATTTTTCTAAACAAATTTAATATGTATGCCTATATATTTAATAGTGGGCAGATCATTCCAGTTCTTGAGGGCTTATGATGCTAACAATAATTAGTAATTAATATGCCATTTATATAATAATAAGAATTAAAAATAACTAGCTGTTAATAATGTCACACAAGCTAAGTGAAGGATGTGGTGGGGCGCGTTTTTTTGAAACATCAATTGCCCATTATTCTAAACACTTCCAGAGGCCCAGAAGACTGTGTCATTTACGCAGATACTCGAACATTCTCACAGTTATGAACCGTAATTATAAGGCCAGAAGATGACAGTACAATCTGAGTTGAATGTTGGTAATTGTGGAAGGTGAACACAGATGTGATGCAAAGAGTGCTGTTAATCAAGAAGTTACTTCAGTTGAAGAAGAGAAATAGTGCAAGAAGAGGAAGAAGAGGAGAGTGCAGTTAAATTATATTGAAATAACCTGTGTAAAAACACCATATGTTGTCAAGAATATAATTAGTCATGATCAGTGAGACAGGAACTGTTTCATTTAATGATAAACGTTATTACTATTATTATTATTAAAGGGGGTGGGTTTCCCCATGCACTTAAACCAGTTATTGGCCCATTGTGCGTCCCCCTTTAATTTCTACTTTAGCTATACCATACCGGTACTGGTGTGTGCTATCAGCCCCATTCAGCCAACGAGGTCGGTCGTTGGTACCTGATATTTCCCCCATCTACCAGAGTCACTGGAAACTACTTGGGAGGGAAATTGTTGCCTAATTTTGCTCACAGGTCTCCTAGAGACATGAGGATCTTTTACGTGCCGTAAATCTATGACACAGGACCCACAGCTTAAAGTCCCTCCCGGAGGACTTGTTCCCTGAATTTTTCCTCCCCTAAAAATTCCACGACCTCTGCTGGGTTTGAACCCGCATACCTTGAGTCATGAGGTGGGAACATTACCCCTAGACTATGGAGGCCGATTATGATAAACGTTAAATTCATGTCATGAATCGAATCAAAGATGAATCCAGCATTGCAAGCAATTTTAGAGTAATTGACTAAGTTCAGAGCTGGCAAAGAACTCAGTCAAGCAAGAAGAAATAAGGAATAAGGGACATCAGCACCGGCCAAACCAAGTGATGGCCCGCCAGGATGAATTTAGCATCAGCCAAGACAAATTGGCAACATATCAAGACAAACAGGTGGTCTGTTAAGATGTACGAGCTGTCTGCAAAAGAAAAATAAGGTGATATAAATTGTATAAAGGATGGCCATAGCAATTTCTAAGAAACAATAACAGATAACTAGATAGACAGTTGAAGGGCGTCATTGTAATGCTTAAACAGGAGGCCTTGAATATTTGCTAGGAATTCAATAGTGAGCTGCAATTGACACGACAAGACTTGTGAGTGATTTGACATGACCTGGGAACAAAAGGCCAAAGTCTTAGGCTGTGGAAGTGCAGGGCCAAAACATTCGCCATGAAGCCACAGAAGTTTGACGGATTCACGTCTTGGACAGTACTGTATAGACAGTTTGAGTACCTGGTTGAACACAGCAGTTTGGTGGCCCATGATAAGGCCACACATCTACTCCCAGTTCTGCAGTGGTAGCTGCCAGCATCCTGCACAGATTCTCATCCAGTGCAGAATTTAAAGACATCATTGAGGTGCTGGAGGTTCTTTACTGAGACCACCAGCTGGTGGTGACCTACCAGTCACAAATCAAAACCAGGACCCAGTTGAGCAACAAGCCTCTACAGGAATTTGTAGTCATCGTTCAGCAGTTGACCCATCAGTCCCTTCATCCAGATGGAGGCAGCCTATATATCCATAGATGTAGTGATGATCCAGATAGCAAAGCAGCAATCCCTTATGGGTAGCAAAAGATCACTCAATGTAGATTTTAATCAGGCCCTTGAGCTAGAAGTTTCGAAGGAGACATTCAAACCACCAGTGAGCGTGCGAGATGTAAGGGCAGGAACCCCCATGGAAACATTGCCGCCAAGGACCTAGCCTCACAGGGCTGGGCGACTAATATGCTGGCAGTGGGGAAACTTTGGTCATCTCACAAGAGAGCATTAGCAGAAACGTGAATAAGGGCCATTGCAGAGAAAATGATTATGCATGATTACTCTTCCCCTCTTTTCACAGCCAAGAAGTTAGCTGCATTGACTGGTTGCAGTGCAAACACCGAGGGCTGTATAAGGGGAAATCCATGCCTGGCATATGACAAATTTGCCACCACCGCAGGACTGTCTCTGAGAGAGAGAGGGAAGGGGGGGGAAGGGGGTACTTGTAGAGCTCCATAAATAATCTTCAGAAGGACATCTGATTTTCCAAAGAATAATAGGCAAAATTAGTCAGTGCTATTATTGGCTGCATATGAGGAGCAGCATTGATAGGTGGCACCAATGTAAGACGTCTTGTCTGCACAGCAAGTCAAGACCCCAGACAGGAGATTGATGCACCAGTGTAATGTCAGGAAGCCATTTGAGAGGATCACAAGTGACAGGGTGGAGGACCACTATGACCACATTGCTTACTGTACTGGATTCAGGGAAGGAGACCAGGTTTTTTTGCACTACCTGATCCAGGCCAGTGGATGTTGCCTAAGCTGTATAGTCTTGGGAGGCCTTACAAAGTGATTGCCAGGATCGATGACGTAGTATGCAGGATTCATTGTCAATCAAGAGCAAAGGTGATGGCAGTACAGACTAACTCTGTATCTAGGAGCTACTTGAGATAACAGCCTTCAGGAGGGGGCATTACTGGGGAAGCTGATAGAGAGGAGTGTGGTGGGGCACATCTAGCTTTCTTGTGCCTCTTGAAACATCGAATCTCCCATATTCTATACTTTTTTTCTGGACTCTTTCAGAGAAGCAGAAAGCTGTGTCAGTCACAATGAGACCTGAACATTCTCAAGGTTATAATGTATAAAAGCGTGGCTGCAAGGCTAGAAGAAGACAGTACTATCTGTGATGAACATTAGTTAAGTGTGGAAGGCAAGTGTAGACATGTGTTAAAGCAGACATGATGCAAAAAATACTGTGAATCAGAAAGTTAGCTCAGCGCAGACAGAGAGAAGTCTAATAGGAAGGATGGTGCAGTGACTTTACAATGAAGTACTGAGTGGACAAAGCTGTCAGACAACAAGGTCATAAGAGGTTATGACTTTTGAACTCATAATGTCTCCAAATAACAATAAATGTTATATACGTTCTCATGCAAATCACATGACCCTCAGAATATTTCACAGTAGGAAAATTAATATTAAGTTATTGTGTTAAGTGAAGTTTTGTAAGGAAGATATTAAAAAGAATGTAAAGCTCATGTAACAGCTTGTTATTATTTAGTTTACTATACATCATAGATACAATTTGGGGTAATGTTCTTTTTGCTGGTGTTTTAGTGAAAGTTGTGAACAGAAGTAGTTGTGAATAATACCACTGAAATCGGTGAACCAATTTCTAGTTTGTGATTTCATGCAAATTTTTTCTTTCAATTGTCATTTTTAACCAGGTCTTCATGCTTATTACAGTCACAGGCAAGTCATATAAATATTATTACTGTTGAAGCTGACAAAGAAACTCAGCGGAGATCACTTTCTTATTGTCCTTCTCATAAAGAACTTCCCATAGTTTGGGCTCCTCCTTCAAATCACCCAACATTGCTATCAAACTCAACTTCTTCCAAAAAGAAACAAACTAGTTCCAGAAATAGCAAACATGATGAAGCAGAGTGCAAAGGTTGTGGCTACAGAGCAGTAGAAACTTTGAACAGAAAGGGGTAACTGTAATGAATGAAGATGCTGAAGAGGAAAATGATAATATCCTTCAAAAAATACTGCTCATTTGAAATCACTTCTTTGAACCCATAAACTTTGTTTACTTTTTAAAAATTGACGATCTAGTTCTCAATGAAGTAGCGAACTTCAGAAGTGCTACCAATACATATCCTCATAATATTTTATTTCCTGAAAGGTCATATTATCCAGCTGTATCGTTAAGATATTGCATCTGTGAAATTTGGAGAAAAGTTATGAAAAATTGCAGATTTTTATTTTTGTGTAATAAAATAGTTCATATTTTGCTATTTAGTAAAATTAAAGTTATTTTGGTCTCGCACCATTTAAATGGACCCGAGGTGGCCATTTAAATGTATCTGCGCACGTGTTTCAGCTGCCACGCCCCCATGGTTTGCCTGTACATGTTTCGGCAGTATACCACACATCTATCAATTTGAATTTTGCTCCTTTTTGTACCATAGGGAACTTTAGTGTTGTGGCCAACCTGTTAATGTTCGGAGGGAAACTTTTGAGCATCAATTGCGCATATGTACCGCTAATTTCGTTATTGTGTTTTAGTTGTTGAGAATCGTGGTTTCGTGGTTGTGGATAAGCGTGCTATGTATTTTTATTTGTGTTATATTCTCTTTAATAGTTCATTCAGTTTTATTCAGTTATTTAGGTAAATAGTATTATTTAAAATAAGTTAGGCAGAGTTTTTCTATAATTTAGTGTAGGTTAGGTCAGTGTTTATTTTCAAGGGTACATAGTATATACAACATGAATAGGTTGCCAGATAAAAGGCTAAAAGGAAAGAGACCAACCAAAAGAAGTTTGTTGGCTAAAAATTTTGTAGCCAAGAGATGGAAGAAACAACAGCAAACGGAACTGAAGTATGTGGAAGAAATGAAAGTGCTTTGATAGAGAATTTCTCTTCAGCATCATCTTCACAGGGATATGCATCCCAGACAGCATCATCTTCCCAGGCATGTGCATCCCAGACAAAGCTATTTGTTTTTCTCTGACAAAAGAGTTGATGCTGCCCAAGACAGTGAGTATCTAAATGATATGCCTAATTCTGATTATGTATTAGTCCATTCCAGCTTTTGGCAGCAAATATGTAAAGGAGTAAAGTGTGGCACTTTTGGGGAAGTGATTTGAAAATAGAATTTTCTCAATTCATGCACTTGCAGCTAAAGTAGCTGTAACATGTACAGCTTGTTACATTACCTACTGTGAAAATTATACCAGTTCCAGGGTTGAATGCACCGAATCAAGCTGACCTCCATTTGAAGTGAACTGCAAAATGGTAAACACTCTTTTATCATTAGGTAAGGGTCATGCTGAAATGGAAAAATTCTGCATGGGCCTGAGCATGCCACTAATCAATGCTTCCTCATACAATGCCCATTTGTTGCAAACAACAAAAGGAAATACAGGAATACTCATACATCACACTGTGTTGCAGGAGGCTCAGACTGTTGTTCACCAGTCTTATATTGCCACTGATCCAAGCCTGAGTGAGGATGACATTATTGACATACAGTCTCCTATGATGGCACCTGGCAAAAAAGGGGCTTTTCCTCCGCATATGGCATAGGGCCAGTAATAGATGTACTGACAAGGCTAGTCATAGACTCTGAAGTAATGTCTAAATACTATGGAATTTGTGTTCAACAACAGAAGATATTGAATTCTGTAGAATATGCAAGTTGGCATAAAGCACATAAAGAAAGTGGGAAATGTGAAATGAATTTGCATCATGGAGGGCATTTTATTTTGCGCATTACTGTAGAAATATTAAAAAATTAATATTTCAGAAGCTATTAAAGCTAAAAATCTGAAAGTTGGTATTGTAGGTCATATTCGCATGCTAAACAAATGATGTAAATTTCAAACAAATCCAATGAAAACTATAGATTTTTCAATTTTCACATGTGCATTGCCTTAAATACTTTTATAATTGCAAATGATTTAAACACTCAGCAGCCTTTGGGGCCAGAGATTGAACAGCCGATGCCATTATAAAGATCAGATTACTAGATATCTACATTTTATTCTTTTGTATTTTATGTTCTAATATTTTGAATTCTTCTTTGTATGGTTACTATGTCTTCATTCTTTGGTCTTAGTATTGCATTCACAACAAGAATTATTTTAGAAATAAACTATTACATTGTGTGAAAATTGCAAAACTGACTTTTTTTTATCTTACCTGATTATTACAAGTAGGTGCTCCTCTCGTAATATCAGCTGCTAGAAACTTGTTTTTTTTTTTCTTTTATTAGGCCATTCTCAAGATCATTCAGTAGAAAACTGAACATCTGTGTACACATTCTTATGAATTTAAGAATCTTATCCCTATATAAATTACAAATTTTTCCATGAGTACGCATATCCTTTCTGTAACAGTAAATCTGGCATGTTGCATGATATGTAGGACAATAAATTTAATCTAACTTGCGTGACAGGTCTTTCAAAAGTATAAAATTCCTTCACAATTTTTAAAAAGCGATGTTCACATCTAGCTTCAATTCAAGTAATTGAATTTCAGAATCACTCTTTGCCAAATATAGCGATGGGACACCCAATCACTAGACAAAAGCTCTAGTTGACTCAGTGTGACCTCAGAGACCAAGCAAGACACCCACACTGGGGCTGAAGCCTAATTGTGTCTCCTTAGCCGATGTCCCACATTTGCACATGGCATTTAGTAACACTAAATGGCACTAAGATGGCACTAATGTGCCATCTTCAGGTGTGTCTCTATCCACGTCAAACTACTGCACTGCATGCCATGACATCTCCCTCATAAAACGACTAAAATGTGTATTCATCATGTATAACAATAAATTATAAATACTAAAACCTTTCAGGATTCGCCATCCATACGTCGTAACTCAGATACTTGAGTCACTCCAATCCTCCTCTATGGGGGCCCTCTTCCTACATTCATGTGTACAATGCACGCAGTCATAAGAGAAAGACACAACACAGAGCACAATATACGCATGAATGTAGGAAGAGGGCTCCCATAGAGGAGAATTGGCGTGACTTGCGCATTTGAGATACGACGTATGAATGACGAATCCTGAAAGGTTTTAATATTTAGAATTTATTGTTATACATGACGAATACACATTTTAGTCATTTTATGATGGAGATGTCATGGCATGCAGTGCAGTAGTTTGACGTGGATAGAGAAACACCTGAAGATGGCACATTAGTGCCGAAACATGTAGTGTAAAAGTGAAGAGAAAGATGAAATTGTGTGCACTGTAAGACGGTTAGCATAAATACACATCATGGACATATATGTACTGCATATAATTTCTTGCACTAAATTTTACATATGTAAATAAGTCATAAAGCTGAGATATAATTATCTGACATGTCCTCATAATCTGATGTGCTGTGAAATATATTGCATTTTGTGTGATCAGTATGAATTTGCTTTAGGTTATTGGCCCAACTGGAAGCTGCAGAACCAATCCACCCTGATGATCAATTGAATATGCTTAAATATATCGTTGAGTGTGAACAAGGTCTGCCGGTAAGAGAAGAAGATATTCGCCGTGTACAGTACTATCTTGCAGAGGTAACAAAATACAGAAATCTGTAAAGAAAAGAATAAACTCATTTTATATAACACCATTTGTTGGGAGTAATGTCACCAAGATTTGCAAATTCCTTCAAATGCAGAGAATGAGTTATTTCTCATAATGAAATATCAGTAATATTAATGATCTGTTACATTCTTAAGTTGTATTTCTCCCATGTACTTTGTAATCCATATTTTAAATTTGTACTTGTAATCAGCGTGTCATTCAAACTTGAGTTGTAACCCTTTCAGGTCTTTTGTTCCAGAGCTTGAGTAGCTCTGTCAGTGTAGCAAATAGACTATTGGCTGGATGACAAAGGAACAGGCTTTGATTTCCAGCAGAGGCAAGAGATTTATTTTTTCTCCACAGTGCCCAGACTACCTGTGGGATGCATCCTATCCAGTGTGTACCTGAAGCTCTCTGTGGTTAACCAGCAGAACTTGACTCAGACCAATCACCTCCATTTAGTGCCGAGATAAGAAATGTATAGAAGTATATTCTCGCTCCCCATATGTCTTCATGTTGTGGTGATCAATTAAATATAATGACAACTTTAGTCTCTTGCCTTTTGAATATTTGTTTTAATAAATACCAATTATTGCAATGAACGCTTCTTAACAGCAAGTAGTTCAGGTTTCCTTTAAGTGATTTTATTTGTATGCTGTGGCAAGTAGGCATTTCAGATCTATAACAAGCATCTTTGTGATATCTTATTGTGTGTAATTTCTATGAGACAAACTCTGTCTTAAGTGCAACAATTTTATTGTAGTCCTTTCTTCTTCCCTTCCTCCACACTACATGTTTCGGTCCTAAATGGCCATCATCAGGTGTGTATTCTTACGTAGCTGCTACACTGCCCGTAGTTTAAAATTTAAAATCACCAGTCTTTCCAATTGTATGTATGTATAAAATCTTTGTTAACCTACACGCGTCAATTTGATTTCTAAAATTTGCACTTTTTTAAAACTTCAATTCAAATTAAAATGTCTATAAATCTTCTTTTCTTTTTCCAAATGTTTAAAAATTAAATATTCTCGGGGTACACGCCCTATGTCTATAGTGCTGCAGCGGCTACTTCTTGTTTAATCACTGTTCAGGTATTGTTCTGTGTAGGTTCTCTCTGTGTGTGTCGCTGCTTATCTTTAATACGTGTATTAAAGATTGCAATGTACAATTGCAAATGCAAGCCTGCTGTGTTTCCTCAAATTTGGATACCAAAGCTGACATTCGTTTCATATACATCTGTAGCATTTCCATACCATATATAAAATATATATTGGCAAGTTCCATATTAGCAAGTCGTGCCATCTCATTCCACTGTTATTGCTATTTGCCCTCAGAAGTAATTTGAGCCATAAATGATTGCTGCATAATCTATGCCTTGGGATATTCTGAAGGCTCCACCACGTGTTAATACACTAAATTTGTAAACTCTGTAACTCTAAAACAATGGTGAATTGGCCAGGTGATTTTCTTACTTTTCAGCTCCAAATTATGTACTCAACAACTTCCTAAAAGGTGGCCATAGGACTTTGAATTAGTCTGTGTATATTAGCTGGGTTAGTTGCATTTATTGCTGTTGGTACATTATTTTGAAGCAAGCTACTGGAAAATTATAGAAGGAATTTACCTTATGAAGACAGATAAATACATCGGACTTTTTCAGGGTATCATGGATGACATGGTAGAACTATATCCACAGGATCTATTATGTGAAGCTAAGAAGAGAGTAGCCGATAAGCATTTATTTCAAGGAAAGTGAGTCTTTATTCTGTTTCTTGTTGCAATGCATGGTAGCATAGCCTGCTTTCTCATACTGAGGAGAAAACAAAGATAGAAGGTGAGATAAATGTGTACAATATTTTAACCCGTTGCCGTGGTTCGTCGTGTATGTTTCGTCAGGGATTTAAATCGTCTGGGGGGGTTCGACGTGTATGTTTCGTTCAGCTGCACACCTATGTTATAACGCCCATAATAATTGATGGTTTTGCTGTAGATTGTTAGATTTTTCGCTGGCCTGTTGTCAGTAGAACAGAGTATAAATAAGACACGACTTTATCTGCGCCAAGTCATCGTTACATATGCCTGTCTTGCAGCAAAGTTCCTGTGGTTCTGGCGAGCGGTTTCTAGCTGTACTGTTATGAAAGCGTGTTTTCTTTGCTTTGAAGATATAAACAGAAGAGACGTGATGTTTACTGTTGTATATGATATCATATTGCCCTGAGCTGGCCACATTGACACACTCAACTGGAATTCTTAGAATAGGGTTGTCCAGAAATTTATTCTCGCATGATCCATTGATTTCGCACAGTACAAAGGCCCAGTTCTGAGAAAAACGCCACAATTTAAGGCAGAACACTGTGGTCACCCCCTGAGACGATACGGATGTGTGTGGGGGAGGGAAAAGTACTCATTATCGCTCCAGTTGACGCCATTTTATCGTACTGACCTTGGTGGTCGTTTCGAGGGATGACCATAACTATTTTTTTTGAGCCAGCTAAGCTCTGCTTTCTTCCTCTATATACCAGCCAGTTCTTATAATAAATTCATGAATTCTGTGGTCACCCCTACGACATCTGGGGAGCCGAAAAGGTTGGAATCTGAAACGCAGAAGCACCAAACCCTTCTTATGATAACACAAAGGTTGAATTTACTGCAGCTAATCTGTCAAAATATACGACTCACGGAGGGACATTTCCACTTGTATTCCCCCCACGGGGAAGAAGGCAGGGCCGCACAGAAGTGTGGTTAGAAAAAAAAAAGCAAAAGTAAAGATACGCAGTATTGGTTTGGTGAATCTGAGCCAGCGCTGTGTTTAGACTAATGCTTCAAGGCGTCACCTGCTTACATAGCCGAGATACCGGGTGCTCATATTATAAGGCAAGGTTATAAAACCATCTTTTAAGATCATTTTAGTGAAAGTTTCATCCTTCAAAGCGTACCATTCACTGCTCAAATACTAAACAACCTGCTTCCATTGAAGATATAAAGGGGGTTCATATTATAAGGTAAGGTTATAAAACCACCTTTTAAGATCATTTTAGTGAAAGTTTCATGTTCCTATCTCATAGAATTTAAGAACAATGATGAATAAATAATTTTCGAGCAAAATTTAAATGGCCGGCTGAATATATTACCGCAGGAGCCGCGGCCGCGGAATTTAAATGACCACGTCAAAGGGTTAATTGAAAACTTGAATGGAAGACTTTTCTTGAAAGACCTGGGTGTAGATGGGATCAGAATATTAGAATAGATCTTAAAAGTAAGGTACGAGAGTGTGGACTGTATTCATTTGTCTCAGGGAAGGGACCAGTCGTAAGCTCCAGTGAGTTCTCCGATTACAGTAATGAATATTTGAGTCTCATGAATGTGAGGAACTTCTTGACCAGCTGAGTGGCCATTAGCTTTTCAGAAAGAACTACTTGATGGAATTAATGCATAATAATAATTATTCTAGTATACACTTATTAGCAGTGAAAGTCAATGGAAAATCATCTTTATAGCTGAAAAAGTAAAGCATTCATTTTCTTGCATTCAGAAGTCCTGGAACAGATTATGGTAATCCTTTTATGTGTGGAAAAATTATATACTTTGTTTTGATGCCCATGACCAAATAAATATAAAATTTGTTATGAACATGAAGTCAAGGAATATTTGTTTGAAGTCCATGGTCATTCCAAATTGCCTTTTGTAGTGTTTTATTATTTTGAAAATGTCTGCCCCTTTTCCTGTTGCAGTAATCATCCTTAACATAGTCGTAACATGAAAGTTTAGTTTTTGTAAGTACGTTGGGTAATCCAAAAGTTACCAAAATTTGAATTTTGCGCATGAATGGTTATGAGTACATCGAAATACCGCTAGGTGTCTCCTCGCACATCCTTCTTGAATCAGTGTGGCAAGCGGTGTCGAGTTGAGTGGTTGGGTTTATTGTTGGTGAACGTATTTCCATTGTTGTGTTTCCGTGAGTTTGCGGTTTTGTGATGGCTGACCGGAGAGGCAGCGTGTTTGTATAAAGTTTTGTTTCAAACTTGGGAAAACTGCTGCAGAAACGCACCAACTGTTGAAGCAAGCTTTTGGTGAAAACAGTTTAGGCCAGACACAAACTTACAACTGATATAAGCGTTTCAAAAATGGCCGAACATTGAATGATGGTGACGATCGTTTGGGACGGCCGTCAACGGGCAAAACACCAGAAAATGTCGCGAAAATTAGGGATCTGATTCTGCAAGATCATAGACTGACCATCCAAGACCTCTGTAACACCTTGGGACTAAGTTGTGGTACATGTCAATGAATTTTATCAGAGGAACTGAACATGAGGAGGATTGCGGCAAAGTTTGTGCCATGACTGCTGCAAAATGAACAGAAGCAGCATCGCTTGGAAGTCTGCAGGGAACTTCAGCAACAGCTTCAAGAGGATCCAAACTTTCTTTCGAAGGTTGTCACTGGTGACGAAAGTTGGGTTTATGGCTATGACCCTGAAAGCAAGCAGCAGTCGTCGCAATGGAAGAGCCCTTCTTCACCTCGGCCAAGAAAAAGCTCGACAAGTCAAGGGCAACATTAAGTCCATGTTGATCTGTTTTTTTGATATTGACGGGATTGTTCATAAGGAGTTTGTCCCTCCTGGTCAGACAGTCAATAAAGAGTTCTATCACGATGTTCTAAGGCGTTTGAGGGAGGACATGAGGAGAAACCATTCAGAGAAGTGGCACACGGACGACTGGGTACTCCACCATGACAACGCACGACCGCATAGGGCTTACCTTGTGCAGGAATTTTTGGCTAAAAACAAGATGGCAGTTGTTCCCCACCTACCATACTCGCCAGACTTAGCTCCATGCGACTTCTTTCTGTTCCCCAAGATGAAAATCAAGTTGAAAGGGTGAAGATTTGATACCGTTGATGAAATTCAAGTGGAAACGCAGACAGTACTAAACACCCTAACAAAGAAAGACTTCCAGGATACATTTGAAAAGTGGCAGAAACACTGGGATCGGTGTATGCGCTCCCAAGGGGACTATTTTGAAGGTGATGGTGCAGAATAAGATCTAGGTAAGATGTAATTGTTTTTATTAATATATTTCGGGAACTTTTGGATTGCACCATGTATCTGATTTGTACACAGATAGGATACAGGCCTTCTGCATCTTGACAGAATTCATACTGAAAAATTTGTGAAACATTTGTATGCAAATACAGTGTATGACATACGCATGATCTCGGGATTAATGACGTGGAATTACTTTGTTCTCAGATACTGCTCTTTATTGGATGAAATGGAAACCGAGATCATAAGCGATTATAATTTGAGTCTTCGCAAAGCTATATTGGATTACATCCTACTGGATCCTGAGGAAAGGAAATATCTGAACATTCACACCTATCCTACAAGTTATCCATCAATTGCCATACGAGCTCCAGTTCCATGGCATAGTACTTTTGTGATATCCAGTCATGTGTTATGTCATAAACTTTTCACTGTAAATCCTATTTTATTATGCCTGAGGGATTTATGGGAATTTCAGTGAGTATTCAAATTTCTGAAATGAGATGGTGCTAAGAAAAATTGTAAACTCAGATAACAGTAAATATTGTTCAGACCCAGTATAAGTACATTTCATTTTGTCATCATCATCATTAACAATAGAAGTTATTTTTAAAAAATAAGTATTCAGTTAGTTACTATAGGATTCTGACAATGGTGTATAACACACTGATATATTGGGTTTTTGGACTTTATCCATCGTCCTGGTTTTTAAGATAACTAATAAAAACACGACGTTTCGGAAACTGGATCTGTTTCCGTCCTCAGGTGAAAAAAAAAACCTGTTCTGTTGGGTCCGTTAGAAAGAGCTAGCCTCAATCACTGGACCTTAGTTATCTTAAAAACCAGGACGATGGATAAAGTCCAAAAACCCAATATATCAAAGTATTCAGTTAGCTATACAGTTTTATTCTTTATCTGTGATCATTGTCCAATATATTCCATACACATTATATATACTGTATACATTTTTTTAGTCTTTTGTGTTTAGAATAAATACAGCTTTATAGCACTAATACTGTATAGCTGGTCATACACACACATCTATGTTAAATCAATTTTCTGTCATAAAAGTTTTGGTCTTGAAACTTAACTCCAAATATCCATTTCACGTTGTTCATAATACATGGTGAAGCTGCAGCATAAGAGATGACAAGGGATCAATTTCTCATTGATCCCAGTGAGGCACATTATATTTATACATCATTTTGTATCTCAGACTTGGGAATGTCCTGGTTAAAATAATTAATTTATTCCAAAGACAGAATAATTATTGTGCAGTGACTTTATTTTCAGTGCAGTTTAGATTATTAGACCCATTCTGCATGTAATATTTATGCTGACTTAAAAAAATTCTTCAGCTCTGCTGAAAATGGTTTTGAATAAGCTTAGTCTTAAAAATGGAGAGCAAATGGAGGAGGTAACTGAAGGACAAAAGGACAGTGGTTAATAAGGATTGTTTGTGTAAGAAATATAAGTTAAAAACTATAAACTCTTTAAGCCTGTCTACTGATAATTTCACTGTATGTATCACTGGCAGTAACAGGTTCACTGTTTATCATTTTCAGATATTCCAGCATGGTTATTGTGTCAGTAGATCAGTTGAGGAAAGAGTTTCCTCCTCCTCTTGAGGCCAAAACACTAGAGACTGCAGTAGACAATTACTGTAAAGAATCTAGGAATGTTCTTTTGTCTCGGTAAGTAACAAGAGTGCTTCACGACAAATGGCTGGTGACATTTTCACAGGTAATATTTAAGGGAAGAGACCACTTTAGATACCTTGGCATGAGAGGGAGGAATTACTCTTAGAGGCGTTAAATACAGACATTCTGAAATCCTTGGAAACAGTATATGGGTTCAAATGAAACTCACTTGTATGCTTGGTTGTGTTTGTGCCTCTAACGAAAGCACTGAAGGGCCATAAATTGACCCAGATAAAGACAGCACTGCTGTGGTGGTGCAGTGGTTCTGACAATAGCCCAAAGAGTTCATTTTGGATGTAATCTCTCAGCTGGTTTATCAAAGGGATGCCTGCCTCAATGGCCATGGAATTGTTTCTAATGACCTCTGATCCTTCCTTCAGAACAATTCTCAGAAAGTTTCCATTTGAACAACTCTCATTAATATTAAGATACTGAATGATTCAGGTTCTGCAGAAGAAAAAGAAGCAGATTTTGATTCTATCAGTTTCATATTATTTGAGTGAGTTGCATAGTGTTCCAGTAATTTTCACTCTCTTTCATTCGGCAACTATGTATGGTGCATGGAAAGCCATACCATAGCTCATGAGGTTAGTGGTTTCTCACTGTTATATCCTGGTTTCTATCCCAGGTCAGTTCATATGGGATTTGTAGTGAACAAAATGGAACAGGGGCAGGCTTTATGCAAGAGCTCTGATTTCCCTGCCAGTTCTCATTCACCAAATGCTCCATTTTTTCTTTTGTCGGCTAAGGTTGCGCCATTTACTGTCTTAAATGCTACGAGTAAAATATTGGTCCATATACTTCACTCTCTGATCTGAAATACCCAAAACTTCATATGTGAATATGTATATTTATAATTGTAGTTATTTTTATTACAAGTCAAACATGAGGTACTTTGTATATAAGAGTGCAAGGCATCAAAATGTTGGGAAAACATGGAAGTTTAAATCAATGTATTTTGAAGAAAGTAGTCTTCTGGGATTTGGCACCGTGTATATGTGGTGTTAACCGACGTTTCGGAGGAACGTATCGCCTCCATCTTCAGGGTAGAAGAAAAAGTATAAGAAATCTGCAAGCGACAAGACCGTGAGAACGGTAAAAGCAGACTGAGTCACGGTCTTGTCGCTTGCAGATTTCTTATACTTTTTCTTCTACCCTGAAGATGGAGGTGATACGTTCCTCCAAAACGTCGGTTAACACCACATATACACGGTGCCAAATCCCAGAAGACTGCTTTCTTCATAGTCACCGCCGTGAAAGCCTCAAATCTTACACAATGTATTTTGATCTGTAGATATCCACATTAAGTAGGTAATAATAGATGAGGCTGTGTTTCTGTGTCGTCTGCGCCAAGCGGCAGTGGAACAACGGAGTTATGCAACCCGTTTTTAAGCAACGGCTCAGTAAACCCACTTCCACATAGGTGATGACATCAAACAACATTGGATAGTGACCACATGACGTGTTTTCTGTAGGTCTGCATCAAAGGTTTATAGAGAACAATGTAGGTTGTTTGCAGTCGAATGTAAGCTGGAGGAGTGAGTAATAGATGGACTTCACTTGAGTTCTGAAGTTGCAAGAGAACACCAGTGTGGCCAGAAGAATTAGAAGACTTAGTGTGACATCACATATGTTGTAGTACATCGATATTGGGAGTGTGTGTGATTAAGTGAGACTTAAAATTCCTGTGTTATAAATCCATGAAGACTAGTGAAGCTAGATTGAAGAGATTAGCTTTGTAGTGTGAAAATCAGTAATAGTGTAATAATTAATTGTAGTTATGATCTGTAGGTGGTTAATAAATCTAATTACCAATCCAAACCAACATCTTAGTCACTGATACATAAGACAGTAATAATATTGAGTCACATTTGATAGCTACAATATATGTAAACTGGTACCATATTGTAGAAGGGTGAACGATAAAAAGCCATATGCAGCACACAAACACAATATGATATATTCTCCTCTGACCTCATCAAACTGTTATTTATTCTACATGATTGTGATAAGTTAATTAAATGTTCAAATGATATAAACACCATGTCTAAGAATATTGATTTATCTTCCATAAGACCATGTTAAAGAACATTGATTTATCTCGCATTTATTTCTGTTTTGTAATAGCTCTACATTTTTAATATGCCATTGAGAATCTGCCTTTAGTCAAGGAATCCAAAGTAATTGCCCTCCATACTGCCCCAATTATAATATATTACCCATATGAGAAATTATCCCATGTTCTGCGACTAGTTAGTAAGGCTATAAGATATTCTACTGAACCTGAAATCATCCTTTGGAAAGTGACTTAGAGTACACTGCAATTTTAAGCTTGTATTCCACACATTAAAAATATTTTAACTTTGTCAGAGATTAACGAGAAGGCAAGTGAAAAATAACTGCATTGGCTTGAGCTTACCTTTGATACTGAATTCCAGCACATGTAAGAGAAATTTATTATGGATACCTCAGCCTTTGCTATGGAATTACAGCACTTGTAAAAGAAATATGCATTGGATTCAACTGGTTCTGAATTTAAGCCTTTGGCATGGAAGGATGTGTTTGGTCTCACATCTATGTCTTTGATATGGAAGGTCAGCTCTTAGGATGTACACTACCCGTTCTCCTCGGCCATGATGTATGTCTAATATATTTTGGTTTTCTTTAACAGCTGCATTGAACACTTGCAATGTTCACTGAAACAAAATGAATCATTGACTTGAAGCCCTAACCAAACTAGCTGTGTTACATTCAGTCAGTATATTTAACACAGGACAAATATATTACAGACTACAAAGAGAGTGTTCAGAAAACCCCAGCATAATTTTTGGGTACTACAATATGTAATATTTTGGCATGTTTTTTTTATGTAGGTTGCTGACTAGAAATAGGTAAGGACATTATCTATGCTATTCTAAATGGACGTTTAACTAGCAGCAGATATGAGCACTCTTGTCATGAATCTGTAACCACACCTGGTAACTTGTGGCTCCAAAGCAAAATGATTTCAGACACTTCACTTAAAATATAAATTTCAGGACTGACAAGAAAAAAGTGAGGTTTTGTTGAGATTTATACTCTGGTATTAATATTTAAATTGGGCAGAAGGAACTGCACTTACAAGATAACTTGCCTTGTGAACTGATGTTTATCTCCTTTGTTATTTGCAAAAGTAAGCATTTGGCTTCATATTCACATAGATTGAATAACTGTATTTTTTACTTTATAAAATCATAGATAATTCCTGTTACTTGTATCTCTGCAGGTGGTTACCACAGTGTGCAGAAATATTCCTGGAAATGAAGGATTGCTGGAGTCATATAGTGCCTGAAAAAGAAGGGGAATCACTCAAGATAATTAAATTATTCTTTGACTGTGTGTGTGCACTTATGTCCATGCAAATTCGCCAGCTGGTTATGAAGTCCCTGTACCATTTTCTAGACTTAATCATGATGTATAAAGTAAGTAACTTTGTTCTGAATGCACGTGAAGTGCTAAATTTGGTCTGTAAGACTTTGATTCATAAGATCTTTTGCTCCCTATAGAACCCAAGGTATTCATTTTTTTCTGTCATGTTTTCTGTGAGATATATAATTCATTGTAATTGCTACATGGTATGGATTTCACAGATCTTTCATCTTGGAGAGATAGGATGGGGTGGTATGGACTGGACTGATCTGGCTAAGAATAGAGACCACTCTTGGGCTCTTGTGAACATGGTAATGAATTTTTGAGTTCCATAAAACATTGGGAAATTCTTGAGTAGCTGAGAAACTGGTGGATTCTCAAGAAGGACTTAGCTCCATGGAGCTGGTTGGTTGGTCGGTTGGTTTCAAAAATCATTCAGAAGGAGAAACTGTGTTGACTTCACTCCACCATGACAAAATCATTTACTGGTGACTAACTTCAAAATTATTAATTTCATAACTAGAAAATTTAAAGAATTTATATCTTTACTTTTTTTTTCTAAATAACTGAAGATATAAGTAAGTGGAATTCATAAATTACATGTAATTATTAAAATAAAATTTTCAACCATCTGTACACCATAACAATTCATTCTTCGCTTCCAGTCACATCACCACTATGGATTTGAAACAGCAAGCAAACCTAAAATTCCATACAATTCTCATCCTCCTTGGCCCTGCAGTCCTCTGAGAACATGGGTCTCCTAATGATAGATTCCTGTTTTTCTATATTATGTGCCTTTTGCCCCATATCTTCAATTTCAGCTCTCATAATTGATTCTCAACATCTAGCCATCCTGGTCATGTAAAAATGCATGCATATTCTCATCCTTCTTGTCTTTACAGTCCTCTAAGAACCTTGTTTTCCTCAACAGATGGTTATTCTTATACATTATTTGCCTTTTGCCCCCTCTCCACTTTCATCTCTCGTAAATCGTTCTCTGCATCTTCCAGGCATCCCAGTCTGGATCTTCCCAGTTTCATTCTGCCTGCTGAATTGCCCATTATGTCCTCACCGTTCCATCTAATTTCTTTAATTGTTGCAACAGCAGTACTGTATTTCTCTAATTCCTAGTTTAATTGTCTTAATATCCCTGTCCTGAATAAACTTAACACATACTAACACATCAGCTAGCCATTATGTATGCCCTTTCATGTGGGATCTGAACACGTCATGCCAGTCCTGCAGTACTGGAACACCACATTTTGAGGCTGTCATTGGCCACAAAAAAGACTAATATTCCTGCATGCTATACATACATCTCAGAAGGCAAAAGGAAAGTGTGTATGTTTATGGACAAGAAATGTGAATTTTACTCCCAACTTGTTACCTCTAAAGGTTTACCAAGGTGTGTAGTCTACCTGGATATCTATTTACAATTATGCTCAGTTGCAAAATGCTTCAGGTAAGAAAAATCAAAACTTATGCTATGATGTATTTTTATTTGAGCAGGGAACAGTTTAGTTTCAACAACAGGTGGTCATTGTGCAGAACAAAAGCAGTTATCAGGAGAAGTGAGCAAAGTCATATGCAGCTGTTTTGAATGAGGATAATAATCCAGATGACTTCAGAAATTACCTTCATAAGTCAATACAACTTGTGATCATTTTTTAACATAATGAAACAAAAACTGTGTGCTCCACAAAACATGTCACTCAAGATGGCAAGGTTGTAATGGCTTCTATCTAATGACATGCACTGGCTCAATCCAAGCATGATGTGTCTATTGAAAACAAATGAATGTACCTGACTAAGTGATTGGAATATAATGTACCAATCTAGTGTGAAAGTGCATACATGTATGGCCAGCTAATACCATTATAATCTGCATTTAGCTGTTTCCCTAAATTTTCCATCTGACATCTATGATCAGATTTCTTAACATATATTTCTTTGTGAGGTGGGGTTATTAACCTCATGCCAAATTTCTAACCTGGAAGACCGAGAGTTACCTTCCGTTTGGCCCTTACACTTTGACCCATCTTGCATAGATGACGCTATCAGGAGCTTACATCCCATTTATGCATTCTAAACAAGCAGAGTCAGAAAATGTGCAGTGCAGGCATACTGTATTTATGTAGCTCAGGACAGACAGCAGCTGTGGGTTCTTGTGAACATGGCAATGAGGCTTTAGGTTCTGTATAAGATGGGGAATTTCTTGACTAGCTGAATGACTGTTAACTTCTCAAGAAGTACTAGGCTGCTTAGAATTAGTTACATGCATATTGTTGCACTGCCTAGCAAACACATGACAACTGGTGTCAGAAGTGGGATAGAACAATGCATAGAATTATGAACCTGATTTCTTAATTGTTTTCAGTGATTGAAGTTGATAGGTTTTCCCCCTGTATTATAAGCTGCTATCAGTGATCAATCAGTTTTTATTCTTTCAGAAGACAGTTTCCCATGTTGAAATGTTTTCCTCTCCGACTGGCTCAGTAGTTTAAGAATCAATGGTTTGAGTATTATTTAGCTTTACTTAAGTTTAATCTATACTTATGATTTACATGTTTCGTATGTACATTTGGTCATTATTTTGTGTTGGACAGGGTGGTAATGACTTTGGTGATGAGTTTAAGGACTGCAAGTTGAATAACACACCATTGGTGACAATATATGTGAAACCAGTTGTGGGGACAAAGGATCTTATATTTGAACCAGACCTTCATGATATAAGAGGTTTGGTAAAGCTTTGCTTTGAGAAGATTATAGAGGTGAACCAGAAACTGCCCCGAATAGATTGTCTCCTTTTCCCTGGTATGTGCATGATGTACTAAGAAAGACAATTCTTTAATATTTTGTTATACAATTGCTGTGTTTCTAGTTCAGCATGATAGTGAGTTTGTTCTGTGATGGTACTTAACTAAATTTAATATTTTTTTTTCTTCTCCCAGTCTCCGAGTGATTTTGAATATTATAGTACTTCTGTAGAATGAATTACCTCTACAATAAATTGGATTTTCAGAGAGAGAACTGGTAATTGTTTTGCTACAAGGGTGGGCAGTTATTCTGATTTATGGAATTTGATACTTTATTACCAAAACTCACTCAATGATTACATGGGTATAAATTAATTCCTGATTATTTATATAACATTGTATCTCTGGATGTGTGGAGATACTGAAGATATTACAAAATGAAGAGTACTTCCTTCTAGGGTATAGCACTGTGTAGTCTGTTGAAAGTCAACTGGTGTTTTGGAGGAATATATCACCTCCATCTTCAGTGTCTAAAAAAATAAGCTGAACAAGGTATCAGAGTGAAATTGGGTGACAAGCAGAGCTGCTTTCACACTGGCATCTTGCTCGGCTTATTCGTGAACCATGAAGATGGAAGCGATATGTTCCTCTGAAACGTCAGTTGACTTTCAATTGATTACATGGTGTTATATCCCAGAAGACAGTACTCTTCACAACTATCACTGTGAGTACCTAAAATCGTACATAATATTTCCAGATTTTTTGAGTCCAGATCCTGGTGATGAAACTTGCCTTTTCCTAACTTAATATTAATAATGGGAAGTGATGAAAGACAACACACTTCATTGAAGAAAAGAGCCTTGGGGTATATGTGTGAGAACTGGAATTGGGTTTTTTATGTTTCAGAAAGAAGAGAATCTTTTGCACTTCTTGCCATTACAGATTTCCCGTTGAAGTTTTTGAGAGCATTACATTAGTGCATTTATGTGTGTATAAATAACTATGACTTCAGAAATATTTTGCCTACATATAGAGTGTTTTTCATGTGTGTTAATTCTGTATTGCCTGAAGTAGGTAAATATAGGAAATAATACTACCTGACTGACTCTTATATGAATATATATATATATTAAGAAAGAAAAACATGAAACTTGAGTTTGAAAAGGGCTGAGTCACTTTTACACATTTTCAGAAAATGTACAAAGTGTTAGGAATTACTGGGTTTTTTGGGCTTTGTCCATCCTCTGGTATTCCAGAAAAGTAGAGAACACAGTGATTCAGAAAATGGATCTGTTTCTGTCCTCAGGTGAAAAGGGAAAGACACCTTCTCTGTTGGTTGAGTCCAGTGATTGAGGTTAGCTCTTTCTAAGTGACCCAATGGAGTAGGTATCTCCTCCCTCACCTGAGGACAGAAACAGATCCAGTTATCAAAACATTGTGTTCTCTTACTTACTTACTTACTTATTTACTCATGGAGCTGAGCCCTTCTTGAGGAGCTGCCAATTCCCAGCATTTTATGGAACTTGAAGGTTCATTACCATGTTCACAAGAACCCTCCACTGGTCCCTATCCCAAGCCAGATCAATCCAATCCATACCATCCCAACCTCTCTTCTCTAAGATCCATTTTAATATTGCCCACCCACCTATGCCTTGGTCTTCCCCGTGGTCTCTTTCCTTCTGGCTTTCCCACCAATATCCTATATGCATTCCTCATCACCCCCCCCTCATGCTACATGTCCTGCCCACCTCATCCTCCTGACTTGATCATTCTAATTGTACTTGGAGAAGAGTACACGTTATGAAGCACCTAATTATGCACTTTTCTCCAACCTGTCACTTCATCTCTCCTTGGTCCATATATTCTCTTCAACACCCTGTTCTTAAACACCCTCAGTCGTTGTTCCTCCCTTAATGTTGGAGACCAAGTTTCATGCCCATTTAGAACCACAGGCAAAATTATAGTTTTGTATATTCTCATTTTTATATTTGTAGACATAAGAGAAGAAGACAAAAAGGCCCTGGACTGAATGGTAGCAAGCATTACCTGAGTTCAATCTCTTAATTTCCTTCTGAATCAGGGTTGGATTTGTTACCTTCATTCCCAAATATCTGAACTGTGCCACATTTTCAAAACATCTGTTTCCAATCTTCATGTCATGATTTACCTTGCATTTTGGTGACAAGGCAGCAGCATGTACTTAGTTTTCTGTGTGTTTACTTCTAGACCAACCTCCTTACTTGCATCAATTAAAGTTTCTGTGTTTTTCTTTATGGTATCTATATTATCACCCAGTAGATTCATATCCCCCTCGTTGGTGTCTCCACCTTATCGTGGTGAGGGGGTTTGAGTATGCCAAGGACCCTGAGAGCTATACCAGCGGTAGCGTAGCTACTGGCAGGGCCTCCCTTGCTGGACAGGTCAAAGGGTAGGCATCAGACGAAGAGAGACACCAAAAACTGATGCCGGAAGCAGCGTCATCAGCAGCGACTTGAAGCACAGAGCAAATGATGCTCGAGATGGTTCAAGTTCGTATAGCAACAGGCGTGACCAGAGTGGTTTGAACGGCTGCTGTACTGCGATGTGGAAAGCAAATGGAAAAACTACCACTTTATCACTTTTCCTGGATAGTCTCTTTCCAAAAACAGAAGATCGCATTAAGTGGAGGAACTGTTTTGGAAGAGACTGTGGACCTGTCATCTGACAGATTACTGATGAATGAATGAATGAGATTCATATCATCAGCATAGACAACAGCTGATGTGTCCTGTTTAATTTCAGTCCCACCTGGTTTTCCTGGACCTTCCTAATAGCATATTCTAAAGCAAAGTTGAAAAGGAGTGGTGATAAAGCATCTCCTTCTTTTAGACCATTCTGGATAGGAAAATTTATCAGACAAATGTATATCTATAGTTTTTTTTTTAAATACCAGGTAATGGATAGACCTAGTAATTCCAACTGTTATACACCACCATCAGAACCCTTTGGAATTTGCTTGTATGAAGTGCTGTTTGATTCTTAAGAGAATATTCCAGTGCTCGCACCAGCTCTCCATTGAACTGAGACCACACTGGAGTTTTCTAACAATAAAACCCTCATGATCTGTTGCATACAGACAGGTGTCATCCACAAAGAGGGCCAGGTGAACACCATGTGTTTAGAGGGCATCATTTATGTGCAAATTGAAAAGAGTAGGGACAGAACGGAGCCTTGTGGCACCCCTGCTTGCATTTTCCTTGGTGTTGATGTTTCGCCTTCAACTGAAACTCTGAATTTACATTGTGAAAGAAAGGACACAATAAGCTTGGTCAAACTGTTCGAAAATTCCAATTTTGATAACTTATTCAGCAACCCTGAGTGCCATGTGGTGTCAAAGGCTTTTTTGATGTCCAAGAACACTGTGGCGATAGACATTTTATTGATGAAATTAAGGGTCACACGGTCCACCAGCGTCATACATTGCAAAGTCATCCTGTGACGTGCACGGAAACCAATCTGGCTTGCGTTGAACAGGCCTCTTTCTTCAGTGTGTTTTTGGAGTAATTTTAAAATCACTTTTTTGAATAGTTTTCCTGTCATGGACAGGAGGCTAATATTGAGGGAATTTTGAGTCTTTACCGGGTTTAGGTAAAGTTATTACCTTTGCTTCCTTCCAAGGATTTGGAAAATGAAAGAGCCGAAGACAATGATTGAATAAATGGGTTAGGTGAACCAATTGTCACCTTGGAAGGTGCCTGAGACATACACTTGGGATGCCATCAGTTGCACAGGCCTTTCACTCTTTCAAGGTATTTATTAATTTCTGTACGTCACATGGTCTTATCCTTTGAAGAAAGTTGTCTACAATGTTGGGCAGAGCTTGAACTCTAGCCTCCACCCACAGTTCATGGTTATTGTAACACAGATAATGTGGCATGAACTGAATTTCCAAACAGTCAGCAATTTTGTTGGCTTTTTCGAAAGGATGAGATTCAAGACCTGAAGTACCATGAATAGCAGTTGGCACCCTTGCTCCATCCCTCTTTAGGAGGGATTTCGCAATGGGCTTCATACCTTGAGGTGTGATCCTACAGTGTACCGAAAGCAGGCGATATTTATACGCTACAGCTTGTGGCCTGGCTGTCTGTACATCCATACAAGCGCTACCCAATCAGTGCTCATAACTGGAACTCCACCACCTAGCGTCAGTGGTATAAAAATGCAGGCTTCCAACAGGAGATAGGGACTAGCTCTATCTACAGGACCCAACTGAGTAGGATTTACCTGAGAACAGGGACAGAATTCAGTCTCTGAAATGTTGTGTTTTCAAAAAGAAACAGGACTTTTTTTAAAAAACAGACTAGCCAATGGATAATGTCCAAAAAACATAATACCTGTAGCAATATACTACGTAGTTCAAATATGACCAGGACTGATTTTTTTTGTAAACAAGCTGCACTGCGCAGCAGCTGTGCGACCTTGAGAGAGTGAAGCCACAACCTCCACCCTCCCTCCTGTTAGGGTTAGAACCTGTTCAGTCCTGTCTGGAAGTTGCTAGAGTGATGAGTGAACAGCAGGTACTGCAGAGTGTGGAACAACGCATTGTGATCAAATTCCTTGTTGGAGAAAACGTCCCGTCCACTGAAATTCACCACAGACTCCAACAACAATATGGGGAAGAGTGTCTCTCACGGACCCGTGTGTTTGAGTGGTGTAAGTAAGTGCTTCAGAGAGGGCAGAGAGCGCGTGGAGAATGAACCGCATGGTCGTCAGCCGCGAACATTCGTCACCAAGCCAAACATTGATCGTGCAGACGCACTTATTCATGAGAATAGGCGCATCACTATCAAGAAACTTGGAGCAATGCTGTCCATCAGTGTTGGTAGTGTAGAAGACATCATGAAATACCACCTGCACTATCGCAAGGTGAATGCATAGTGGGTACCACGCGCTTTGACGGACATGAACAAAATGGTGCGCATGCAAGTTGCCAGTCATCTCCTGCAGCAGTTTGAAGATGAAGGTGATGCATTTTTGAAGTCTGTAGTGACCACCGATGAAACGTGGGTGCACTACTTCATTCCCGAGTCCCAGCAATCATCACGCGAGTGGCGGCATACTAGTTCTCCCAAACCCAAGAGAGCGCGGAGGAGCCGTTCGGCAGGAAAAGTGATGGCAACGTTCTTCTGGGACTGGCAGGGGGTTATCCATGTAGACTTTCTGACAGATGCCAGAACAGTCAATGCAGCTTATTACTCAGACCTCCTAGCAACAGACTTGAAGGAAAAGATCTGATCCAAGCGGAAGAGAGTTGGAAAGCGGGTAGCCTTCCTTCAAGACAATGCATGCCCCCATACGGCCAAAACAACAATGGAAACCTTCCGGAAATTGAAATGGAACCTTCTGACACATCCGCCTTACAGTCCCGATTTGGCACCAAGTGATTTCTACATGTTTGGAAGGCTCACATCAGACTTGCAAGGCATACGGTTTGTGGACAATGATGCCGTCATCCAGAATGTTTGGGAGTGGATGTGCCGCCAACCATAAAAAGGGCATCAGGATGCTTCCAGAACATTGGAAAAAGTGTGTTGACTCCGGAGGGGAGTACGTTGAAGACTGACATGTGCAAGTAAGTGTTTGGCAATTTTGGTTAAAAAGAAAAATCAGTCCCGGTCATATTTGAACCACCTTGTACCATTGTCACAAACTTTTAGATCTTAATTATAAGAGATATAGTATTAAATAATAATTCTTGTCACTCAGATGAACTACAAATGGCAACATACATTTCATTACATCTCTGTTTATTTCGTTTTGAACATGAAATCATTAAGATGTTGCCCATTATTGTGTACACACTCTTCCAACCTTGCTCACCTCTCCTTGTTTTCTGGGAATGCTGAAATTTGCTTCTGAATTGTGATCTTGAGGTCATCAATGGTCTATTGTCTAGTGGTATACACTTTCTATTTAAGGTAATGCCAATGGAAATAATCATAGGCAGAGAGATCAGGTGAATGTGCAGGTAATGGAAGCTCACTGCGCAGTGAAATAATGTGCTCTGGAAACATTTACCAAAGGACCTCCATGGATGCTCTCACTGTATGTGTAGTTGCACCATCTTGCTGGAAACATACGGTCGAGGGCTCAATTCCATGACGGCTCAGTTCTGGTATGAGGAAGTTCCATAGCACTTCAACATTAATGAGTAGATATGACTGTAACTGCAGGACCATTTTTGTCTTCAAAGAAATAAGGGTTTACAACTCCAAAGTTTGCCACTACAACAAATAGTCACATGTGCACTGTGAAGAGGCCGTTGATGGAGCTGCAATGGATCTTCCTCTGCCCAGTAGCAAAAAATCTGTCTATGCAGTCAGATAAGTGGAAGTGTTCTTCATGTGTCATAAGGATAATGACATTGTTGGCCAAAATTCTGATTAAAAGCTCAGCTACCATGCAGCGGTTTGCCATGACATGATCACTTAACTCTTACCCCACTACCAGTTTGTGGAGATGGAAATTTGAATCCTTGTGCAAAATTCTCCTCACTCTGTGATCGGATATTCTTGAACAACAGAATATCTCCTGGCTCAACGGCTAGGACTCCTTATGAATGATTCTCTTAGAGCCTAAGTGTTCTGTGGCGATCGCACTGTACGCACACTGATTGGCAGTTTCTTTTTAAATACGGAAGCACTCAGTCTGAAGATTTCTGTCCATAACTGCATTGTATTGCTGCAAGGAACTTTTCTGTGAAGAGAAATATTGCAATGCTTGAGAAATATATGCTGCGTTTTAACAACAGAATTGCTGTTTAAAAACGTTTGAACAATGAGCACATGACATTATGTGCTCCACTGCTCCATGGCCTTCATGGCTACTGCAACAACCGCAACAACAACACCAACAATGGCATCAGTTAAGATTGGTTAAGACAGTAAATCATATGGTTCCCACCAATTCATCCTCAGGGGTTGCCACTTAATGCATTTATAAATCATCAGGTTTCTTTTCCACACACTGTACAACACCTCTTATTGACAAATAACAAAATTGCAGGGATTTATTGGTTAACATTCTTATACTTTCAAAAAGCTCAAATATGACAAATTGGATGTTCATTATGTATTAGATGCAAGGTATATCTGTAATATAAAAACGACAAGGACAATTCCAGTTCAGGAACATATATATGAAAGAATATCCACAAATATAGGAAAGTGGAAGACATTATAAGAAAATCACATTTCTTTCATAAGACCAAGTCATGAACACAAAATAGTATATATGTATCTATTATATAAAAATATAACTATTGTAGCATGTTTTGTGTGTCACGCTACAAATAAGTTCACGCCGTGGTTCCAATATAGCGAATTTATTTCCTTCGCTCACTTACACACATTACAATCATTTGCACTTGCAGTGTTACAATCACTGCTCACAATATTCCGGCGATGCTGGACCCAGACGGACATTCCGAAGCTTCTTCTTCGAGGCCTGTTCCGAGACTCAAGGCTTCTCATCGAAGCTGGCCTATTTATATCCTCGCCGCTGCTAGGCAAATAAACCTTCTGTTATAACCATGGAGACGTTGCTTTGTTTGTCGTTACCGTGGAGATTCGATGTTCTCGATACAACAGCTCACTGTTGGAATTACAGTATCGCTATTGTTACTTCTTATGCAACGGTCTGTTCTGGCGTTTCCATAGAAGTGACTTCTGGATTGCCGACACGTTACACTATGTAATCAACTAATAGAAGAACAAAAATATGAAAAAAAAATACACTGTGTATTCTCTTGATGTAGCATAGACTTTTGGCCAAAAAAGCTGCCTGTGAAAGTATGCATGCAGCAGGAACGAGGAAGCATACAAATATGCATAGAAATATACATTCATACCCAAAAATCACCAGTATTCGGTCAGCACAATAGCACTAACATTCAGGCACCACTGAAGAACATTCTGCAAGACAGGATCAAGTAGGTAAAATTAATAAAACGTTCAGCAATGTCATACAGATTAATAACTGATTGCATATGTAATTCAATTTGACTTAATTACTTGTAATAACACTGTCACGTGTATGGGTGTGACTATAGATGGGGTTTGGATTGGTGATTTGATTTATTGACCACTTTAACACATGAATCTTGACTACACTTAATTATAGCGCCATTGCTGATCTCCACACTTTACAAATCACTGCAGCACAAGCTAAGTCTTTTCAGTCTGCCATGTCTTCATCAGTCTTTCCCAGGTAATGGGTTCTAACAGTGGAAATTCTTCATCTTCCATGCCCACTTCTTTGCTAACTGCACTGACTAAGTCTTCTCTTCAGAGACTCTTATACCACTCTTCTCTCTCTTCTCTACAAGCCAGAAGGTTGCGGGTTCAAGTCCCGATGAGGTCATTGGATTTTTTTCAGTTGACCTAATCCTTCCAGCCGCACTATGGCCCTGGGGTCAACTCAACAGAAATGAGTACCAGGAACTAACTAAATAATTCTCCTGGGGAGTAAAGTGCGGCCGGCTCATAAGGCCGACAACCTTACCACCATATTTAAGCCGATTGTCTAGATAATGTGGGACCCTCAACATCTCACAACCCTATGGGCCTACACGGCCTGTTACAGGGCTAGCTTTACTTACTTTTAATTTTAAGTTTACAGATGCCAAACAAGATTTGACAAATCCAGCTTTCACACTGCAGTGTATTCTGTAACACACAATACAGAATTTACACTCACACTTCAATGATTTATGTTATGCTAGTTTTTAACATTACAAGTACTTCAAGTAAATATTTATTTTAAGTAATTCATGTAAATTTTAATCAATTCATATAATGTAATCTTTTATAATTTTCTGCCCCTGAAGATTCACATATATAGTCAAAACGTCTCAGACTTTTTAATTATTTACTGAAAAGCAGATTTGATAGGTTGTATTTGTTATATTTAATTTAATGTAAATGGGCTATTATCAGTAATGACATCCATTGAAAAATAATGATTTTTGGTTTCAGAATTGGCGACCTCAAACCTCTGTCTTCATGCTGTTGCTGCTTGTGAAGAAGAGGTGTGTAATGTCACAGTGGAAGCTTTAGCAAGTTTTGACACCAATCTCATAGGACCATGTTCCTATCTTAAGATGTATGGAACATACCTTCCTGTTCTAAATGGTGAAGCTGAAAGTGCCATGATGAAGTTCATGAAAACTGATCCCTTCCCATCGTTGAAAGTATGTGAAATTGAACTTCATCTTAGTCAAATCTTACATGCAATTTCCACTCAGTGCCTAGATTTTAGTAGTATTGAACATGTGACAAGCTGTAAGATGAGTTACATAGCAGATGTTGAACAATTAAGTATTATAAAACAAGATATTTATCTAAAACCTATAAATATTAATGGGGAATAGTCAGTGCTATGCAGAGTGAAAAGTCAGTGAATGTAGTAACAGGTAGCAACTCAGTGTGTATATGAATATCTGTTCGTTTCTTGGTTTATTTGGTGATGCTATGATAGTTGTATATATAGTATAAAATGAGAAATTGCATGGTGATGGGAAAGCTGGGTTGGAAGTGGTATGGAGGAACCATGTGTAATCTACAGGGAGATTGAGAAGTTGCGCACATCACACTAAGCAATTATATTTTGCTAGTTTAATGCACAAACTACAAGACATACAGCACTTACTATTAATGTTTATAACCTTATATCTTAGAAATGCAAAATCAAATCATGTCTTTGCAACATATGCTCGAAATGGCTTCCCTGTTCAGCAAGGCATGCATGAGCTCTTTTTACCATGTTTGAGGCCACTTCGTGGAGCACCTGTAAACTGATACTGTTAATCGCCATTGTAATGCTCCTCTTGGAGGTCATCCAGTATATGTGGATTGTTTTTGTAGACAATTCCTTTGAGGTACCCCCAAAAGGAAAAATCTGTGGGTGACAAATCGGATGAACGTGCGGGCCACAATCCTTTTGAAATGAGACGGCCACTGAAAAACTTGTGCAAGAACTTCATGGTTTCATTAGATGTGTGACATCTGGCACCATCTTGCTGCAACCAACACTCACATTCATCACCTTCAAGAAGCGCAATGAACTGTGTAATGATGTCTTGGTACACTGGACTGTTCACTGTTGTTTCAATGAAAATTGGGCCCACTATTCGACGACGTGATACAGCACATCACACTCCAATTTTCAGACAGTGCAAGGACTTTTCATGTAACACATGTGGATTTACAGATGACCAATTCCTATTGTTTTGACTGTTCATGTATCCGCTAAGGTGAAACAACGCTTCATCAGTGAAGAAAACCCAATCAGAATCTTCAATTCCATAGTTGCCAACAAATGTCTGAAACCATCTACCATACACTAAGCGTTTTTCTTGATGCAGGTCCTTCAGTTCCTTCACACAGCGAACATGATGTGCACGAAGGTGTAATGTCTTCATCGCTTTCTGAGCACTTCTGCACAAAATCCCTGATTGCGCTGATAGTCTCCTCAGGCTTTCTGAAGGGGAATGCTGCAACATTTTCTCCACGTCAGCCAGTTTAGCCTCAGTCAGAATGGCCGGTCCCCCAGATCTCTTTCTACCTGAAACTGATCCACATTCCCGAAATCGGTTGATTATTCTCATTATCATTGAATTGTTAGGAATTGCAGGATCCAAATATTCCCGACAAAACTCATCTGCGACACGTGCATAAGAACAACTGGCAAAATAATGTTCCACAATGAAAACTCATTCTTGGGAAAGTAACATGTCTTTCACACAATAGACAAAGCTATACTGCAGATGTCGTATGACCGATACATGACACATGGCGTTTCTACTCATTGTTAGTACTCCTACAGTTTGATGTGCGCGACTTTTCAATCTCCCTGTAATTTAAGACACTGCCGTGGAGTTCCCCTTTGGATACTGAAGCAAACCATTCAGACCTTAGTCTAGATAGCTAGTCATCTGGCCTAAATGTTAACTGGAGCCCTTGTGAATGTGAAATAGATACACTAACAATTATCCTACAGTGGTTAGTATGTCTTTTAGACAGCCTATTAGGAATGCTGAGAAAGATGTCAGGATGACGGGCTTTGTAATTTTATTCAAGTACTTCCTGATATTTTGTTGTATTCCACTGCACTGTATCTCAGTAGGACTTACAGCTGTGTGTTTTATGCAGTCCTTTATAAGTATGTGCAAAATTCAGAATAAATAATCTTAAGCTTACACTTGTCAGTACCTCACATGAGGTGATTACCTGCTGGGTTCTGAACATGATGGCCAAGTTCAGTCTCAGGTCAGTTCATGTGGAATTTGTGGTGAACAATGGGGCACATTTGCTCTGAGTTGTTTGGTTTTTCTGCCAATTTCCTGTGAAATAATGTATCCCTAATTAATATTCAGTCTTGCATATTATTGAGAAGATTGTAGTGTGGAACATTTGTAAATAATCAACGTGTTGACAATACTTTTTTTTAATTACAGGCTGTAACATTTGGAACATCGAAATATTTTAGTATATCTTAATTTTCTATTTAAATTTTCTTTCTCAATACATTGACAGAGCAACTACAGTGAAACTTGGTTATAGCAACATCGGTTTCTGTGACACCTTGTCTATTGTGTCAAATATTCAATGGTATGAACTAATTCCTCATAAAGCAACTGTTTTTATACCTTGCTTAGTACGACATGCACAAATGCATCAACCTCGTATGTAACGTCATTTTCATTCCTGAATTTCTCTGATATCGTGGGAAAGTTCGATGTGTCTGCCCACCCTCACTTTCTCTACTTGCTGACGTGACTGTCCTGGAAGAATACGACCGCGGGCTGCAAGAGGAGCGTGGGTTTTATGCGAAAACAAGGGTGTGGGGTGGGACTGCGTGAATAGTGCAAGAGGACGCGGCAGGTTGTTAACTGCATTCCTTTCCTAGAATCTCGTCTAACAGGACCTCACATTGTCTACTTACCCTATAGTGTTCCTGCCTAAATCCAGAGAAGTGCAATAGCGAAAACATGGCAATGAAAAGGAAAGTTTTAAGCATTGAAGAGAAAGTTAAAGTGATTCGTGAAATATTGTGTGTATTGTCAGTGAAAAGCTCTGTAATATGTCTTTGATATTACACATTTGGGCAATTCCACGTTAACTACATATTAAAAAAAAAATGCAACATTTTAACTCGGTTTTTGGTAGATTTTTACGTGACATAAGGCTACTGTGGAAGTGCCCATTTCGGTTAGAATGACATTCGTTTATAACGACACTATTCTTAGGTCCCTTTGATGACGTTATAACCAAGTTCTACTGTATATGAATATCTTTAGGTCAGTGAAAATACTGTGACATGAATGCTTCTCATGAATACAGAGAAGGATGTGAACTTAAGAAAGATTTTAAGAAACGACAGCCAGATTACAGTGGAGAATGACACAACTTTGCTGACTGTTTCAGACAAGGAATACAGTGCGGAAATTTGACATCCTATTATTTATTCCACAATGAAATTTATAAGATAATAAGTTCCTGTAATTTTTACGCTCACAGGATTTTACCAGAAGAATCGAAAAATATGAAGCACTGAAATGTGAAATCTGTTTCCTGAGACGCTCAATTCCTCTCAACATCATCTGTCTTGACTGTAGTGAGCTGAATGACATTCTATGGAAAATGGTGGATGATTTAAGAACATATTTGGTTAATTATCATATTGAGAACAATCGAACACATAACAGAGAGTGAGTAAATTTTGATTTTTTTTTTCATCATAATATTTTAAGTTGTATAATAATAAAGTATAGTGGATCCCTTTGAAGCAGTTTTCAAGGGACCAAGGAATATAAACTTCTTAAACGGGAAAGCGTTCAAAAGGTAGGCATCAAAACGTTTACAGTCTCTATTATATCCCTTCTAGAAAGCTGATGGAATAAACGTTATATTTTTATTAACCTTTAAGTGATGGCCCTTTAAATTCCGGTAATGGCAGCGGGACGGATTTGATTTAAATACCCGCAATTTTAAAGCAATAAAAACTGTAATCATTTCCTAAAATTGCTGTGATTTCTACAATTTTTGTGATAAACGAACCAAATAAACGCTGTTTTTTCTAGAAAGAATGTAGAATCAGATATTGTAATTTACAGACTTTTTAAAATGTGTAAAAATTTTTAGACTGCTTCCAAGTAAAAAATTCCCAAATTTGTCGTCTCTCTACAAGAATTCAGAGTTCTTGGAACGAAGAATGTTGTATGTAAATGTTGCAACACAGCAGCGGATAGTTTATGGAGCCATGTATAGTCTTGCATGTCTCGAAAGATTATACACGTATGTCATTTCGGAATGCAGAGATGTGTGGTGAGTATCTATTCGTATACAAGAACCCTGATTGTTTATTATCGCTTGTTGCAAAACAACAAGCTCTCTCTTCTCACTCTGCTGGAAGTAGATTATAAGTACTTTCATGGTTAGCATCGTAATACTGCCAAGCAGTATCAAAAGCGTGAACCAACCATTGCGCTGTCTCGTTAGGAAGACGCTGACATATTTCAACTCATAAACGACTCCGAATCAGATTGTTGTACATTCAATTCTGAGAGTGGCGTTGAGGAAAGTGAATCAGAAATTGATTTCGACGAAGACCCATCATCTTGGTCGGCAACCTGGGGACCACCACACCAGCATGGCAAGAGGAGTGTGAATAATTATTCAGGTGGAGCTGTGGGCAAACTGTGGCAAACAGTTATAGCATCTGTCGTCGAACCTGGAAATGGACAAATAAACTATTTTTCCATCTCCTGGATCTGAACAGTTACATCCTGTTGTCACACAGAGAATTTCGTCTCGCTCTTGTGCGGAACATGCTGGAAGGGGTCCACCTCGCCATCAACGGCCCGGGGGTCGAACCCCTGCCGTTTTATCGGAGACATCTCGATTAGAGGAGGCCAAACCACATCACTGGCCAACTTCCTCTACTTCGCAATTGAGGTGTCGTGTGTGCTTTTCACGTGGGAAACGAAGAACCGTCTAGACAAAGTGCGTGAAGTGTGACGTCGGACTCTGGATTTCCGGATGTTTCCAAGATTTCCACACTAAGCCAACTTCCGTCAGACGATGCAGGTGGGAAGAGAGACAAGTTATAAAGCTGGTGACCAAAAATCATGTAAGTAGAAAAAGAATTTATAACTTAAAATAAGATTTTAAAAAGCCGGCCGCACGCATGGACTACGCGACGACATACGGCGTCATTCGTCCCCTTGACTTTATTTTCATGACGCCATATGGTGTCGCTCGGCTCTTAAAGGTTAAGTGGTTGAAATCACATTAAATATGTAGGCTTTCCAATATATATTACATATTGTAACGTGTTTCGTTACTGAAGACGCCGTAGAGATCGTTAATTGGTTTATGGAACAATCTACAAATAACGGCTACAATTAATTATCACAATGTGACGGGTTTCCACAGTTTACAAACCCTACAACAAAATCTCTTGACACTATCTTCCAGAGTCTTCACATATTAAAGCGCAGGAGCTATACAAGTCTCGCTGAATTACACACTCCAAATATAATTGGTTATCACGAACTATCACTGATTCTCTCGCACACGCGTCTGTAGCTCGTAACTTGCGAACTGAGAACTCGTTGATAACACACTCGGCAACTGTCACATTACAACTTGACTCGCAGGCTACTGCCTTGAGAACTGTTGATAACACACTCGGCGACTGTCACATTACAACTGACTAGCAGCCGCTGTGCAGCTCACTTATATAGCCACAGTGCTTGCCTGTTGCGTAATGAATGCCATGTCATCCTGTTATGTCACCGCTGTTGACTCGCGTTGCATAGCTACCAGGTTGTGGGGGCTCGGCTAACTTCGGCTCCGCTCGGCTCACTTCGGCTCCGCTCGTGACGTCACCGTGGGGAGAGCGGCGGGGTGATGACTCGCCTATTACGCGAGCGCTACGTTACCGCCACGTACCGCTGGGGAGGTAGGGGCCCTTCGTTTCGCAACATGTCACAATATTCTTGCTGTCGTGGTCAAAGCCAAATAACCTGTTCTGAAATGTTATTCTTCCTTGAAGAACATAATTAGAATCATTCGTTTTATTTGTCTTTCAAACAAATTTGACATAGATTTTTCTATTCTCTGACTATTGATATTTCATGTCAGAAATGCCACTAAGAAAGTGGAGGTGTATATCCAAACACTGCAGTGTTCCACTACACTTAGCAACTGGTTTACACACTGCTGCCTCCTATTCCTCATCACAAGTTTCTGTATTATTTTATTCAGTACAGAAGGTATCAGTTTCCAAAAAATTCTCATCAGCTTATACATACTCTTCAGATGTGAACATCACATTCATCTCCTATGAAACATCTTCCCAGATGTGCAGACGAGTCATCATCTTTATTGTGAGATTCTGATCTTGCATAGAATCAGGCATTCTGGCAACAGTTTGCAGTTGTTTCTCATGACATCATTCCATGATGCTGGAAGCATGGATTTGATGCGAAAGAAATATGCTCCTAGCATTTTTTTTTTTGTGTTTGTAATTCTGTGCAGGAACTTGCAAATAAGGCACCTATGATATTTATGTTTTCAAAGACCAAATTATACTCAGAATTGTTGAGTTTTTGGACTTGGTCCATTGTCCAGAATTCTAAAAAACTAGAGAACACAACGTTTCAGAAACTGGATGTTTCCTCCCTCAGATGACGTGGAGACACCTACTGTATTGGGTCCCTTAGAAAGAGCTAAGCCCAATAACTATACTGGACAATGGACAAAGTCCAGAAACCCACTAATTCTGAGTGTTGTACACCATCGTCAGAGCCCTTTAGAATCTACCAAATTATCCCTTTGTCCATTGATTGTACATAGTACCAATATTGTGTTGATTGGCAAAAATTCCACTTACACATTTCTTAATTTACTGGTATCTTTGGCATATGCTGCACAATGGTCTAGAAACAGAATTATTTTCAAGATCTCTTCCTAACATTCTCTTTTTGAAACATATTAGGAACTCCATGAATAACACATAAGTTATCCATGCATTTCTGTTACTTCTGTACACACATGACAGGGATTTCACATGTTTGAAGCACCTTGGCTTCACAGATTTTCCATTTACCAGAAATTCCAGCTTTTCATATCCATCTATATTTGCACATAATAGCACATAATACTACATTTACTCATCTTGCCTCCATGAGAGCTCTCAGCTTTGTAAGCATATGTTTTGTCTGGGAATATAGTAAAAAACAACCCACACATATGTGCATTAAATATCGTTCAGATGATATACACTTACGGAAGTACCCATCTTTCAGGCACATACATCCTCTTCAGTTACCCGTTTGTATTCCCTCTTTATGGTTCTGTAGCTAAGCCCTGCACATTTTCTTAATTGATAAAGCCTTCTATTTGAAGGTTTTCTGCCTAATTATGTAGTTTTACAATTCTGAAGTATTTTTCTTTTTCGTCATAATATTTAGCATCAACAGTGGTGTGCTAAGTTGCTGGAGTATGTTAGACAGTCATCGCTAATTCAGCCATACTTCAACCACTCACCAAGTGCTGCTGAGTGCTACTAAGCACTAGGACATGTCACTGTCTACTTTGCTATTCATTCATTTCTATATATGAACTATAATCTAATAAAAAGAAATTTAAAGTGTAAAATGTTTGATACATATCTTTCAAATTGCTGTTTGTAGGTGGGAGAACTACTCGTATTTAGGCAGGAAACATTTTAAACAGGGCATAAATGGATTATTCATATGGTACTACTTTTGAGACCTAATGATCTTAGCTTTTTAGGTGGGAAACCATTTTAAGCATGATCTTCTCAAGCAAGATCCACTGTATCTCATCAGATTTTATCTTAATTTCATCATGAACCTATCTTTCACTGTTGTCACTTGGTATTAATAAATTTTGAAATGTTATCACACAATGAAGAAAGCAGTCTTCTGGGATTTGGCACCGTGTATATGNCACACAACTTTGTTCAGTTACAATAATATTTGTAATGTTCAAAAAATGCTGCACTAATGCAGAATTATACAAATGGCATTCTTTAGGAAATTTGTGACAGCATAAATATTTTCCTCATACAGTAGGTTTAATTACCTTAATATTTGTGTTGATTTGGACTATATTAGAATTGTATTCTGAGTGTTTATGTTAATACTTATTCCATATGTCTAAATTGAGATTTCATGGTTTTTTGTCTTTGTCCTGTGACCTAAACAAGGACTTATGACATAAGTTAACAAGTTGTGGACACATGCTCATGTCACATTTCATAAGACTGGCATGCATTATGTTACTTATATTAGACTACCCTAGATAAAACCCAGAATGTGTAGAGTTTGTCCAGTCAGAATGAAAAATTGAAAAATTAATGAAGAGCTGATAACTTTCTTGTCCTACAAATATATTGTAGACACAGTATGTCTTGCAGGGTGAGTTCAGTAGATGAGTAGCAACCTAAATTCTAAGCACTTTATTTGTTTGTAGCATATCATATGTCCTCCTACAGATTAAGTGCTTTTCAGTTTTTAATAAGGAACTCTCTAATGTTGGAATGTGCATTCTCTTATGTTTGTAGTAAATAATTTATATTAAAATTCTGTATATATTTGAATAAAATGATGTATCATCATTATGCTGCAGTTTATTGCAAATGCAGCCTTCATTATATGAAAGTAGCACTAACATTTAGTCTAAAATCAGCAAATGACAAAAGTGGTATCCTTTGCCATTTATATTCCACTTTATTTTATTTTTGTAATGTTTAAGTCTAAATTCCAAACAGTAGTGCTGGAATAGTTTCCAATTTTAAAAGTGTAAGCCATCCGTATCTATTTTTAACCCTGTGTCCTAATACCACTCATGTTCACAGCAAACCATTAATCATGTATTCAATTATTTTGAAAACTGATGTTGTTAAAGTAATTATAGCTCATAGCCCTGTTATCTTTTTAATGCGCTTTCTAAGATATGCACTATATCATTCAAATTAGAACAGATTCACATACTTATATTCATTTTATAATAGAAATCTGTTTCATTATTTGCAGAATTTGTGACATGTTTGATGAGATATCAAATCGAGCCAGTGAACTTCCTGAAACGACAGCAGAACTTGTTGAATTGCAAAATTATCTGAATGAGTGTCGAGATGTGATCATGTGTAACCTGAAGGAAAAAATTCGAATTTCTGCGGGAAATGTCTTATTCCTCATGCAGCACGCTTTGCTGTCACGTAAGAGATATTTTTACTTCTATTTAACGTTGTATCATAGCAACCTGTTGTACATCACTTATTTATTCCTGTTAGTTACTAACTAACAGGAATAAATTACTTATATTTAATTAAAAACAGTGGTAAATGAAGTCACAGATTATTATTAATAAATGTAAATTACTCAATATAGTAGACACAGATGGTCTTTTAGAACATGGGGGAAGTCATATTTTAGGTAATAAAATAAAATATTCTTCAGTTTAGACTTATACTTTGATAACTGTATGGGACAGTTGTGCTAGTAGTCAGTCTAAGACATTTAATATTTTTCAAAAACAAAATATTCTATAATTCAGGATTCATTATTAGCATAAAATTCTCGGATCACCATATGTGGTAGCTTCAAAACATTCTGGAACAGGAACTGTGTCTCTAACCTAGTGGCACCTAGAAGTAAAAATGAAAGAAACACTGTATATGAAACCTAAAACCAACTACTTTATTTTATCTGCTTCAACTTAAAAGAAATAATGAATGGAAGTACAACATCAAGGTTTTATGACTATGAAATTTCATTAGCACTTTAATACTGAAGGTAATGGTAAATTATGAAGTCAGCTAGCAGTCTTCAATATTTCTATTAGGAATAAAAAATACTTTACCATTAGTGTTCTATCTTAAGCTGTATGTGTGTGAAACTTGGTCTCTGTCATTAAGGGAGGAACATAGACTGAGGGTGTTGAGAATATTTTGACCGAAGAGGGATGAAGTGACAGAAGGTTGGAGAGAACTACATAATGAGGAGCATCATAACTTGTACTCTTCTCCAAGTATAATTAGAATGATCAAGTCGAGTAGGGTAAGGTGGGCAAGGCATGTAGCATGAATGGGGAGAAGAGGAATGAATATAGGATATCGGTGGGAGAGCCAGAATGAAAGAGACCACTGGGAAGCCCAAGGCATAGGTGGGTGGACAATATTAAAATGGATCTTAGAGATAGGATGGGATGGATTGGATTGATCTGGCTCAGGATAGGGACCAGTGGAGGGCTCTTGTGAACACAATAATGAACCTTTGGGTTCCATAAAATGCTGGGAAATTCTTGAGTAGCTGCAGATTTGGCTTCTCAAGAAGGGCTCAGCTCCATAAGTAAGTAAGTCCTTTCTTAAGGCCTTCTACTGATAGTCCTAACCAGTTTATTCATACTCAGTAATTGATATCACTATCAAATAGAATACACTTTGAAGATTATTGTCTTCTGGAATATAATTCTATGTAGTCTGATATCTCATGTTTTGTAGCCAGACTACCTTACATTACATCTCAATAGACAGTAACTTCTTAGTCACCACTATGAGAATCTCATATCCTACTATTCAATTTTGTTACGAAATTCCAATTTGCAGAAGAAGATATCCATTTGAACTCACGAACTTTCTTGTGGCCTAAAGATATGGAAGCTGTATTAGAATTCAGCCAAGCTCGGCTATCACATCGTAGAGATATGGTGGAAGGAGTTTTGAGATCAAAACGATCTGATTTTGATGCAAAGTGAGTAATCATCACTGTAATTGCTTATATTAAGCATATTTTATAGTAAAAGGTGAAGGCAGAATAAACCTTGTGTGTAAGTAAGAACATTACATGAACACGTTGTTGAGTGGAGGCATAGTTCCTCACATTCTTCACGTTGACACTAGATGGAGGTGCAGCCTCAGACCCTGGTCACTTTATGCTGCGAAATGAATGAATGTATAAGGGGTGGGCCTTCTTGGCCCTTGCACCATGACCACAATGATCGATTGTGCCTTTTTGCTGTAAAACGAGTCCCCATTACCTGTTGGATGAAAGGCTGGGTGAGCCGGTCTAGATCCACTGAAGAAAAGGGAAATCCCTGTTTCTGTTGTGAATTGAGCCCCAGTTCCCAATCATCCAGTTTATAGTCACTATACTGAAAGAGCTGCCCCATCTTTGGTTCCCATTGCACAGTATCCCCTAAGCCAACTGCTCATAGAGTTATGTCCTGAGATGTTTCGTTTCACAACCAAGTACGTCCCTCAAACAAATATATGGTAGGCGGCAGCTGCTGCTGATTCTTTATAAAGGAGCAATTACATGTGTGATTTTGTGTAATATATTTCTAGCTTTAATTATTGCATATATAATCGTTAGTTCTTTCAGATGTGTAATATTGAATTTGTTTTCTGGTCATAGGCTTTTGCTACATCAAAAGGAACTAGAAATTTTCAAAAAGAAAGATCCACCAATTTTGACAAAGGAAGAAATGGAAGAGAATGTTCAAATTATAGAACAAATAATGCAGCTCTTAGAAGAAGATAAAAAAGAAGCAGAGGTGACTACATTTTGTGTTAATTATATTGTCATTACATTTCAACTGAAAATTGCTTCTGCTGTCAGGCATTATGTATACGTAACATAGGATATACTATCTTGTGGAGAGACTGACCCATCTCTTCATCTCTAACCTAATACATTGTAACCTCAATACTACAAGAATTTATAAATACCTAAAAGTGCTCATAATGGATAATTATAATATCAAAAATTATTGCAATATATAACTACAAGCCAACCCCCTAACTTCTGATTATGTATGATATAATACAGCACAAATGTTTAAATTTTAATATGGGTATTGCAATATTTATTCCTCTTTGAATTAGTTATCATGGGGTTATGAAAGAATATGTAATACATTATCATTATCATTACCTGAATTCCAGGGTCTCCTTCATTCAGCTCAAGCCAGTCTTGGATATTTTTGTGTGTGGTTTCAGTCTCTCCAGCTGCTCTCAACACAGTCTGAAAGTAGTCTTGCTCTAATCCCTCTTTCTCCTAAATCCCATGTGTCTTTTAGAATATTGTCATGTGTTGGGTGTGTGACACGTGACAAATAACTTTACGCCATATTGAATATAGCGAATTTATTCCACTCGCTCTTACAATCACACAATTTATAATCTCAACATTACTGCCATTGACAGTATCACAAATACTCTGGGAAAAATAGACAGCAATTGACTGGTTACTCTCTCTCTAGTAACTCACTCACTAGTAACTGGCTCAGTACTCAATAATCACTGAACTCGGCGATTGCTACATTGAAACTCAACTCCCGAATAGTGGTCGCTGCTACTTATTTAGCCTCCATACGGACAACAGAGAAAACGGTTACGTAATAGGTACCACTGTTTAGTACTGTCGTGTTTACCGATTTCCTAGCAACAGTCGTTGCACGGCTCACCTGTTGCGTGACATCATGTTTACTGCTTGCCTAGCAACACGTCACCGCGGTGTAGGGAGGCAGAGTGTTGACTGGCCTGTTACGTCACCGCGGGCGGGAGGGGGCGGATAGTTGACTAGCGCTGTTTCGTCCACTGGTGGGGGAGGAGGGCTGAGAGTTGACTAGCGCTGTTACATCCGCTGGCGGGGGAGGGGGGTGTCCTGCATAGCGCAAATGCGTCACAATATGTACTCAACTGAGAATGGATTAACTGTAACCAGATTAGTGAGGATTAACTGTATCAGTGTGTGTGTGTGTGTGTGTGTGTGTGTGTGTGTGTGTGTGTGTGCACATNTGGATTAACTGTAACCAGATTAGTGAGGATTAACTGTATCAGTGTGTGTGTGTGTGTGTGTGTGCACATGCATATATTAAGCTTAAAAATGTTTTGAACAACATTGTAACATTTAATGAAAGTATTATGGTTTTGTGCTGTTTATATATGATGAACCATTAATAATATAGTTGCATAAAATTAATCAAAATGATTATTTTTTATTTTAAATTTTAAATACTATTTGTGATTGGAACCGCCATGGAGGCAGGTGAAGGATGTTACTTATTACCTCTGAATCCTGTATGTGGTTGTAAGCATGTCAGAATCACCTGTTTATTTTTCATGTATTACCCTCAGCTTATTCATGACAGTAGAATTGTTTTTTTCTTGGGTACAGAATTATACAACACAAGACTTGTAAAATTTTCCATTATTATTTGAAAGGAACTCTTAGTTTTCACTTTGTTCTTCATTGATCTGTCCCATTTATGTTAGAAAACACCAATAATTTATAAGTTTTAAGTTGAAATTTAGTACAATTCATGTGTGAATTTGTGTATTTTCAGGCTATAAATGAAGAAGAACAACTATTAGATTTTGATCCTTCTCCTTTCTTAGTTTTAAAAGCCATGTTAAGTGTTGCAGAGCCTTTGGATCGGTTGTGGCATATTGTATATAATTTCCATATTAATTATGATAAATGGTATTATGGTAAGTTGAATTTTATAGATATATAACACTCAGTTTAGAAACCCATTGCTAATATTATGTAATTATTTTTACCATCCAAACCTTCACACTTCAAGAATTAACGCTAAAAGCGTGTGTAAGGGTAATTAATTCAGTAATAATGAACATATCATGGTGTATTGCACACGTTTAGAATCAGGATATGCATACAAAACTTTTATTGGAATATTTTATGGGGAAGAGGCCGTTTGGGATGCTTAGATCATAGATGGGAGGGTGATATTAAAAAGGATTTTAGAAAAATAGATCATAAAGTCATGAATTGGATTGAACTAGATACAAAAATGCACATGCTGATACATTGCTACAGAGGATGCTTAAAAATGAAAATCCTCCATTGTACAAAATAATTTTAATTGTTTATGCCGATGGTTATGTGATCAGAAGATATTAATTCAGTACTGTGGAATATAGTTTTCACAAAATTGGTGTACTCTCATCTACTAAATTTGCTTGCTCTCACATGTATATACGTGGGGCAATCCAAAAGTTTCTGAAATTTGAGTTTTGCGCGTAAATGGTTATGAGTACATCGAAATACTGCTAGGTGTCTCCTCACACATCCTTCTTGAATCAGTCTGGCAAGCGGTGTCGAGTTCAGTGGTTGGATTTATTGTTGGTGAACGTATTTCCATTGTTGTGTTTCCATGAGTTTGCGGTTTTGTGATGGCTGACCGGAGAGGCAGCGTGTTTGTATAAAGTTTTGTTTCAAACTTGGGAAAACCGCTGCAGAAACGCACCAAATGTTGAAGCAAGCTTTTTGTGAAAACAGTTTAGGCCAGACACAAACTTACAACTGGTATAAGTGTTTTAAAAATGGCCGAACATTGAATGATGATGACGATCGTTCGGGACAGCCGTCAACAGGCAAAACACCAGAAAATGTCGCGAAAATTAGGGATCTGATTCTGCAAGATCATAGACTGACCATCCAAGACCTCTGTAACACCTTGGGACTAAGTTGTGGTACATGTCAACGAATTTTGTCAGAGGAACTGAACATGAGGATTGCAGCAAAGTTTGTGCCACGACTGCTGCAAAATGAACAGAAGCAGCATCGCTTGGAAGTCTGCAGGGAACTTCAGCAACAGCTTCAAGAGGAACCAAACTTTCTTTTGAAGGTTGTCACTGGTGACGAAAGTTGGGTTTATGGCTACGATCCTGAAAGCAAGCAGCAATCGTCGCAATGGAAGAGCCCTTCTTCACCTCGGCCAAAAAAAGCTCGACAAGTCAAGAGCAACATTAAGTCCATGTTGATCTGTTTTTTTTTTTGTTTTTTGTTTTTTTTTGATATTGACAGGATTGTTCGTAAGGAGTTCATCCCTCCTGGTCAGACAGTCAATAAAGAGTTCTATCGCAATGTTCTAAGACGTTTGAGGGAGAACATGAGAAGAAAACATCCAAAGAAGTGGTGCACGAACGACTGGGTACTCCACCATGACAACACACGACCGCATAGGGCTTACATTGTGCAGGAATTTTTGGCTAAAAACAAGATGGCAGTTGTTCCCCACCCACCGTACTCACCAGACTTAGCTCGATGCGACTTCTTTCTCTTCCCCAAGATGAAAATCAAGTTGAGAGGGTGAAGATTTGATACAGTTGAGGAAATTCAAGCAGAAACGCAGACGGTACTAAACACCCTAACAAAGAAAGACTTCCAGGATGCATTTGAAAAGTGGCAGAAACGCTGGGATCAGTGTATGCGCTTCCAAGGGGACTACTTTGAAGGTGATGGTGCAGACTAAGATCTAGGTAAGATGTAATAGTTTTTATTAATATATTTCGATAACTTTTGGATTGCACCACGTATATATAATAAATGCTCAAACGAGATACTTAATAATCAAATTCTTGTTTATAAATTTGGGTAGAAAAAATTATTGTTTTCAACTTAACTGTGAACTGTTGTTCAAGCCTGTCCTTACATTAGCAGTATTTTCTAGATTTTAAGCACTGTAACTATCAAATACTCTGATTTACTAGTATTTTCATAATATTGTATGCAAGCATCCTGTTGCATTAGTATACGCTCCATTCGCACACTATTCTTCTGTCTGCAGTGCAACCCATTTATTTCTCCATCTTCTCCTTCTTACTACATAGTTCGACCACATAAATGGGTTGCATTATGGATGGAAGTATAGTGTGTGAATGAAGAATCACTTACTTACTCATGGAGCTGAGCCCTTCTTGAGGAGCTGCCAATTTCCTACCATTTTATGGAACCTCAAGGTTCATTACTGTGTTCACAAGAGCCCTCCACTGGTCCCTATCCTGAGCCAGACCAATCCAATCCATACCATCACATCCTATCTCTGTAAGAGCCATTTTAATATTGTCCGCCCACTTACGCCTTGGTCTTCCCAATTGTCTCTTTCCTTCTGGCTTTACCACCAATATCCTATATGCATTCCTGTTCTCCCTCATTCGTGTTGCATGCCCTGCCCACCTCATCCTCCATGACTTGATCATTCTAATTATACTTGGAAAAGAGTACAAGTTATGAAGCTCCTCATTATGCATGAATGAAGAGTTACTAATTTCATTTTATAGGTGTGTGTGAGTATTGCATAAATATTTTGGGCACTCTCTTCATAATTATTATATTTTCTTTTGAAAGTTAGTTCATATTCTTCTAACTGAAAGTTAATGTCTTTATTATTAGTAACTTGAATTCATTTTATATTTCATTCTGCACATCAGAGCTACAGTTACTGCAGATTTGGCAAGAATTTTATGGATGTTCACCTAGAAAAGGATCTGAATTTTATGTGCTAAATTAAAGAGTGCAGTCATATTGGCTTTCTTCAGCTTGGATGACAGAAGGGGTCAGAGTTTGAGTGCTGGTGGGGTCAAGAATGTTTTCTTCTCCATATCATCAGACCAGTTCTGAGGCCCATCCATTCTACTTTCAAATGAGTACCAAAGGCTCTTTCCCCGTGGGTAAAGCAGCTGGGAATGGAGCTGAACACTAACCTCCAACTAGTGCTGAGGTCAAGAAAACATGGATCTATACGTCCACTCCCCCATATTGTCTGCATGGTATAGTGCTTAATGAGTTAATCACAGGAACAACTTTACCGTTTCTATTTACATATTTTATTTATTTATTTTTTAAAATACTGTGCATGCTTGTAATTTTCAGTTTCGTTGTATTAGGTGAGCGTCTGTAAATTCTTACAACATCAGAATAATTCTAGTTCCATACTTAGCGGACACTGCCACCTGAAAGGACACTTTTTCAAGTTTGGACTGACAGATAACCCAACTTGTGAAAGGTGCCTACAGGAAAATGAATCAGCCGCACACATCCTGTGTGATTGTGAGGCCATAGCTTATTTAAGATTTCATCACTTGGGTCATTTTTTATGGAACCAAGTGACTTTTATGACGCCCCCATAAGCAGGGTCCTACACTTTATTAGAAGTGTAGGATTAATAAAGGGCTAATCCAAGGGGAAGCACAATACATCATTGAAGGTCGCAGTGCAGAGGCCAATTTTTTTATGGCCCAGCCCTTACATACATACATAATTCTAATTCCAACCTTCATGAATAAAATCACACATGCAAACTAAGTGAAGGAAGAAAGCAGTCTTCTGGGATTTTGCACTGTGTATATGTGGTGTTAACCGACGTTTCGGAGGAACGTATCGCCTCCATCTTCAGGATAGAAGAAAAAATATATAAGAAATCTGCAAGCAAAGAGACCGTGAGAACCGGTTAAAGCAGACCATGAAGATGGAATCGATACGTTCCTCCGAAACGTCGGTTAACACCACATATACACGGTGCAAAATCCCAGAAGACTGCTTTCTTCATAGTCACCGCCGTGAAAGCCTCAAATCTTACATAAGTGAAGGAAGTTCTTATATACAGTATATTTATTTTTTAGGACCATTCCTGATTTTGGATGCAGATTATGTTAAAGATGAAGTAGATGTAATGTGGCAGACATTGTACAAGTTAGCTAAAATTCTGTATGACATTCCTGGGGCAAAGCGTGTTGCTGAGATGATTCGTGCAAAAGTGGAGAAGTTCCGCCAATATATGCCCCTCCTGCAAGTAATCTGCAACAAGGGTCTTCAAGAAAGGCATTGGCAACAGGTAATCTGGGATACCAAAACATTGTACAGGGGTTTATTTCCTTAGCTGTGAGATTCCATGTTTAAGATAATGGAAGGTAGTACATTCGTCCTGTTCTCATTAACAAAACCAGAACTGTGTTTCCCGTGGGTGTATGTGAGGAGATGAGAGTTTAGATTTCTTGGAAATTCCAGGAGATGTTTTCCTTGATTGCATTTAGTTTAGAGTATGATTCATATATTGTGGTATCTGTCTGAATCCCACACGCCATTGCTGAACTTTGACTTCGATATGTGTTCATCTGGTTCATACTTCACTGTTAAAATATTATGCACCAACTTTTCTTGCTGATGTCCTACACCATATTTGTTCTTGTCATTAATACTTTCCATGCTGTTTCCTATAACAAAATTTTATTTTGACCGCAATAGTAACAATGGCAACTTAGATATGACCATGTGAATGGTACAAGTAATTTTAAATAACAAAGAAAATACTGAAGTACTTGTTAGGTACGTTGTTGGAAACAAAATTTATATAGAGCAAAAGTGGCTTACATTCCTGGGCAAACAACCTTATCCATAGCATATAAGGCATTAATAATGCTTCATTCAGTCACTTTACCTTCTATGTGTTTTAGATGAGTAAATTTGTGGGAATTGAATTGAAACCTACCATGGAATCAACCCTGTCAGAAATGATTGACCTTGGACTTTTGCAATATGTTGCAAAACTGGAAGAAATTGCAGTAGCAGCCAGTAAAGAACATGCTTTGGAACATAATCTCTTTAAAATGAAACAGGAATGGGATGATGTCGAATTTGAACTAGTACCCTACAGGTAACTGACTTAGCCTCAGAGTTCTCTGTACATTAGTAAGGATGTCAGAGATATGAGAGAGGCACTCAGTCATACTGAGAACCTGTTGCTGTCTCTTAGGACTTAGGCCTCACTCTGTTTGTCTGTTAGCAAATAGCAGTAATTTGTACTGATATGCACCCCAGGCATCACAATCCATCTGCATTGCAACAGTAAATTACTGAGTCTGATTATAACTATCATAGGCACTTCATCTCCTTATATAATATTAATACAACATTTGCCTGTTTGACCTTGAACCTGTGAATCCATCACTAAAGAAGTAGTAACAAATGCCTGTACTATGACATGGTACAGAATTATTTATGCCTGAAGTACTGAGTCAAAAAGTGTTTACAGTTTTGGCATAATTGCATCACTTAAGATTTTATAACTGCACTTTTCTCAAGCGTGACTTACGAACTTAACAGAGTTCTCAAGGAATATTTTAGTAGCTTTACATGCTTAATTTCTAAGTATAAAGTATATTAACATGAGTATTCAATTTATTATGGCTAAGCATACAACTGGAGTAAGTGTATGATTTTTTTTTTTGTTATTATTGAGTGTTGAGTTGAACTATATGTATCTGTTTCATGGGATGTGTTAATATTGTTAATTAATTTAAAAAAGATGTGAATCTTAATATATTTTTTTAAAATTTAGATTTTTCTTATTCATTTGTGGGGTGGGGTGAGATAATCCACTTCATACACTGGCCACTAGTGGGCCTAGTGTACCATCCCTGGATGATAGTTGGTGGAATGAAAATTGACAGGAGGAGCCAAAGTACTCAGCAGAACCCACCCCTGTGTCACTTTGTCCAACACAGACCTCCCATAATGTGACCTGTGATTGAAGCTGGGCTGCCTCCAGTGGGAAGCTAACAACCAACTGCCTGAGTTATGGTACAACAATTTATGTTACAAAAGAATAAGCTTTAAATATAGCAGTGTGCAGTGAATGAAACAGTCATTTAAGTAAAATTGCTACAGCAAATAAAAACAAATTAGCTAAGAAAAGTTTGTCCGCAAATTGTAAACCATTCCTCTGCAAGGTACTGACTCATGTAAATTGATAATATGCCGTAATATATAGTGTCATATCACCTGATGATCACAGTGAGTTGGAACACACAGAGAGGATAGAGTCCACAACAGAAGGACAATATGTGTTGTGGGTGTGGTTTTATAAAATAAATTATTATTCATTGTCATGTACTTTAAAATTCAAATTAGCAATTATTTAACTAAAATTAATGTCCATTACAATCAGAGAATTATTAACATTCAGTCAGAAGATCAATTTTTGGTTCTGGGAACTGATATTTAATTTAGCCAGTAATTTCTTGCCATGGCTTTTTCTTTTGCAGAGATTCAAGTGTGGACATTCTCTCAGCAGTAGATGACATACAGGTGATGTTGGATGATAACATTCTTAAAGCACAGACGATGCGTGGTTCCCCATATGTTAAAGCTTTTGAGGCTGAAATGCAAGCTTGGGAGTCAAAACTTATATCTATGCAAGACATATTAGATGCTTGGTTAGAGGTAATTGAAAGAGATATACATATGACCCTAAAATTCATAATACGTGTATTTTATGAAATTGAAAAGTACATCATTATTTCGGCTGAAGGGAAGTTGTTAGGATGCTAATGAACTAGAGAACTGTTGGATTTTGAAATGTTACTTTCAATATATGTTTTAATGTTTGATCTGTAGTAAAAGCTAATTCTAATGGACATGTTTAGTAGTTGGTATGTTTCTCATTCCACAGATAAAAGAAGGTTTGCAAAGTCTTCAGTTCTGTGTTTGTACACAATAACAACATGTGTGCCTTTGATACAATCTGTGTGAAAGTCAGTATGGGATTAATTCCATCTTCCTGTTTAATTAAATGACTATCAGTTGCGAAGAAGGACTTTTCTTTTTGGAGTTGGGTAGTTAGTGCCATTATGAATGTTAGAATAAGTGATCACTTGTATTCAGCAAGTTGTAGAATGTCCTCTCTTCAATATCCTCTCCCCCCCCCAATTATAAGACACTTTAATTATTGAACACAGTAACATTTTAAAATAGAGTCAGACACTCATCACTTGTATTGTAGTTAATGCTATATGCTGTTAATTATTTTGAAAGAACAGTGTATTACACTTATGCATTACATTGATAGACATTTCAGTTTCCCTGGTACTTGAAATTTTATTTTACATATTTGATAATTTGTAAGCAAAGGAATGTTACTGCATCAATTTCCAAAGGTATTTTAGCTATGCTGTCTTGTTTTTCATGTGCATATTGTGTAGTAGAAGAAGAGGAGAAAACACATGTATTTATGTACACAGTGTACCAAAATACATATTTTTTTCTCTCTCAGTGCCAAGCTACTTGGTTATACTTAGAACCAATCTTTGGTTCTGAAGATATAATGCGCCAGATGCCAGAAGAGTCAAGAAAGTTCCGTAAAGTAGACAAGACCTGGAAAGGCATCATGCTGAACACAAAGGCTGATAAACATGTTCTAAGGGCAACTGATTATGAAAACATGCTTGATTTACTGAGAGAAAACAATACTCTGCTGGATGAAATTCAGAAGGGACTGAATGATTATTTGGAGAAAAAGAGGTTGTTCTTCCCACGGTATGTTATAAATGTCTGCAACCATTATGTTTAGTACTGTTACGATTTAAGAGTGAGTACTCATATATATGGGATTTGGGTTGGTAACTGGATTTATTGAACACTTACAGAACATAACTGCAAATAACTAGGACAGTCTCACTGAGTTGCACACTCAAAAGTCACTGTAACTACAGCACATATAAAGTCTTCTCAGTCTGCTATGTCTTCACCAGCTGTTGCCTGGTGATGGATCCCAATGATGTTCTCTGCTTCTGTGTTCACATTCTTACTGGTTGATGACTGTCTCACAACTAACTCCACAGAAAACACCATTCCTCTGGTGCTATTTCCAATTGTTGCTGTATAAAGATGCTTGTTTGCAGTGCCATTACTCATTACTGTTGTATGTTTGCTGATCTTGCCGCCATTGCCTAGCATCAAGTCTGCATGCCACAGCACCATAAACGTTCAAGAGCCAGGAATGCTCAATGGGATGATTGGCTAAGAAATGTGGGTGTCATTCCTGAGAGGGAAAAGAAACTTTTCTCTTCTCCGCATCATCTAAAGTAGCTCTAAGGCCACCCAGCCTTCTGTCTGGTGGGTACTAGGGCCTCTTCCAAGGGTAAAGCAACCAGGTCTTGAAGCTGACCACCTACCTCCATCTAGTGCCAAGGTTAGAAATTCATGGAGCTATACATCCTCATAGTGTGCAACTTAATTGAGCAGAGGAAGAACTTTGCTTTTACTTTTTACATTTACCATAAATGTTCTCATTAATTCTAGGGTAAAAATACCCGTAATACTGAGTTTGAGCTGAAACTGTACAAGCAGAGATATTTACAAATAGTAACTGCTTCTGAGAAAGTAGCCAGGTATTAGCTTGTGAAGTGCAAGAAACAAAGTTTGTGTTTCTTTACTTGTTATTGGTTAGTTAATACAGGCAGTCTTTTTTTAGTAAGTACATAAGGTCTGTGATCAAATTACATCTATATATATATATCTTAACACCCATTGCTAACTTTAACAAATACATTCATTCATTTTATTTGGCATTCGTAATTGCTACAACAGTAACACTTGAACCTGTCGCATCATTAAATACGTCATTCTTGAAATTCTTTTGCACAAATGCCTAATTTGTCAACAATAAATAATCACAATAATGAACAATATTTTAGTCAGAATTTAATTTCACTGTATCAGGGTTGAATTTTTATGGTGATTAATATTAAGACCATGGTCTTCTTGGATGGGACACCATCTACCCTGAAGACAGAAGGAACGGGCTCCTCCAAAATAATTGTATGCCTACATATCTACCACACTACACAGTGTCACATCCCAGAAAACCATAATCTTTGTCTTCATTTTCATTTGCTGCATATTTGATATGTACAGTCATGGTCCTTTTACACAGATTAATAAATATCATAGAAGATAAAATAACTCTGTCCAGTGTGATTGTTGAAGTTTTTACTACTTCAATTCTTAACACCCTTACATGTTTCGGTCCTTATAGACCATCATCAGAGGGACATTGGTACTCTTTGGAAACCACTATTACAGTGGGTGTTCTGTATGTTAAAATATATACACATACAATGTTTGTAATGCACAATTTATACAAAATCCAAAGTTTTCACAACTACAGTGGTAGTCTTGGTATATTAAAGTTTTTTAAAACTTTTGTTATTTAAGTTATGGTTTCCAAAGGGTATTGATGTCCCTCTGATGATGGTCTATACAGACCGAAACATGTAAGGGTGTTAAGAATTGAAGTAGTAAAAACTTCAACAGTCACACTGGATGGAGTTGTTTTATCTTTTATAATATTGTTAGTGTGATGGACCAGAATGAAACAAATCAGATTAATAAATAGTTTGAAAGAGCCATTACTTATAATCGTAAGTGCTGTTTCTGGTCACAGACCTAACAGTTGATGACCGAGTGCTGTATTCTGGGATATAACACCCTTTAATTCACTATAGGTCAGCCAAAATTTTGGAGGAACATGTCACCTTTGTCCTAAGAGTTGAAGAGTAAGCCATGGAAGAAACCAGCATGAACCAAGTTGCTTCCTGGCCCGTTGACTTTCACGGAACATCACAGTGTTATATTCCAGAAAATAGAATTCTTCATTACCACTGCTGTGAGAACCTCAAATCATACCAAACTGATGTTTGAATAGACAATATTTGAAACTAATTTTATAGTTTAATAGGTGGCAAACATGTCATTCAGAGCAGAAGCATTACTGTGCAGCAAGGTTTTGCCAGGTGCCACTTAAGTGCTTCAACATCCTTATCCCTCCTCCCACCAATGTCTCTTGGGTGTAGAATGTGCACATGATTATTTATGTAATCACAAATAAAAAAGTCAGTTGAATCAGGTTAGGTGAATATGGGGGCCAAGCAGTAGGTCACTGCAACCTCACCAGTTGTTATGTAACTCTGTTTTAGGAAGTCATGCACCTCAGGGCACCAGTGTGGAGGTGCACCATTCTGCTAGAGTATGACATTATCATAATCTTTATCTGGATCCCAGGGAAGAAGAAGTTTCTGTAGCATGTCAAAATAATGACCCAATCAATTTTTTCCTTACCAAAGGAAAAAGGCCCACACACATTTATTAGTGTATAATTACAAACCAGGCATTCACTTTCAGACTTTCCATCTCATATCCATAGAAAACTTGTGGGGTTTTCCCCCCAAATAATTAGGTTATGTGTGTAGGCCATTTCATATGGTGGAGTATAGCTTCATCGGTGAATAATTATCTGCTGAGAACCATCTACATATCAAAGTTTTGAATTCGAACTGATATGCATAATCCCAAAGATGCAAAACTTGCAAATGATGGATGTAGTATGGATATATTTTCAAACACTGGCATACTATGTGTTGACAGGTGCTGCAAGGCACATTTGTTTCCAGTAACGAATGCGTAAACACTTTCAGGGGCTTTCCTGTATAGTTTGCTGAAGTTAATCTTGCTGGTATTTAAGTGTAAGGGGGCATCAAGAATACCATATACATATCAGTATTCTCATTGCACTTTTATAACGATTTGAAACCGAACAAATCATATGACGCACTTTGCTTTCTATTGTGGATTCAGATCTGCTTTTTAGCTTTTGCTGCAGTGGTACATCTGGTTGTAAACTGCAGTGATATACATGTTAAAATTCCATGTTTCCTTCATTTACCTGAAGAACATGAATACTTGATTCCTGTTACTCCCTCTGGAACATAGGGCATCTGTGAAATGCTTCCACAGTATCCTGTCAGCAACAATTTTTTATTCCAAGAGCCAATTTTGGTGTTCCATGGAGAACATGGGAAAAGTTACAAAGTTACACAAGCATTACAACACACAGACAAGCAACATCAACTACCGACAGACAACACACGCCAACAACATCCCGAAGCAAAAAGATTGGGCCAAGCGGGAAAGAATTCTAGGGATTTTAAGAATTCTTACTTCAAATAACGAAACATAATTTAACAGAATTAATGACGAATCAAATAAGGAAGCTACTGTGGTGTGTGAAAAACTTTTAGTGAATCGACATTCTGGGTAATTTTAACTATTTGTAATTATTTTAATTAACTGGAAAGTGGCTATCTTGGACAAAGTGAAGTTTTGTGTGTTGGTGATTTCTTTTTCTACTATAAATGCCTCTGATGATGGCTCCGTGGTGAGCCGAAACATGTAAGGCAGGTGCTGACGAGGTGGAAAACTTAAAAAAGTGTCACATTTGACGGAAGGAACTTGATTGTTAATNATGGAGAACATGGGAAAAGTTACAAAGTTTTACTCTGTTTTACTTTTATGTCACTTCTAACAGATCAGCCTCTTTAACAACTTATGCAGTTGAAATTGTTTAATTAAGTAAGAATGCAGTATAAGTGTATTTTTTTAAACTAAAAGTTTGAAATCAAGATGAAATATGTAGAATAATAAATTGGTATCTCTTTGTTCTGTTCCTAGGTTTTTCTTTCTGTCAAATGATGAGCTCCTGGAGATCCTGTCCGAGACAAAGGAACCCTTGCGTGTTCAGCCATATTTAAAGAAATGCTTTGAGGGGATCAACCTTTTGCAGTTTACTAGAGAGGAAGTTATAACTGGAATGGTCTCAGCTGAGAAGGAAATATTTCCTCTTAGTGGACAGATTGTTCCTGCTGATGCAAAGGTACATACTGAAACTCAGGTACCTGTGGCAGAATGCTCATGCACATGTTCTAACTTGAGATTTTATGAAAAGTATTCAGATATTATCCATTATATTCTTGTAAATAATATTGTAACGTGTTTCGTTACTGAAGACACTGTAGAGATTGTTAATTGGTTTATTTAACAACCTTCAAGTATCGGCTACAATTAATTATAACACTGTTGCGGAGTTTCACACTTTATAACCCTATTCACAATAATCCATTCACACTGTTGCGGGGTTTAACAATTTATAACCCTATTCGCAAATCAATTCACTCTATTGTCAGTAGTCTACACGTTTTCACAGTATGGGAGCTATACAAGTGTCACTGTGTTACACACTCCCAATTAATTCTCAGTTATCACAAACTGTCACTGATTATCACACACTAACTCGTAACTCGCCACTGGCTAGATTCCAACTCAACTCGTAGGCTGCTGCCTTGAGAACTGTTGATCACACACTCACTCGTAACTTACTGCTCAGCCGGCTTTTATTCTGTTCGCTGTTGCCTGTTGCCCGTGTCAACAGTGGTGTTGCGGTGCCGCGTCACAGTGCGGGGGGCTACGTCACCGCGCGGAGGGGGGTGACGGAGCGCTGACTTACCCGCCACGTCACTGCTGGGGGGGAGGGGTTCTCCGTTGTGCAACATGTCACAATATTCTTTTACACTTAATATTTGAATATGATTTTCCATGAAAATCCTAGTTGAATCTCTTATAAAGTAAATTGATCCAATTTCAGTGAATTAATATAATCCTGTTAAGAGAGATTCACCTTCCACTTACAGAGGTCAAGTTATCACTGTGAGATTTGGACTCCTAATTCTTATCTGGCAGCTGTGTGTAACACATTGTCATTATGTTAATAATTCCAAGCCAGTTAAAGTGACAACATACTTTACATGTATACTTGTATATATGACTTACATATGGTATTTATAATTTTAATGTTTTTTACTTAATTTTAATAATTGGCACTGAAAATCATTTGTCACAAAGCAGAAACATGTGTGATGCATGTTTCTTGGTTCTGTACCTTAATGAAATGAATGTATTATGAAGCACCAAACATCTTGCAACATGTTGCTCCTTCCCAACATCATAAAACTGAGCTTCTGTACAGATGACATAACCACATTTTGTGTCAGAAAACTAATCATAATGAAATATGAACACGTGTCATTACAGCGAAAGTAGGAAAGTAATTGAGTTATGTGTTGTAGGTATATAATATTGTGGTGTATAGACCCGTTGCTAGGCAATGAGTGCAAAACGAAAAATGAGACAACAGCCATTGGTAGGCAATGGTCTGCATGCAACAAGGGAAGTACTGTTGGAAACAGTGTTTTATATATGGTCCACTCCGAGGTCATATCATTCGACTGACCGAGTTCACTTCAGATAGTGAGTGCAGTGCAGTGGAGTGAAGTGTGTTGGTTGCTGAGCAGTTAGTTAGAGGACTGCTGCAATTCAGTCATTGTGAGCTGTTGCTGTTAGAAGCTGGTAGTTCAGACAAATAACCTTGAGGAGGGAGCAATGTAGCATGTAGACCTGTTGCTAAGCAATGACTCTGCAATCAACACCTGCTACTAGGCAACAGATTCCTAACATGCACCAATGGACTAACTGGGAAGCAGTGTTTTCTGTGCATTCCATGCATAGGTGTTATGAGAAGGACAAGTCTAGAGTTCAGTTAGTTGTGAAACAGTCACCAGCCTGAAAGAGCATGAACATGAAAGCTCAGGAAGTTACGGCATTGAAAGCAAGAATTACTATGCTGACGAGGGTCAGCAGCAATTTAACCATTCAGCGTGGTTTGACGTGTATGTTTCGTCAGGTATTTAAATCGTCTGGGGGGTTCGACGTGTATGTTTCGTCCAGCTGCACACGTATGTTATAACGCCCATAATAATTGATGGTTTTGCTGTAGATTGTTAGATTTTTCGCTGGCCTGTTGTCAGGAGAACTGTATTTAATGACACACGAGTTTAAGAGCGCTAAGTCGTCGTTACATATGCANAGTCAGTCAATTGACAGTAGTTATGAGTCAGAAGTCAGAGGCCGAAGTCAGCACTTACCAGTTTAAAGTCTTATGTTGCAATGTTAGTAGCTGATACCTAAAAAAGACTAGTGAATAAATAGAAGACTTTATATGCATTGCAGTTGCAGTGATCTATAGAGTATGTACACTACAGAAACTGTTATAGTTATTTGTAGTTACAAGTTATAAGCATTCATCAAATTCAACTATCAATCCAAACCCTGTGGCTGGTCACTAACACATGACAGTTAGACAGTGCATTTCTCGACAACATAAGAGAAAGAAGCATAAAACTGCAGCTTCTGGGAGGCAAGAAGACACTCAATGAGGCCCTCAGGCAGACCCTTGAGCTGGAGGTTGTGAAGTTAGCAGCTGAGTCTCTCGTTGGGCTCCAGAAAATGAGTGACAGGCTATTGTGGAGGAACTTACGCTACCCCAGATGAAAGCATATTGTGACATGTTGACCCCTACCTCCCCAGCGGTAACGAACGCTCGCGTTCTTACGGTAATAGGCGAGTTCCCGCCCCGCCACTCCCCTCCGCGGTGACGTCACCGAGGGATATCGCGGTCGCTAGGCAACGCGAGTCAACAGCGGCGACGTTACGATAGTAACAGCGGTTACCTCCGCTAGCGTTACATAGCAACACAGCGCCAGGCAAA